ATATCCAGTCACTTCACCGGTGCAGTTAAAATGCTCTTGAATGCTCTCAAATGCTGCTTTCTCTTGCAGCACGTGGCTTTTTTTTTTACAGATCTCCAAATGATCGTTCAGTGTTGGGTAAAAGAGAGGTTTATCCAACATAGATGCAGTCACCGTACATTTAATGTTTTATTTTTTCTGAACCCTGTTTATTTGGATATTCCTCAGCAACAACTACACTTATATAGAGAAAAAACATCTAAACTTGAAAATAAACTTTGTGCTCATTTTACTGTTTTGTTCGTCACTCACTGTGTTTAGGAGAATATTACAAGGATTCTACAGGATGTTGACGTTAGATGAGTGATATCCTTTCACTCACTGATCATTAATTCTGGATAAATCTGCCCTTTTCTTACTGCCTGTGGAAATAACACAGTGTGACAGAGACATCTAGTGGTTATACCAATTTCTTCACACAGCTTTTGATCACATTTATGATTTGATATGAGTCAGTTAGATACTTGCATTTACAAAGGTTTAATGTACTTAAAGACAGGGTTGAATTCATAGAAGTGTTCTTGTAACTTTTCTGGTTGAATAACAAGCAGAAGGAGCAGAGTCTGGGTGGCATTTGAGTGAGAGGGTAGTGAAAGTGTCTCTGTTATCTAAAATACTTGTGCAGTTGGAACCTCGATGAATAACTAATTTGTAATTCAATCACTGAAAAAGTACATAATCGATATCAATGTTAAGTAATTTGTTAAATAAGTCTTAGCAAACAAGAACACCACAAAGGCATGACTTGACAAATAGTAGAGATTGCTTATTGTTTTTATTAAAGCAACATTGATTTTTCTGCATGCTTAAAAAGGGTCCTCTGACAAGAATTTAGATCCTGCTACTTGTTCAGTCATATGTATCATTTGCAGGATTTGGAAATTGAATTATAAAAACTAGGCTGTTTCTTCTTTAGCGGGTTAACTGACACCTACCCCCTCACACCAGCAATATAGGCATTAAAAATCACATTGGAAGTACTGTCTGTCTTGTCACTGATGGTTTTGTTTTCTTTTGTACAATGTAAAAAGTCATTAATATTAATTTCATTCAATTTCATATCAACCCAAAAATACCTCAGGGGAATTTTAAAGTTTTTAACAAGTTTAAGTAGCAGTTTCTTTTGTTTTTTAGTCATTTTTTTGTTTATTATTTTTGAAAGAAGCTCACTTTTATTTATTTATTTATTTATTTTTTTAGGTTGTCCTTTTTTTTTTTTTTAAGGTCCTTTTCAGTCTTTTGGATTTTCTTTGATCATTTCTCTTACCCTGTTATTACAGGACATGAAACACATAGCCAATAATGTGTTTTTGGAAAATGTTGAAAGCGTCTCCTTCAGAACTAGTCTTTTGTCACATGTAGGTGCGGTAGGAACTTTGTCTGTTAAGCTAAGATAATGTTAACCAGATTGAAGAACTATTGAGTTAAATATTGAAGTAAGATTAGGTGCCTTAAAACTGGACAATGGTGCAAAAGATTGTCGTTTTTAAGATGCAGGCAATGCAGTGGTTACATCTTCATGACCTAAAATAGCTAACTGGACCACCCACAACAAGATTACTTAACCTGTGACCCCCTGCAGCACCCTGAAGAAACGTATTTTTACTTTCTACCCAGCAAATATTCGGTCAGTTAATTTACAGTACTTGACTATTAAAGCTCCTGTGAGGATTCTACTGCTTTCTCCACAAGTGGCACCAAAATTCACACAAACAGTAAGTTACTCACAATAGCTTTAAAAGAAGAGCAGGATAGGATTTTTCAGTAAAAGACCTCTATAGATGCTTTAAGAGAAGATTAGCAAAAGACAACATATTACTTTGTTTATAGGGGGCACTAATATTGACAAACAGAAGAGATTTAAGCTTCTCAATATTTTATCCTTATAGCAGAAAACATGACTGTAATCTTCCCCAACAAAAGGCAGAGCCACACACCAGCATGAGGGTAGAATCTGAAAGTCCTCCTTGTCACTAATTGAATCGGTTTCACTGAAAAGTCTCCCTCTCTCCCTGAATGAAAATGTCTTTGTCTCATTACATTGACAGGAGTATTTTGAGTAGCATGTTGGCCATAGAAAGGCTGGATTCGGTTTCACTGTGTGAGACAACATTATCTCCTCTTTCAGCTGCTTTCAGACTCCCATTTTTCTGTATGATGAATGAGGGGTACTTTGTGGTTAACTGTACTTAGCCAGAGTCTTGTGTTACAGTGAAGGGAAACAGTGAAATCAATAGGAAAGGCTTTTAAAGAATTGGAGTCACAGAAACTCAGAGAGAGAGAGAGAAAGGATTGCTTGGAGCCTTCAGAGGACACTGACAGTGTGATTAGATAATTTACCCATCAACCTGGACACCCTGATGATATCCCTGAGGTGACAAACAATTCACAGGTTTACTTGTGAGTTTCTTTTACTGCTTTGAAGTTCATGTTGCTCAGTTTTTTAGAGTAAGGCATGCTTAATTCACTTACAGACCACTATTGAGAGCCCAGAGATTTAACTTAAAGGCCTAATTAAGCCACTTTAGAGAGGTAATGTTTAACAACAAAGTGAACCAGTGATGCGGCCAAAACAGTACCTGCACAAATGTGAAATAAAGTGTATTCCCTGAAAGCATGTATTTTTTTAAAAAGATAATCACATTAAATTTTAACATGTTTGTTCTTCAGTTGACTAAGAATGTGTGAGGATGAAATGATTAAGTAGTTTATAGTTATTTTAATGTAATTTGGATTGTATGATGGGGTAATGTTACTTCGGATAAGTGATAAAACCTGGAAATTTGTCAAACTATCATCCTTTTTTTATCTTCAGTTTATATTATACAGAATTAAAGGTGTAACATATACAGAAGATAAAACTAGATCAGTTCTTACACAACAACTGATATAAGATGTGAAATTATGAGATTAATGCAATTAGATAGTCTTTTGTGTGTGTGTGCGTGAGTGTTTAAGACTCTACTCTCACACAGCTAAATAGCTTAAAGTTGTGTCTTTCTAGCTTGTGTGTTAACCTGCTCGTAGCCAAGAAACTTGTTGGTCATTTAGACACCAACTTTATAACAAAATCTTAAGTATTTTACACAAAAGTCATTTTCTTTTTATGATTCGTCAAAGCATAGGGATGTTAAAAGAGGAAAACACATACAGTCCTTGTTCCAACAACAGCCAGTTGAAAAAACAAAACCCTTGACATGTGTCTGACCTCTCAAGACTAAAAATCCATATAATGTCCAATATGTCTTTTAGATGCTAATATTACATTAAGAAACTTTAAACTCAGTTTTTACTGAACCAAAACATTAATTTAAGAATTTTCTGACTAAGGGACCTTGTTTCCAGTACAGTATAAAGATGATCTGCTCTCAGGTGGCACTAGTCCCACTTTTCACCAACTTTTCTTCCTCATTATGTCAAAGTCACAAGTTTATTTGCTTGTTAGTACACTAGCAGACACTGGATGCATAGTATCAGCTGCCATTGAGTTCTATGTTGGTATGAGGAATGTGTGAAAAAGAAACTAAGTTTACAGTTTCTGTATATGTTTAGGATTTTTTAGGTTTTTTTTTTTGCATTTTATATGGTCCCCCCCCCCCCCCCCCCCCCCCCGGACATTGCACAGTTAAAAATAAAAGAAAACTACTTTAATTTGTCATGTATTGTCCTATTTTGTTATATTTTGATGACAAGTACTTTTTCTTGGGTGTACTATTTTGGGTAAAAATCACCCAGCGATAGTGATGTTACTAATTTTAGCAATAGTGTTCTAGGGTGAGGAAAGTAGAGTAGAACTAGAGTTAAGTTTGTTGTTAGTTTTTTGTAAAAATCAAAATTTTTAACAGACTAAACATGCCTGCTTTAGGTGATTTTGCTTCCATTAGAGTTTTAACCTACTAAATCTACTTATTTAATTGTTCTGTTTGATAAAAAGTGATTAGGAAGCTTGAATCACCTACAGTTTTTGGTGTTTGTTGGTCCTATTAAGAATTCCAAGTCCCTTTTCAAGTCACTCCAGCTCTAAGTGACAACCAAATACCAAATATCAATCACCCTGCAGCAGGGGGGGACAGCAGGCCGGGTCTGTCCTTGTTCCTGTCTGTGCGTGCGCGCGCCCGTCTCGTCCTCAGTCAAGCATGTGAGGCTGGCGCCGCCACCTCTCCACTTCCACAACATGAGGGATAAAGTTACTGTTTGTTGTGGCCTGAGAACACTAATAACGCGCCGGGAAAACAATGTTGATGGTAAAGCTGTTCAACATCACCTCAGATCACTCAACCCCCCCGAGGACCAGAAGACCAGCAGGCTGATGAAGTGGCTTTACTGGGCTGACCACGAGCGATGTTTGGGTTTTCTATGGACACTCTGGCTATACATCTTTAAAACAGATTCGCTTGTTACTTAATTTAAACAGAAATAAAAATAAGAAACATCTGGTATGGCATTTATTGGACAACATTTCTTTCATTTCCTGCGTGGAATATGACCAGAAATCAATCTAAATGTGTTGTTTTTACTGTGAATTTTACACACAGTCATTGTTAAAACAAATTAAGGTTAAATTGACTCCCATTTTTTTATCCCCTACATTTGCTGCCACGAAATCAAGACAAAAAAAAGACAAAATGCGAAACATCTAAAACTGTACTAAAAAACCTACAGCCCAATTTCCAAATATTGACCTCTTAATTGGAGTCTGTCAGACAGAGATCCGGTTGGACATGACGTGAGGTGTTCCTGTGTAAGGTGAGAAGAAAAGGAGGCTGGCTGTTGTCCAGTGATCTGCAGAGAGCTGACAGATATAGTAGATCTCCACCTTACTCCGTATAGCAGGACCTTTTGAATGATTCTCAGTCTCCAGGCCTTCACTCAGCAGTCCGAGCAGAGGCACGTCCGGCCTGAAGCATCACCTGCAGCTCGAGCGCAGCGCGTAAAAACGAATCCAACGACCAGGAGTGGAGATGCATCCGAGCTCGATCACCACTACACCTTTTTCAGTGAAGGATATTTTGAAGCTGAAGCATCAGCAGGACTTTGAAAATGATTTTTTGACGTCTGATCAAGTTGTACCCGGTCAGTATCAGCACGTGCACGGTGCGCTCCGGTGCAGAGACATGTTTGACCAGCAGACTGAGCTGCAGGAGAAGCACGAGACGCACAACTCGGCAGCGAAGGACGAGATGACTGAACATGGTGAGATGATTTCAACGTTATAATTTGGTTATGTCAGGTATATGTATCATCAAAAAAGAGAGAAACCCCCAATTTATCATAAGACCAAAGTTTAATTGATCATAAGAAACTTAAAATTAGTAATAACCATCACTATCGCTGGGTGATTTTCACCGGAAATAATATACCCAAGAAAAAGTACTTGTCATGAGCATATATCAAAATAGGACAATACATGACAAATTAAAGTAGTTTTCTTTTATTTTGAACTGTGCAATGTCCAAAGGGCGGTAAAAAAGTGCCAAAAAATGTAACCCAGTAACTGAAATTAGGCATTCATGAACAAAAAATTCCTAATTTTTTTTTTTAATATAAACTGTAAATGTAGTTTCTTTTCCACCCATTCCTGGGGCATGTGAGTCTTTCCTGGTAAAGACTCAGGGTCCTTGGCACAATAACAGCTGCAGAAGAGAGAACCACAATATGGCATATTTTAAGTGAGGAAAAATGACCAGCTGACTAAAACATTTCTTATCACCATATGAATCATCTTTTAAAACCACTAAACATAGCATGCAAATTCCAGGACCACTCCTACCGACCTTATTCCCTACATGCAGCTATCAAATCCACCCAAACCTACTTTACCCTCTATCTCTAAAATCACCCTGTGAACACGTGCCTGTAGAAAAAAAGCAGGTTTTGGATCAGGGAAACAAATAAGTCTTCAAAGATGTCAGAGGCAAAGCTGAATCTACCCAGGGACCCATGACACTCAGACAAACGCAACATAATGAAAATCACGTAAACATATTTGGTGATAGTGTTCTAGGGTTAAAAAAGAAAACCTGCATTTTTCACACTCGAAATTAGAGCTCATAAATATCAGTGTCCAAAATTTTAATAAAACTGTTCTGAAAAAAAAATTCTGGTTAAACCTTTAAACTTAAAAATCTAAAATCAAAACGACTTCTTCCAATAGGAAAACTTTATTTATTTATTTATTATGTCTTTATTTCTTCATGGATTTTGATAAAGACCACGTTCTTCCTCTAACTTGGAGAGCTGAAACCTTTAAAAGCTTCATTACAAAGTACCCAGACATTTTCAATAAAAAAAACCCCAGGTCACTAAAGTTAAATAGTTCTGCTTTGCTGAGAGACAAAAGAAAATTAGTTTAAATAAATCATGGCTTTTCTTTCTCCTGACAACCTAAAGATGGTCACCCATGCATTTATTCCTTGCAGAGATGTAATGCACTTGAGGAAGCAAACTCAGTGTTCTCCTATATATAATTCTCTTCTTATAAACTGGCCTGTTACCCCAGTTTTAACAGTCTTGTCTTAATTATATGCTTCATTGTGAGTGTATTTTTATTTTTATTTTGCTTAGCACCTAGTAGCCCATCTTGTCGATTTAGAGTACCATCTAATGATAATACATCAAATAATGTTATCTCTGACAATAAGAAAAAGAAAGATTATCATATATACTCAAAAATTTTCCTTACAGCTTGATAACCCAAATCTCATTAAAAGTTAAATGTTGTTTAATCGCTTTTAATAGTTTTTATATGTAGAAAAATCTTGAGTCAAAAAGTTAAAACTGCATTAAACTTTAGATTTTTCCTGACTGTACAGAGACCAGCGGAGTTGACAGCTCACCTGACAGTAACAACAGCTCCAAGTCCAGATCCAGGCTGCGCAGGAAGCCCCGGGTCCTCTTCTCTCAGTCCCAGGTATCCGAGCTGGAGCGCCGCTTCAGACAGCAGCGTTACCTGTCCGCCCCGGAGAGAGAGCACCTGGCCCACGTCCTCAAACTCACCTCCACGCAGGTCAAAATCTGGTTCCAGAACAGGAGGTACAAATGTAAACGCCAAAGACAGGACCAGTCTCTGGAGCTGGCGGGGTTTCCCACGGCACCTGTGCGGAGGGTGACGGTGCCGGTGCTGGTGCGGGACGGGCACCTGTGCGGGGCAGGTTCAGCTCCTTATAACGTGACTCTTGGACATCATCATAATTCTGTGTTTGGATATGGAAACAGCAGCGTGTACAATTACCACAGCGTGTCTCCTGCTGCACAAATAACCAGTCATAACCAGCTGGTGGAGTTCACAGGTAACAGCGAGGGGCCATATAACCACGGACACTTTCAGACTTCATTGCAGAGTGTCAGGGGCTGGTGATTAATCGAGTAAAAGCGACCTATATAGACCAAGTTAAGAATTTATGTTTCGGTTTTATTGTGCATTGTATATTTTGTATATCTGCAGGTTTCTCCTGGGAATATTAAAACTGATTTTAGCACAAATGACAGATTCTTAATGGCCTCTTATTGGTTTTTATTCGATTAATCGATTGTACGTTGTTTCAGCAGCACTCGAATTCACTCGAATGTGATTTATAACTGTTTATTAAGTCGTGTGAAACAAATGACACAATTTTAACTTCAATTTTAAACTTCAACACGGCCTATGGGCTAAAATAAAACAAACTATTGGCCAAGTTATACCCTCATTTAGCGCAAATGACAGATTCTTTATGACCTCCTATTGGTTTTTATTCGGATTATCGATTATACATTGTTTTAGCTGCACTCGAATATGAATTATAACTGTTTATCAAGTCGTGTGAAACAAATAAGACAATTTTAACTTCAATTTTAAACTTCAACACGGCCTATTAATCGAGCAAAAGCGACATATATAGATCAAGTTAAAAATATATATTTCGGTTGTATTGTGTATTGTATATTTTGTATATCTGCAGGTTTCTCCTGGGAATATTAAAACTGATTTTAGCACAAATGACAGATTCTCAATGACCTCCTTTTGGTTTTTATTCGATTAATCGATTATACGTTGTTTTAGCTGCACTCGAATGTGAATTATAACTGTTTATTAAGTCGTGTGAAACAAATGAGACAATTTTAACTTCAATTTTAAACTTCAATACGGCCTACAGGCTAAAATACAACAAACTATCGGCTAAGTTATAACCTTGTTGCACGACCTTTAAAGAGTAAAAAGGGTTTAAGAGAAAGTGAAACGAATTCAACAAAAAATGAGTTTGCTATAAAGGCGTTTTGGCGGAATACGTTCTTATTTAAGGAACTATTTGCTTTTGTTTTCCTCAAAAGAATCCATCATTTCTATACTGCGAAGACGGATCAAATTTAAGGTCTCAGTCCATCAACCCAAAGCCTAAATTTCCTCCAGTGAAACAATTAAAACAAAGCCTCCCTGATCATTAACCCATTAGTGAGCCTGTCGCCTGCATTTTATCAAAGTCAGCCATCAGATAGCTAATGGATGAAGTTGACATGTGAGCTGTCAGGACTGCTCTATCAATGTGAGCTCGTCCCCATTCAGAAATCCGCTGATAAGGCCGGAGAGCTGGTCCTGTGCTGGAGCTTTGCTTGGTAAACAAACCTGCAGACAGAGTGGCTCTTTAACTCTTTCAAACTCTCAATCAGACTGCAAACACTTCCAGTCAGACCTGTCACACACCAATCACACAAAAATATTCAACTCAACACAAAACAGTAAGGCTTATCCAATTTTATTGTGTTTATGTTTCATTTTGACCGAATCTAATAAGAAAGAAAGAAATTACGCACGAGAAACTTGGTGCGTAATATATCCACATTGAGCGCAAACGGAGCATGTGTCACTTTTAATGGACATGTGCACGAGCCGAAGGGCCTGAGGAGGAGGAGGAGGAGGACAAACACCTTTGGGTGCTGAGTACCTGAAGCAGCATCTTAGTGCAGATAAGGAAAGAGCTGCAGACAGAGAGGAGACTGGAGACACTTTGAGAGATCAGATAATGCTTTTTACGTCTGTGCGTGAGTGCCTGCGTGGGTATGTGATTGTTTCAGAGAAAAAAAGAAGACTTTGCAGCATGATTTGTAAAAGCTAGAAATCTAATCTTATAATTATATCCAAGAAAATGCTTTAAATACATTATCTCAAATGACAAATGGAAGTCGTCCGAAAAAAAAAGTTAAAAAAAAAGAACATGTTTTGAAAATGTTGGTTTCGTTTAAGGTGTTCGCGGTTGAGCAAAACCAAATCTATTTTATTCTCAATGGGTGAATCCAGGGTTGGGACATGAGGCTGAATTGGAGAGTTTAACATTATACTTTTTTGATCGATGAATGAAAATGAGCCCTTTTGGTCTGGGCCCTCACTGTGATATCTGATACTTAAAACTGCACGTGTGGTGTGGCATGGAAACGATCACCATTTAGCTCAGCACATCCTAGACAACTGTAATAGTGTAGCCTTACCTCCTTACCGATCTTATAAGAATCTTTACTCATTTATTGCAGAGTAAAAGCACACCAGTAGAGAAAGACTGAGATTTTTGAACTTTTTTTTTAAGACTTTAGACAAAAGTGTGAAATTTTAACCTCAGGGAATCTAAATCATGAAATGCATTTTGTTCAACCTCAGTCTGAAGTACTGGAGAAAAGTACTTTAAGGATTGCAAATTGATTTGTTCAAATTACAAGTGTTGTTTGGGACTTGAGGCTGAAAAATTTTCAGTTATAACATTTTACTGAAATTACTTTGGAGTCTTATTTTATTTGGGTTATACTGTGGGAAAAAATGGACCACACTTTCCCAAATAAACAATAAGATAGCTATGGTGTCCCACTCACCGGAAAGTTACCTGGAAAAAAAAGGTTTTTGAGTTTTTAAATCATAGTAGGGGAGACCGGGGCTTGTTGTCAAATTGCAATTATCTTTGCCACTTGAGGGCGCAACTAAAAAGTGAAATAATAGTTTTCTTCCTTTACATGGTCAGGGGTCGTGTCCTGTCTGAGAAGAGAAGAGCACATTGTGAGCTGAGATGGAGCCAATTAACCATTTCGCCCAACCCGAAGTAAAAATCTTTAACTGTATATATTTTAGAATAAGCTTCTTTAAGATAAAAATCATAGCAGTGATACATGTGAACTTGTTAGAGGAGAGATTAAGGCATCCTGTCATACCTCAGTCATTGTTCTGTTTTAAAGTAAGTTTAAGCTAGAGCTTTAATTAGCAAACATGATAGTTTGGGGCGACATGTCTCAGTCATTTTGGGGTTAGTTGTCACATGTTTAAAAGGGATTAAAATCAACATAGAGAGTCTGCTCATCAGCAGTTGTCATAATGAAGTTTTGACTTTATTTTACAGAGAAAAGAGTGGTTTAAAGGAGAGGAGAAAGTGAGAAGACATGGTCAGGAATGGCTAAAGAAAAACAGAACATGGCAGTGCAGTTCCTGACGTGATGCTGAGGACAGTCAGGCAGGTGACCCTAACTAATAAATCAATCTAAGGTACACTAAAGGACTATATATACCCCATATACTATACACCCCATGTAGCGTGACAACTTACCTGATGGTGGGGCAACATGTCACATTTTGATTGCTTATAACTCTGCACTGACACAAGATATAAAAGTGACATGAATACAAAATATATACCTGAGACTTTGGTCTTTCATCTGGTACACATTTTGTTTATATATAATGTACTGATTTCAAGAAATGTATATCAGTGTAAAAAGTGTGACAACAAGCCCCGGTCTCCCCTACATCATTCCTTCCTTTTTATATGGGTGGGTATCTCCAGTGTTACAGTGATCATGTTTTTGGCTTATTCAAAGATTTACAACTCAAAAGAAAAGGACAGCTGACAACACAGGACTGTGATGAGGGTCAGTTTCACAGAGGGTGACATCAGCCTGTGAGTCTTTATAACCCACTCAAAGAGGGTTTTAATCATGCTGTGGTGGTGACCTCACCTCGTGGCAGGCAGGTATGTGTCTGTTATAAACGTTTAAATGCAGCCAGTCTGATAATGTGGTGTTTGTGATCGTTGCAGAGATGGTTCTCAAGCTCAGTATCAGAGTCCCTCTGTTTGTCTCTAACTCTGCTGTTATGAGATAAATGAAGATGCAACTATCCATGAAAGAAATCTATTTAGACTGTATAATCAGACTCTCTTCAAGCTAATCCTGAGCTGAAAAGCTCATTGTCCTGCTGCAGGCTGGAATACTCTGCTGTGTCTCTTAAGATCGCCCTCTAGTGGGGACATGATACAACTTTTAACTTTACAATCAGGACAAAGAAAAGTACCCAGAACACAAAACTCCTATCTTTTTCAATTCTCATCCTTCCACATACTTAAACTGATTTACATTTTTTATTTTTGTTTAAGTCAATATTTATTTTTTGTCAAAATATGAACATTATTATTAAAATATTAACATTACCTGCCAGTTTCATTTGCTGTCTTTGTGATTTTTTTAAATGTGATTTTAGAAAAAGCTCGTTAAATATACAATATTTTAACCTAATTTTAATTTGATATATCACTTTACAAAAGTTTATTCAACATGCAAATAAAAATAAGAAACAAACACATGAGAAAGATAATCAGATATTTAATATTACAGATAGTAGCTAGTTAAATTAACTGCACAGGGTTACTAAATGAGACTATTTTTAGAGTCAATAGGAAAATTCAGCAGGAAATATTTCACACCATACTTTTGAGGCAGCGAATCAGGCGGCTTTTTGCTCCTCTATGGAGATACAGAGGTCTTTGATCAGTCGATCAAAGAGTACGCCTATTTACATCACACAAAGAGCCTGTATTTTGTTTTTATATAATACACTAAAAATATATTTAAAAATGAAAAGCAAATAACTGTACTGTGCAAATCAGATATATCATGTGCTCTAAAGCACAAGGGTTCATTCAGTGTTCAAATCTAGTAAAAACTCACAGAAACATGCGTAAACTTCTCCTTCACTGATATTTTTAGTCAAACCTTGAAATGAAAATATTTACTACATCTATTAGATTTTATATTTTCAGCTTTCTACAAAACAATCTGGGAAAAAGTTTGGGTTGGTTTTAAATTACCGTAAAAAGGAATTTTAAGATCCTAAAAGCTTCTCAGAGGTGGTTTGTAGACAGAGCAGTACTTCTTATTTTTTACTGTCTCTTTCCTGTAAGTAGGAAGTTTTTTTGTTCATTTGTGTTTATTTATTCATCAAAATTCTTGTTCTGTCTTGAAGTAGTGATTTTTCTCTTTTTGGATTTTTTGTACTAGTTATGTGGTATGCCCTTTGTAATACACAACAACAACAACAACAACATATCACTCTTTTTATACTCCTCTCTTCTGGATCAGCATCAAACTAAGACTGTGTTGCTACATCAATTATGGAAGTTTATTTGAAGTAAGACTAATTTAACTTACAGCTCCTGTAAGGGGTCCACAGAGGGCACTAAAAATCAAACAAACAGAAAATTCCTCTAGGAGCTTTTTGACAATGTTCACTGCAGGAATATACACAACATAATTACAGAGATAAATCCGGGTATTTAACACTGTTTTATAGTCTAGCTAAACTTGTGTCAGTCAGTTCAATACTTTTAAAGACAAAGCTTCAGAATTTTCACATGTGAAGCGAAACTTAGTAACAGTTCAACTGAGTCTTGAAACCAAAAAAATCAACTTCAGAGTAAACTAAGAATACTCTCTTTACCTCTACATGTTCTCATCTTTTGAAGTTTAGAGTCTGAGCTGCCATTTGCAATACTAGTGCAAGTTATTTTTCCCCTAATACCACCATCCCACCATGAAGGACATCAAAAAATACAGCGGAGGTCGTCTCCTGGTTGACTTTTTACATATCAAAACAGTTAGCAAAATCACTAACAAGAGGCTAACAGGATATACGCGGAGAGATGAAAACACTGTTCCCAGTGTGTGTCCTCCACTGGTGTATGATTGTGAGTGTTGTGTGTGTTGGTCGGAGAGGCCGTAGGCAAAAACTGGCAGCCACGTTTCCGTCAGTCTGCCCCAGGGCAGCCGTGACTACTAAGGTATTTTACCACCATCAGGGTGTGACTGTGTGAGCTAATGAACGATGTATCCATTGTAAAGCGCTTTGAGATCACTGACAAAAAGTGCTATAAATATCTGATGCATTTTTTAAATTATTATTTCTGCAGAATCTTTAGTCCAGTTTCAGTCTGATTGAGCTGTATACTGGAAGAAAAGCTGATCCCAAACTGCTTTATCCAGATATGTAAGTCCAACTGTTGCCTCTTCCACATTGCCATTCTGCAACAGCGCTTGAATAAAGCTCTGCCAAGGTGTAATATTGATGTCCCAAACCCAGTGTGCCATCCCGTTACCTCATAGCCAGACTGAAAGAGCGTTAAAATGTTCTTCTATCCAAAGCATTTCAGCTAAATGCTTTAAAAACATCCATGATTTTTTTAAAAACTATTAACCACACGTGCCCAAATGTGTTTTCCAAGATGGCAGCAGTTTTGAAAAGCCTAAACTTCTTCTTATTATTATTGACACATTATTGGAAAGGCCAGGATGTCCTGTACATGGTACAAAGAATTTAGAAATATGCTTTTTGCAAACTTATATCTATCACAGAGAACAAAGATGAATAAGTTCAGAAGGATAAAGAAGTGGTCTGTCTGTATGCAGATGATCTCAATTGCTTTTGTGGCCCATGAAGAACATTTAAGATTAAACTTCGGCCTATTTTTTATCCTGTTAGAAATCCCCCACAACAGCTTTAAATTGACTGTTTCAATCCACACAATACACACAGAAGAGAGGAACTTGTGCAATAACCCAGGTGTAGGTTACAGTATAACTGAAAACTGATGTTAAGAAGATAAAACCCAACTTTTACAACAAAAGTTTCCCCTCATGTCATCTCAGACAAAGAGGGAGCAGAGAAAACAACAGAAGATTGATGGCACAATAACGTCCGGCAGCTCAAAGAAAACATCATCGCCACAGAGCGTGTAACGCGAGAGACAAATACCCTGACAGGGTAAAAGGTCAGAGGTTGTACTGTGTCACATCAGATGCAGAAGTATGCAGACGCTAAACTGCGCAGCGTACGCTACAGACACAATAGATAGAGAACAAACTTTTTACGTTTTCAACTCAGAGCAATCATGTGAATTGTCTCAGAACAAGAGGAGAGGATGACAACATTGGTGCAGCCTTTAAAAAAACCACTCTCAGTCAGTCACTCACTCTCACTGCTGGCTTTGTTGATGTGTCTGACATCAAACCGAGCGCATGTGTTTTCTTTTTGAGTAATGCTTGTGATGACACATGTCTAAACTAGTTTTGATTGAAATCAGAGTGATCTACACTTGGAATAAACTTCAGTGAAATCAGGAAACTAAATCATTGTTCTTATATTGTGTTATATTATAGACCAAAAGTCTAAAAACTGTGTCCAGACTGAGAGATATAAGCTCTCAAACGATTTCTGACACACAAAAGTCTGAGGAAGAACTCAAGGTGAGACATATCACACAGTTGATCTTGATACTGTGTTGACAATACAGCAGCTAATTCTGACTGAAAACAGACATCAGATAGTGTGGTTTCACGTTTTTATTCATATTAGCAGAAAATACACCCACACAAGGTTAATAGAGTATTAGTATTAGTGGTAATAATCTCGCTTCTATCAGTGTGACGGTTACATTAGTGACTGCTCAGTGTGGGGTTGGTGCCAGTGAAGCCGGAGGAGTCAGCATGACCACGGCCGTGTTTATCATACCTACACTCATGGATTTACAAATGAAGCATGAAGTCCCAGAGGAACACTATCAAGCTCCCCTCGCTGGAAAATGTCAGGCAGCACCACGGAGAACAACAAATAAACAGCCGCAGAGCAAACAGCAAGTCTTGCTCAGGAGCCGGACTAAATGTGTCCAAGTCATTAGTACTTGATGGGGACTGGCCACCCAGTCTGACTCCCGTCTACGCTTCTCACACAGCACACTGACCAGCCCACTGTACTGGAGAGACTGGAAACAACCCCAGAGAGCATATATATTTATTTAATAGTGATATTTTTCTCTTGGATTTTAGATGTTTTGTATCTTTTTAGAGAGCATTTACCTTCAAACATGTTTCATTAACTTAATCGGCATGTTTTTTTTTAGTTGTTGAGATAAAAGTGCATTATTCAAACATATAAAAGTGCAGTCATGATGTTAAGATTGTAACATTCAGTTTAAAGTGACTGACATTTGGAGTGGAGTCGTCTGCTCTGGGCACGCCTCCCTAACTCGCTGATGCACTTTGAGTTGGCCCGCCCCTGCTCTTGTATAAATCCAGACAGAGTGAGTGTGTGAGGACACACACACACTCTGCCTCAGCCTCTATCAACAACACCTCTTCTTCTGTTTTGTGGATTACTGGATGGAAAATGTCCGACACAGTCAAACCTCTGACTTCCTTCTTCATAGACGACATCCTCTCTGTTAAGGACAGCACCAGATTAAACAGCAAAAGCTCCTCACAGAAGACGGACAGATGGAAAGAGGAGTCTGAAATGTTGTCGGAGCAGCTGTGTCCTCCAGAGGCGGCATTCAGGGTGCAGACAGGTGAGCTCCTAACCCACTACACTCTGTTTGACCTTGACTTTTCAGAGGGAAGTTTTATTTGCTAGTTCAAACTTTGTTTAATACAGAAATGTTCTACAGCAGTGTGTCAAACAAGTTTAAGGAGAACTTAATGGTGATAGTTAGCGGCCTTGTATACAACCCAAAGATCTGATCCTGTCTGTCCTCCACAGAGTCCTCTCGTCCCAGCTCTTCAGACTCCGGCAGCTTTTCCTCTTCAGGGAAACAGAAACGCTCCAGAGCCGCATTCACGCATCTCCAAGTGCTGGAACTGGAGAAGAAGTTTAGCCACCAGAAATACCTCTCTGCTCCAGAGAGGGCTCACCTGGCCACCACCTTAAGACTGACAGAGACTCAGGTGAAGATCTGGTTTCAGAACCGCAGGTACAAGACGAAACGAAAGCAGCAAAGCTCTGAATTCTGTAAGGACGTGTACAAAGCAGAGGGACTGAGTCTGAGGGAGGATTTGGTCCGATCGTCGCTGATCACCTCTCTCTGTAAAGCTTATCAATACAGACCCTACCTTTGGGACTACGGTGGCCCCTGGGGACCAACATTATGGTGAAACTGTCACTTCACAATCATCAAACTGTGTTTTTTATCTCTGATATTAAATTTCTCTGTTGATTCTTTAAATTTTGACTCTGATTTTTAACCGTCTGTTGCTTTTATTATTTTAACATTGAAATGATTTGATTCATGAACACATTACGTCGAATCCATGCTTTAGGAATAAGATTTTACACACAATCATATAAATGTTGGTTTGATAGTGCAATGAAACATTTGAAAGCTTAAGTAAAGTGTTGCATTGCACACAGATTGATTATTAAATCAATTTTTAAACATTTTACTTCTCAGATGCTCTTTGTTTTAAGAAATGTAGAACTGTGAATGAAGCACACGTGTCCCATATATCAGGCCACACCAGTCAGCAAACTAAAGCAATTTGATCAAAACACTGTTAAAAAAATACTTGTTGATTTTTGTGATTAAAATATAACATGAATATGAATTCAGTAAAGTGTTTTCAGGTTGAAAAAGGTTGGTTTGTGAAGAATATGTGTAAATAAACTTCAGTAGTCTTTTTACAAACACTCTCAAACTGTTTAAATATTTTATACAGTAGACAGAGAAGTTATCTGCGTGGAGTTAAACTCTGATAAAAGAGTAAAACTACATGAGGAGATAAGAGCAGCCAGAGATGCGGGTGATGTTGTAAATGAGGGCCAAAGAATGAGATCTGATTTCTTTAAAGAGTCTCCGACGTGATTACAAAGAGATAAACTCCTCCTCAGCTCTCAGGTGCTGACATCACGAGGAACGCCGCTCTACAAAAGACATTTCTGAGTTCGCTTTTTAATGATTCATCGTGGCGGTCAAACAGAGAATATAAACAGAAACACTGGATGAGAAATGATGGGCGATAAACTTTAACAGAGAGAATGGGAAACCTTAAAGATTGATGAAGTGATGATGGAGAAAATCCTCTGACAAGAAACTATTCTGGTTTTTAAGGTTCCATTGAGACGGTAACAAATCTGTCATGTGGCCTGTAAATGTGATAGTGATTTTTTAACAACCAAACCTGTTTGTTGACCGTTGTGGGATATAGAGAGAGGGAGTAGCGAGGATCAGAGACTGGAGTTGGTTATTCAAGAAAACTGAGGTGGCATATTTGAAGTTTTACTCAGATTTTGTCCGACCAAATCAAAGATGATCATTCTTAATTAAAAGCCTAAATCGAAGACTCTATTGATCAAAATCCAAAATTTAGAGCAAAAGTTAATGAAAGCATTGTCAGATAGAGCTCTGAACATTTACTGTGGTATAAAAATGTCTTCAGGTTAGATATAAGAGTGACCTGAGCCAAAGAGTCACTACAAAGATCTTTGAATCTACTTGTCATCTAAAGATATGTCTATGTCACAACTATTGTGCATTCTCACAATATTTTCTCTTGAGATAATGTTTTTGTTTCTTTAGCTTTGTTTAAAGAAATCAAATGAGTGTCGACAGAGAGTCCCAAAACCACTGTGTGCACAATTCAACTAAAAGGGTTACAAAAAGATGGTAACAAACGCACAGAGACAGCACCTTTAAAACACAACCGATAAGCATAATAAAGAATTGCTGGGTTTTCTGTATCTTCTCCCTTTCTTTGAAATATCTTCTTAATCTGCAAAGCATTTGCATTCAGCCCTTTCAAAGTAAGTCCATCAACATCTTACAGGTATCTGTCAGTTGGACAGGTTGTGTCCTTTGCATGTGTAGATCTGGAATGCACCTTTTTATCTTTGAGTGTACAGATAATATCCATGGCGTGATTTGTAGGATGTCCTGTCCAGTACAGTAAGTATGTCAACCTCCACGCTGAAATGAGTGACGTTTGCGTCACACCATGTGATCCTATTTTAGGATAAAAACAATAAATAACAAGATGAATTGAAGACATTGACTTTATCCTGGATCAGATCTGCATTAACTTCACAAGTATTTCCTACAAAGGGAGTGTCCGCATGAGAAAAAACAACCAACTGTTGGCTCACTTCAGAATCCAAACATAAAAAAAAATAGGGTAATTTTTGTTTGCAAGGCAGTTATACTTTTAAGCAAAGAAACAAGAAGATGGGGTGAGTATTTTTAATGCAAAAGTGTCTATTTTTAAAATTCAGACTCCAGTATACTTTATGTTATGATATGCAACTCTGAAATCTGCATCATTGCCTTTTTGTCCAACTCTGGATAAAATGTATCTTGTTTTATGGTGAAGTTTCAAGACTTGGAAAGACTTGGAAAATCCAAGACTTGCGTGGAATCATAAGTTTCAGCTTCTGCTTGGATCCAAATGGAACAGAAATCACCTTAATAACCGTTTTTTCTCTTAAAAATATGTAAAGGCTTCAAACATTTCCTTGTTTAAGTTTCCTCTAATGATAAAGGGGTCATCTTCTGTCAATCATGGGTTGCCAAGTACACAAATACATAACGAACAGGGTTACTCAACAGATCCAGACTTTGAACTATTTATATAAATAACTTTATGCAGGTTGGCATGCTGAGCTGTCTCAGGACTGCACTGATAAGATGCCAGAGAGGATTTTAGGCTTTACATATTTAAGACGTTTGTAGTAACATAACCAAAGTGTGAGCAGAGGACTGATGGAGGCGATAGAGGAAGATTTAAGAGCTCTCACGACACAAACCTGTTTGACTCCGTGTAGTAGAACAGGAATGTGTCATTTCCTTCTCTTTTATTCTCTGTATTTGATCGTTCATCTTACATTTAACTTTTTCTAAGGACCCCAGGAAGACGAGCTTCATCTTGACAAAATCAAAAGTTTTCTGGTTGCCATGAAGTTACCGAAGCCAAAATCACTATTCTCTAGGAAAAACAGCATTGTTTTCGTTTCAAAGCATATTCAAAAGACACACAGAGACAGTAACACGTGTTATAAAAACTAAATTAAAATCTGAATCTTGAATCTCGGTGATTTCCTCAAACTTAAGTGAGTTCTTATCAACATCCCCATTTACTCTGAGCCTTTCAGTAAACAGGTAATTAGACATGAAGAGGGCAGATAGCATCTGTTTTGACGGGGCTGAGAATCTGACAGTATCTCTCAGCGTCTCGGGCCGTATACAAGCGCTGCCATCAGATAAAGGAGACTGTTTAAAGGTGAAGCTGAAGGTTAGAAGAGCTGCTATTTTTGCACTTGCTATTGTAATACCTGCACGTCCGGACACGGTACATTGATTCACAAACACAGAGGACTCAAAGACAACATCCTCTTCTGTTTCCTCCTCTTCTGTCTCCGAGAGGGCCTCTAAATCACCTGGATTAACTGGATTTGGAGAGTAAATGATGGTGAGCATCTCTTCCTCTGTACTTGGATTATAGATTTTACCAGAACACGGCTACTTAAAGCTTTTCTTATACATGTACATCCAGGAAAAAAACCTTAAACCTTCAGGATTTATCTTCCTTGTCTATATATTTAGCGAACGGTGCAGTGAACAGTGTGGTTTGGAGTCGTCGTCAGGCTCTTCAAGGTGGCAAATGATGCTTTGAAAAACATCCAGATCTTCCAAACAGATGAGGAGAAAACCAAACCGGGACCACAAAGGGGGTCTTTGTTTGTGCTCCAATATGCCGTGACTGTCTGACAACCTTGTTGGAGTTGATAAGGAGGTTTCAAACAGCCCTGATCTTTCTTTTTTCACATGGGAAAAGTCATAAACTTCCTTAGATAGTGTAACTGGATCCCTCATGTACCAGTAGAGCAACTGTTTTCCCTCTCCCATCAGCAGATATAGCGCTGAATCAATCTCAGGGGTGGATAGGATTCATTGTGTGGCAGCAAACAGTATGTATGTGTGTGTGTGTGTGTGTGTGTGTGTGTGTGTGTGTGTGTGTGTGTGTGTGTGTGTGTGTGTGTGTGTGTGTGTGTGGGAGGGAGAGATGAGTAGTTTTCCTCATCCGTGAGATAAAGATATAAAGTAGTGGGACAGTTTACCGCTGATTGACATGATTAAACAAGAACAGATAGAGGACAGGGGCTGAGGGGGGCGCTCATTGTGCGCTCCAGATAAACAACCTGCTCGTGGACAAGGGCGAAAACCAAACACATGAGGGACGACAACGTTACGGCACAAGTGTACGTGTCCTACAGCATGTTGGGTTTGCAATAAAGGCCGAGAACAGTCTCAATCTGAGTGAGAAATCAGATCAGATCATTACATGCTGTAGTGTTTGCAGAAAACTCATTTGACATGCAGAATTTACCTTCATATAAACAGCAAAGACGATAAAACTCAGGGACAATACTTCATAGTTTCTACAAGGACAGCTGTGAACAATCGGAGGTCTTCAACATTAGTGTATGTGTGCATATACTAATGCTGTTTATGTTTGTTAACATGGTCATTTTCTTAATCTGCACTCTTTTAACAGTGGATGATGTCTGCACATCCAATTCATCAGTCATACAATAAGTAGATTATCTACATAGAACTGTCTTAAATACTTGAGGGCATTTGTAAACAAAATATTTCAAGACCAATATTAAACATTTGTTCTTGTATTTGCAATGAAGAGGACTATTCATGGCCTTGGTAATGAAGATTTGAGGGTTAGAGTTGGACTTATTTTGGATGATTTTATGTCTTACTTTATGTGATTGTCATGGGAATATATTGACAATTTTTAAAACATTCATTTCAGAGAATTCACTGTAATTTTTCATTTTGATGATTCATCAAGGACACCTAAGTCAAGAATTTCTGTCAATATTCGACTCACAAATTACAAAATAACTCACTCTTACATGCTCACAGTGGTACATTTATAGAGTAACACAAATGGCACAAATGTTCTAATAGATTTAGATTATTTTCTTGAGATGTGTTATAGCTCCCAGCACAGTTTATGGTCCATCTAGAAATATGGTGTCATATACTATGTAGACTTTAAAGGGTCTTATTGCACAATAACTAACATTTACTACAAGGACTTACAAATTAATTGTGTTATGGGTGTGTTTGACAGCTCAAAAGGACACTAGATGCTGAAAACTTAAAAAAATAAAATAAAATAAAGAAAGAAAGAAAAAGGGAGGCGCAGAAGACCTATTACACCACAGAGGGACATGTTGCTCTTTTTTTTTTTAACCTAGGTTTGTTAAACTGATTTTCAATCAAATTTCAGAGGTAGTAATCAGCTTCAAACACTTCAAATATTGTGGATTTACCAAAAACTGAGGCCAAACTAAGAGCAACATTTACTGTGCTGGGCTGGTAATGAAATTGTCACATACCTAAGAGTTGAGTGGAAGCTGTGCACCTCATGTCCTTCAAATTAAGCTACACTGCCCTCTACTGGACTTGCAGGAATCCTGCAGAGTCAAAGTTTTAAAGGATTGATTCACACAAATCTCAAATCTATGAATTCTCATCCTTACATGCTGATCTCTTCATAGTCTGTTTCTGTATTCATACTCTCATTCAAATATTGTAAAAGAAGCAACTTTTTTAACAATCAGCCTCATTTTTTCCTTCACATAAGACATGCTCATGTCAATCATATTCAAATTTTTACATCTTGGTGTGAACAGTTTTGTGTCGGATGTAAGCACTCTTCCACTGAAGGCTTTAAGTCTTTCAGTAGCTTGAAATGGATCACAAAACTGCCTTTTCTCAACGATTACACCACTGTACTACTGGATTTGTGCATTTAAATAAGTTTTCCTTGCAGTTTCCTCAAAATTTTCAACTTTGGCTGGAAAATACTACAGATTTAGCTAAAAAGGAGATATCTTAGTTAAAAGCACATTTACTATAATGGTTGTATTTTGCTGTTGAAAGCATAAAAACAGATGAGTTGAGACAGTACATAAGACAATTTGGATTAGATGAAACACAGAGCAATAAAAACAGAGGGTACATAACTTGCATGTTTATTCAAGCTCCAGTGTTACAAACTGTAGCAGCATTGTCACAATCATGTCATATTTGCATGGTTGAACTTCCAAGCATTGCTTAGATGGCACTTGCCAAAAAAATATCAGTCCATCTTCAGCCTCTATCATTTGTGCGTACATAGCATTAAAATATTTACACATTGTATAACCCCACGTATGATTTAACAGTTCTTCTGCCTCCTTCAAAATGTAAGCGTTTATTAGAAATACTGCTCTGATGTAGGAAAATACACAGACACAATTTGGGAGTTGTAACTCATGATCTAGATCTGTATGGAGTGATGAAGAAAAGCAAGCAGAGGATCTTTAAGTGTAACACAATAAATCAGAAACGTTTCTGACCTGCTACTTCTTCTTTCTGTTTTTTTTTCACTTCAAAGTCACCAGAGTGGGTTTTGTCTATAAACCTCATGAAGTTAGAAAAACACAGTGATATGAGTCTGCAGTAACAAAACAGCTTTGTTTTCGTCAAGCTGAACAAAACCAACATCCGTTTCTGTGAAATCCAATTCTGTAATGCCTTAAAGCTTATAGATAATATGCTGTCTGATCAGCAAATCAATTTTGATTACAGAGAAGTTCTTAAATAATCTATATAATAATCTAATAACATACAATTTTCACTTTTAACTAGAATTCTTCTGATTCATACAGGACATACCTGTGATATCATGGTTAGTATGCCAGTTAATGTATGGATCTTTCACCCCAAATAAATAATATGCTTACAAGAATAACAATAATGTGGTGCTAGCAGAGAGTGAATTGCAAAGCTAGGAAAATGTAAGCAGTGTTTTTGCATTAATATTATTTTTATACTGTACATATCTTTAAATCCCACGAGTATCAGTGTCGAGGTGGTAAAACGCAAGTAACGCCTCGTTTTCTAACTGCTCCTGTTACCTTTTAGTCGTGTTCTTTCAAGTACTTCAGTAGTTAATAAAGTTTTAGAGCTATTGAAAACAATGAGGGAGCAGAGTCATATCCAGCCTCTAAAACTGTGCCAAGATAACCAAAAGATTGGACCGTTTTACCGCCATAAAAAAACAGTACAAAATAAAGAAAGATGGAATGACAATTCACAGCTGACAGGCAAATAGCATCATGACAAAAGGTTGAGAGTAAGATGCACAGCACATGATGCATGTCTTTGGTAGATCAGCTATTACTCAACAGGCATAGTGAATCCGTGACTAAACGGTTTGTGAGACCAACGGAATCAGATGGACTCGGAGTTCTACCAAAGGAATGAAAACTCCATAATCAAAAGCAAATAAATGTGGCTGCTTGTGAGATTACATCAATATCTGGAGGAATTTCTTGATTACTGAATGGAAAATTTAAAAAAAAGAGGCTGCAGAGAGCAGATCACACAGGAAATATGTTAACTATAACAGGATGAGAAAAAGAGACAAACTGCAAAACCTGCAGAGCAGATGGTTTGATCTCATAGTTTCGGAATAAAACTAAACTTTTGTTTCTACATTTTAAACTGTAGAAAGTCTGTATCTATACAACTTATACTCTGAAAGTATCTATATACAATCTACAACCTTTATGTCAAAGGTCATTCTAACTCACACAAACGACACAGGCCATTCAAAAGCTGTACTATCACAAATAACATCCTTTTTGATCCACCTTTGGACCTGCATCATTACGTTTTTAAAATAAACTGTATACTCTGTTTTTGAACACATATAAACAAGCTGCCGTCTTCCTGCAACAGGTTCGATTCTTTAAATTAGACTACGTTTGTGCGTGATTCAGCTGTATGGTAGTGCTGCGCTGTACAAGGCAAATAATAGGACCACACATCTTGATACTGGGAGTGACAGAATAACTCTTATGGAGAGAAACATGAAACTTAAAGCCAAAAACATCATTTAAAAAAAAATAAAAAACAGAGCTGCAGCAGATTTTTTGCTTTGAACATTTAGTGCAGAGCTAGCAATTAAAGACAGCACTCAGATCAACAAGTTTACTTGAACACATGACTGTAATAAAAAAAAAAACAGAAAAATAATGCCTCCTTTTATTTTTCTCTAAAAAAAAAACAAAAAGCAAAAAGAAGAAATCAATGTGAAGCAGCTGTAAGTATTTAGTATTTATGAGGCACTTGGAAAGAGCAACTGTTTCTCTGGCTGTAGAGTTAATGAAAGGAATGTGTTTCTGTTTTTTTTCTTTATAAATACACGACGAAATAAAACAAACAAACAGCGCCGTTAGTCTTCCGCAGCCGTAAAAACGCGAGCCTTGAAAAAGCTGACAAAATAAATAAAAAGCTCAAATATTAAGAACTATAAACATATTTCAAGACAACTTAATTATACCGAAAAACAAGAGAGTGGTTTGGAGAGTTGATGTGTTTGTGGAGTGGAGTGGGAGAGGAAGGAGGAAGAGGACCATGTAATCCTTCAACATGTATCTGTCCTTCTTCGATCTGATGCATATTCTTGTTGTGCAACTTTGTGTTTACACGCATACACACTTGTATAATAAGGAGTGCCGCACCGAGCCTCCATAAAGACGACTTCCCTGTGAGAAAGACAACGATGGTTCCTCCTCAGATGGGCTTTCATCAGTTTTACTCATGGTGTGGTTTTTCTTCCAGACGTATTTTCTGCTACATGGGTCCTGGTCCTGTGTCGGATTCCAGCTGCTGTTTCGTCAGGAAGTACTTGAAGAACTCGTACACGGACCAAGCGATGGCAGTAGAGGGCATCTGGTAAATCACCCTAGCTTGGACCCCTTTAAAGAACGCTGCCATACCTCCGAGCCGGTACACTGTCCTGAAAGCGTTCGCCATCCCTGTTAAGTGTCCGCTGATGTTCATGGAGCTGAGCGCCACGTTCTCCTGTGTGTTGAGCAAAGTCTTACAAACGTCGAGAGGGGTAGTTATTGCTGCGGAAACGGCTCCTGCGGCCGCTCCTGACACGATGTGGCTACCCGGGTGGTAATGTCTGTGGGGGTTTAGCTGTTCCTGCATCAGCTCGTATGTGATGAAGTGAACAGCCTGGAAGGGGATGTTCATGGTCAGCTGCGTGCTGTAGCTGCGGTAGAAAGCTCCGACACCCTCGGTACGAGTTACTGTCTGAATACAGTCCATAAGTCCTCGATATGGAGAGTTGTACATCTGCATCCTCTGCTTTATCACTGAGGAAAGGAACAAAAAGCCATGTTTGCATACTTTATCATGAACGTCTTTATTCACTTTTATATAAATATGAGTACTATACAGTTTTATTTTCCATTATCTTTGTATACGAGTGAAAGGAAAAGACCAAAAGAAGTGCTGCGTATCCGTGGCTAGGGGTGGGAGAAAAAAATCGATTTACATAAGTATCGCAATTTTTTGATTTACAATTTTTATGTTCAAAAATACATTTTTTTTTAAATTTAAGAATAAATCTTAAAAACTGACCCACATGTAATATGTATTTTTTGGGGAAATATGGTTCCTGAGATAGTCATTAAACAATCACAATCATTCAACTGTTTCACTGATGTTAAAAATGCAGACTAAAAATCGAGAAAATCGACAATATTGTAGAATCGCAATTTAAATCGAATCAGCATCCAAAAAAACGTAGAAGAATCGAATCGGGAGAAAAGCATATCGTCCCAACCCTGCCCATTTATATAGCTAAAATCTAAAAATAGATATGGAACTAAGTCACATTATAACTAACATTCATAATAAATCATTTGTGTAATAGTTATTGGTAAAAAAATGGCATTTACCCAGTATTCAGTCTTGACACTGACATTAGAAAGCACAAACATAGATGTAGATGTACTGTTGTTCCACCATCAAATCAAACATAGGAGACAGTGACAGAGCTCAGTCTGTCAAGCTGGCAGAACAGGAGATGTGACAATTAAGTGACATGTAATGCTTGCGGCCTACCAGCAGGTAGCAGCTGACTCAAAGAGAAAGAGGTCGGCAGGTAAACTACAGAGCGAGCAAATGGTCGACAATTAGGGTGTTATGGTACCCGTGTTTTAAGAAGACATATTCATGCCCGCTCAGTATGAAATAATTTACTCTGGTTCAATGCGGGGAAAAGTGTTTAGCTTAAAAAGGTATCAGCTCCATTTTCTATTTAAACAGCTCATCACCCCGATGTACAGCCCGATTTGAGTATTGGTTTTGATTTCAAATTGGACAAGATACTCATCTTCCAACATGCGCTCATGGTTGGTTTCCTACATTTGTTGACAAATGTACACGTAACACCAGTGTATTAAAAGGTGGGGTAGGCAGGATCTGAGGAAGTGCCAGTATTTGGGAGAAACCTTGAATGTAAACACTTCCCCTCCCAACCAGTTTTCCCCTCAGCTCCTCCTCTCCCCTCACTCTCTGTTCCAGCAAGCCCCGCCCACAAACAGACGCTCCTGCTCGCCCGTATCATTTCAATTAAATTCAAATATCATGCAAATAAATACTTACAAATGGGGACCAGTCAACGTGAAAGTAAAAAGCATTGGTGCTACTGTAGATGCCAACAAACTACCAGCAAACACAATGTTTGCAGGACTTCTACAACTAGGATAAAGTGACATAGTCCATGGCCTGAGGTCAACAGTTTAGTGGCGCTACAACACGCAGAAAGTCTCTTTGGTTTACCTGTCCAGCAGAAAGGTTACAGGGTCCGTAAGATCCTAAAGCGTTTATGCTTCATTGATGTTGACTCCCCTTCTTAAGCACCTGTTATTCTGCCAGAGTCTCCAGTATTCACTTCTTTCTTGTGTTGGCAGTCGTGGCCAAAGGAGGATTCAGACAATTTTCCGAACTTTCTGGTTGGTTTCTACTGTCCGACATTGTAGCACACTAACTTTGTTTGGGCTCGTGAACGACACGGGGGAGCAGCGTCTGCCTCACAATCAATCAGCACAAGGAAGTAGGGCGTGCCTTACAACTAATCAGGTTGGGGGAGGCGGGTAATGGCTTTGTTTACAGTCAGAAAGACGCTCAAAAATTTAAAAATGTTGACTACACAGACATAACAAAACACAGCGATATCGTGATATTACCAAATGTCATCAATAACTACTGGCTATTAACTGATATTAAAAGCTTTTGTGTATATACACCACAAAAAAGGCTGCTCCCTGAACGGATTCCTACCTACCCCACCTTTAATCCTGTAGGAAAACAAGGTGTGTATTTCTTACCTTCAGCTGGATTCATGACAGCATCATGAAGAACAGTGGCCACACTGCCTGCCACACCTGTCAAAGGTATAAAAAACAAAATAAATACCAAATTCATCTGTCCTGGATAGGCGCCGTTAATCATCCGGGTTTGACTTAAATTAGCTGTAATTTCCTTGTGTTTCAATGTTAAAAAAAACCTCTTCCATGTATCTTCCCATCCCAGATAACCATTGAAATTTTCCACGTTTGGAACGTGCCTTATTCTTTGCCATTGTAAACAGGATATGGCTTCAGAAAGGACTAATCCAAACTGTACTCCTCCAGGCCACGGTTCTTGGCTTGATGTAAAAGTGTTCAAAGTGACTACCAAGTGAAAAACGTGGGAACTAGTACCATTTGCTAAATGGCTGTTGCCTCCACTCTGAATGACGTCACTCAGCGAGCGTTTGACCCGTTCGTAACAGGCGAAGTAGAGCGCATGAGCCGGTCCTGCTCCCATCATGGTGATATTCAGGCCCCTTAGAGGTCTGAAGACTCCCTCTGTGCGGACGATCCTTTTCAGAGCTTCATACACACTCCTGTACTGAGCGTTTGGGTCCGGCTGCAGGCACTGCATCCTTGTCTGAAAATAAAGGACATTCATTTAAACTTGTTCATCCTTTGCTTCATTCTGGTTAGACTTGACAGTGGTCAGAGAATCCACGTGACTCCGAGTGGCTCTAAAGTGGGCACCTGGTTTAATCACTCTTTCTGGCTGTATTGTTCGCTGTCACATTGTTCTGACAGTAAGTGTTCTTGGCAGCGCTGAGATCCTGACTGAGTGATGCGTGTCTCTCCCAAGGCTGGCGTGGGAGGCTGTGGCAGCCCTTTGTTTAACTCCACCATGCCAAGTTATCTGCACACCACAAAGCATGTTTTTATTTATGAAGAGATCTGGGGCTGCTTCAGGAGATAGGCTGAGTCTATCTTCCTCAGCAAGTTCCCATGTTTCCTTCCTTTGGATTAACAATAAAATATCTGTCACATTTCCGTTTGATACAGATTTGGAAACTTTGGGCACACAAAAGTTTGGTACGACAGTTTACATTTGAAGTTTCAGAGAGTGGATTTAGGCACCGCAAATCACATCGGTAACAGGGAGACCAAACCTGATTTTGTTTGTATTTAGGCCACTCAATAGACAAAGAGGTTTAAGTACAAGTTATATCAGTTTATTCTTTAAAAATTCTTGGCTTTCAAAATAGTGCTGAAAGAGGGTTCAACTGTGGGACTGTCCTCTTTACAGTGACATAAGAGCCAACCTAAGCACCGCCAGTACATGGCAAATAAGAAACCGATGCTCCAAGTTTAACCACTGAAAATAAAGAATCTGAAAAAAGAAAACAGACTGTTAACTTACAGTAAATGATTAACACCTCAACTGAGTTAAAGTAAAAGAAAAACTGTGGTTATAGATTTAGAAAACACACACTTTTCTGTCAAAGAAACTGGTTTCTCTTCACACTATAAAATATTAAAGGACTCTTGTTTGATTATATTGTCTGATTTTAATCCCTAATGTTCTTACATCAGTGGTTTTCTTACAGAGAAAAACAGATTTGAGGCTATTATCACAGTTTGTAATGTAGTTTGTATGTCATCTGGATTGTTGCCGATATGCTCCTATTATTGATGTTTTTTTTTGTTTTTATATATTGCAACCAAATCTGCTCATGGAACTGGGGGATGGAAATGAACCATTTACATTTAACATGTAAATGTTCTGTAATGCATACTGTCCCATTAAAAAAGAAAAAAATCCTAAATGTGATGCAATGGTTCATCTGTTAATGACTATCAAAAGCACTAGATTTGAGCATGCAAAATAATTTGTTCATTTCTTAAATCGTGATCATGTCTTAAAAAAAGCAAAATATAGATCAAGAAGTTTAAGTTTACAAAAGCTAAGCTAACAACACTCCTTCAGAATATATCCAGATCTGATAAGAAATAAACCTGTGAGTAAATTTAATGCATCCAAACATAAGAAGACATATTGAATCATAAATTCGCGGTATAGTTAAAAGCACACAGATTAGTTTATCTTTCTGTCCTCAAAAGACTTCGCCCCGTCGTTTTTTCCTTGTAGATCCCAACAGTGGTGTCTGCATTAAAACGCTCTGATAATCTTCTCCGGCCTGCGCCACACCTTTCTTGTAAAATCTCGTAATTTTAAAGGAACATCTTAGCTCTGGTGCTGTGGCCGTTTACTAATCAACACAGCAGGGGAACGACTGCCTACACACACCCTTCACTGTGTGAGGCTGATTCCAAGTGTGTGTAGAAGCGATAAGATCCCCCTCCTAACATCAGACTACTCCCTGACTAAAGGCGGCTTTGCGTATTTACTCAGGGATTGAAGCACACAGAAAATCAGGAGGTTAGAAAAACTGAGTCCACTTGATCTAAGCAGAGACACAATTTTATTTATTAACTGAACATGCTGTTCTCTCCCTTAAATAGAAATAAATGCAATCAAGTCTGACATTTACGTTTGTTTTTTTCAACTCTGTACACTGAAGCTGGTCTGAAATGGGAACCACATTCATTCTTTCTTCAATTACATTGTTTGACATTTCACAACGCCTTCTTTGTCAATTCCAGACATGCACCGATCGCACTGAATGGATGGTGCTTGTGAAAACTAAGAAAACTCAAGAGGAAGTGGAAACAATGGTTTGAGTAATACAGGGACAGGTGTTGGTTTGGAAAGATGACTTCGGAGACTGTGACACAGCAGTAAGAACAATATAATCACTTTCTTGTGAGGTGTGTTAATGGAGTTGTCAGTGTCACCTCAAGATTATTGAAAGTGTTAAGGCAGGCCAAATTTTTTAAAACAGCCCTGCATTGTTAGAGAACAAAGGCAGAGCAGAAGAGGAGGATTGAAGGGGTAAAGTTCACAATCACTTTAACCGTTTGCAATTTGCTCTGGAGTTACAAATGTAGTTTGTAAGTTGTAACATTAAGTTGTTGAGCTTCTAGGTTTAAATTTTTAGATAAAATGTATGCTAAAGTTTGTGTTTTTCAACCTGCCCAAGAGCAGTTATTCACACTAAGAGAGCTGCAGCATGGGGAGGTTTCAGTGAGTCAGATTTCATGTGATCCGTGTCGTGTTTATATCACAAAGGCTGGTCCAACAATCGAGACTTAATTTTGAATGTATGAATGACATCAAACCACTTGAGCCCTTTGCTTGTTCAGTTATGCATAAAGCTGCTTGTGCATTAGCTTGTCTCTGCAACTGGAAAATTTTCCTCAACACACGACTGTAACATTGAACAGATTCTTTGTTCATTAATGTCCATGAAACAAAGTTTATTAATCTACTGACTCCAAAGTGTGATAAATTGAGGTTACAGAGAGGAAATTAAACAATTCCTTGTACCCACATTAAGCTATGAACATTTTATTTTTACTGTTAACTATTGTTATAGGATGTAGTTGGATGTTAAGCTGCATTTTGTTGTTCAAGTATGTGATGTGAGCATTTACAGTACAGTTAAATCAAACCTAATGAATACAACATGTCTTTACTTGTAATAGTTCATTTCATCTTTTGATCCTTGTGAAGGAATTTCAGTTTCAGTTTGTGTAATTGTTTTCACCCTGTGTGAACAAAGCAGTACCTCTTATCTCCAATAGTATTTTTTTTAAATAAATTTACCTTCCTTTATTTTAAGAGAGAAATGTATCAGTCACTAAGAACCACTGCTATCGAAAATGTACTGGTAACTCCAAAGGGCTGTTTTAGCAGTATGCAGTAAGTGACCTTATCTGACTCCTACCCCTGGCAGCAGTTTTAGACATTATAATAATCCAATTTAAATAGTCACTCTTTACACTTAACGGAACTGTTTACATTTGTAGGTCATGCGGAGGCATCAGTATTAATTTCCATCTGTTTTGTGACAAGTTAAAAACTCTTAATGGGAGTTTTAATGTGATACAAAGTGATATAAATCCATTATGTAAATTCTGTACAAATGTAAATATAATATATCTTGTTTTAACTCAAGTTTCTTTATCTTTTAATTTTTGTCTTTTTGTATCTACACTATGCTGTTGTGATTTTGGAATTTCCCCCCTGTGGAACTAATAAAGAAACATCTTATACTTTTCATTGGAAATTAACAGCCCAAAGTTGTACAGTACTCAATTATAATGAAGATTAAATACAACTTAGCCCATTCTTTTTAACATCAAACTGGTTTTATGTTTTAATCTTTGTCTTTTTGTATCTGTACTATGCTGCTGTAATTTTGGAATTTCCCCCTGTGGGACTAATAAAGGAACATCTTATACTTTTCATTGGAAATTAACAACCCAAAGGTGTACAGTACTTAATTATAATGAAGATTAAATGCAACTTAGCCCATTCTTTTTAACATCAAATCACTTTTATAAAAAATAATGTTATTTCTTGTTAGAGTTGCTGTCATATCATGGTAGCATGTCTAGTGTTGAATGATAAGGTCCTTTGACATAATTTACAGTCGAGCCTGTTACTTGACCTTCACTCACCCTACGTCAGTCTAAATAACTCATTTTGTTTCCTTGTATAAAGAAAAAAACGTTGTGGTTGAGGGAAAAAACCGGGACACGATTAAAAAACGAGCCCAAGAGTGAAATAACAAACTTTTTCCACCCCAACCCTGCTAATATCTGACTTAATGTGGGTTAATTCAGGTTAAAGTAAGGTTACCATGTTAGCGGAGTTAATAGTTATTCAAAACAAGAATAGAAGTACAACTACTCTCTCTGTTATGCTAAAACGAGGCATTTCTTTTTCCATTTTAATTCAAGCGAGCCAGCTGAACTAGTTTGTTGAGTGTACCTGAAACTGTCGTGCAGAGAGGAGCTAAAGGCTAACTGTGGATGGGCAGCTTCAACATTTTAAAGCTAACGTGTGTTAGCAGGCAGCAGTAGCAGCCACTCTCACAGCAGTTAGCAGCCGTTTTTTTAGCCTGTACTTGCACGAGAAAAGAAAACAAGTGAGACTCGCTGCTAGGCTGCCCTCTGTGTACGTTACCTTGACTGAGTCCACCGGGTACATCACGGTGTGCTCCAGTATGCCAGCCACGGCTCCGGCTGTCATGTGGGTCGTCACTGAGACATGAGGTGGCAAGCTCTCGTAGTCCCCGACACCGTCGAAAGGCTCATCGTCTTTGCTCTTGGTCTGCGACATCTCCAGTGTTACCACCACACGCTCCGAGCTCAACTCCATGCGTGGTGAGCTCTCCCTGGTGATCTTCTACACGAGATAACACGCAGGGAGCGAAAGAGGTGTCGGCGGCATGGACCACAACACCATCACACACACTTCTTAGTGGAGTTCCAGCGCCCGTGTGACGTTGGCAGTTGGAGGCGCGGCACGAGTAGTAACGGGCCAACCATTTTCAAATAATTTGTGAGTAGGCGGGCTTTCAGTTTGCGGTGTCCAATGAGAAGTTTCCATGGTGGATTCCTGTGACACTTTACAGCCCGCCCCCTGATGTCTCTACCTGCTGGTTTCTGTTTTCTTTGAATGAATTAGTGGAATCTCACTCTTCTGTTTGGAGAGATTAGTAGGCTTGGTCTTATTATCGAGTAACGTTACAACAGTCATAACGTCTTGGTTTTTGTTTCTTGTAATTCTTCGAGAGTACAGAAGAAATGGCAGCAAATATGAGGACAAGGGATAAAATACGTTGATGTAGGAGTGCCTCTTTCATCCTGGTTTTATATTATTATTTTTTTCTTAAATTATTTTTATTAGCATTATTTATTATTATTATTATTATTATTATTATTATTATTACTATTATTATTATTATTATTACACGTGCATAAACTTGTATGGAACGTATTTTAAAGGGATATTCCGTCGTAAAATTAATTTAGGGTCAAACATGCCTTAATACCGAGTTAGACAACCCCTCAAGAGGTGAATGTTGCCGACCGCTTGCTTCTCTAGTTATACCAACTTCAGTAACAACCGCACGATAGCAAATAATGCTCAGAACAGCACCTAACTTCATCAACAGTACTTATAGGGTCCCAGCCACAGCAATAGCCACCAAACATCTTGTTGCTTTGCCCAATTTCTTTAGCAAGGAGACCAAAAACAAGTCACCTACTCTCTTCCAGCAGCCTCTTGTTTGTAGCCTCAGGCCAGTCCATTACGGACTGCAGCGGGGTGACGCAGCTCAAGGAAGAACATTTATGATCATTTCTTCATGGAAATGCAATCAGACCGAGACACTGAGGCCGAAGAACTACCGTGTCTGCAGTGCAAAATGATTAATATGATGATTATTACTTAAAGGAAACAATAAAGAAATTATCATAAATACTCTTCTTTGAGCTGCGTCATCCCGCTGTAGTCCGTAATGGACTGGCCTGAGGCTACAAAGAAGCGGTTGCTGGAAGAGAGTAGGTGAGTTGAGTTTAGTTTCTTTGCTAAAGAAATTAGGCAAAGCCAAAGAGACATTTGGTGGCTAGTACTATGGCTAGGACCCTATATGTACTGTTGATGAAGTTAGGTGCTGTTCTGAGCATCATTTGTGGCGTTTTGGTTGAGGTTTGTTTATGGCTCCTCAGACCGCTGTGTATTGCTATCCTGCGGTCATTACTAAAGTTGGTATAACTTGAAAAGCAAGCGGTCAGCAACATTCATCTCTCAAGGGGGTGTCTAACTCGGTGGTACAGCGTGTTTGACCCTAAATTAATTTTATGCCAGAATATCCCTTTAATAGCCTCTAATATTGATTACATCACAAATATGACATTGCAACAGATTTGTAATAGATCAAATGCATAATAAATAATTGCAGATGAATAAAGAAATACCTAAACATGTGTTTAGGAAAAAAGATAGCATCTACCCTGTGAATGTGTTGCAGTATAAATACTCAGTGTTTCAGGTGGTGGTTTTAAAAATAAGTTAAAAAAATATGTGGGATACTTAGTTTACTTGAAAAGTTAAAGCTTTGTTGTTTGTGCAGATAAACTATTTAATCACAAGGTGCTATTTGCAGCTTAAATATCCTTCATAAGAGCATGAGAATGCTCATCTATAGCCGTATGTCAGGCCTATTGTTTAAATTGAATAGTGAGAGAGCTCAGTTTGTGCCAGTGAGGCCACATGAACATGTCCACATTTTTCTCACTCCATCTCTTATTCTTAATAATTTATTGTATAGTTGTATAGTCATCTCTTGTTGCAAGCCAGAAGTTTAAATTACACCTTGATACCCAGCTGGATGTCTGGTTGTGTGTTGACAATCATCTAATTAGACTGAACAAAATAAAGATTTAGCACATGTATATCAATTTCCTCACCTTGTGTTAATAGAATAAGAAAGATCTGAACACTTTTCTTGTTTGTGAACTTTCTGTTTGTCTGATTTTTGATTTGTTGATTACTTTTTTCACTGAATCCAAAATACCACCATCACACAATTGGCTGAAACTCAAGCTGTGCTAACTGGGCCTGCAGTGGCGTTGTCGCAAGCGTGTCAGCCAAGTAGTGTGATATATCAGTGACTCAGCATTTTAGGAGCCTGATCTTACGGAGCCACTCATTCAAACGGTTTTCTTACGGCTTATCGTGTTCAAGGAGAAACTACACCTGTTACACTGGCTCCATCCACCTGTTAAAGGTGAGGTAAGGTAAACGAATTGACTATTTGGTAAACTAAAAGAGAATTTTTATTGGTTACTGGGAACTTAAGGGTCATGAAGGAATTACAGGCAACATTTTCATCTTGATCTTATGGAATAAAAATCCAGACGAGTGTACGATAAAACCTTTATTTCTTCAGTTCAGTGTGACATTTATCTGTGCAAACTTTTTCACTAGTAGTAGACCATTTCCATATAAATAACAGGGCCTGTGCTCTCATTTTAATCCCTCTCACAGCAGTGATATGATGGCTTCTGAAAATGAAGCTCAACATAAATATATGCAAGAATATCCAAACTCTTAAGTCAGACAAGCCAACACATGAGTTTCAGCAGGGCTTTAAGAGTGATTGATACTCCCGGCAAAGGAGCAGTAGACGTAGGTTGTAGCGTTCCCCCAACAGTGACAGAACATGTATTGCACTTGTAGAGCCATTAATAGGCTATCTGTCTTGTTGAGGCAAAATAATTTAAGTAAGACACACACACAATAAAAAGAATACAGGCTGGAAAAAAACTAACTGCATCAAAAAGTGCTCCGTCTATTATGAATCATACTGTTTTTGAGGTTCTGCAGAAATGCTGAATGCTTGTACCATTTGACGACAAAAACAAAGAAAAGATGTGATCGTACACATATAAAATAGGCATAAATAAAAGGCGAATGCCCCATAAATTACCCCTCAGTAACAAGTTTAGATGAAACATGTAGCTGGGCTAGAATTTTAGCTAGCAGAAAAAGTACCTTTTCGTTTTCTTGTTAAAGAAATTAAGTCGAAGACACCTGGAGGTAATTGCCGTTTTGATTTTAAAAACAGGGTATGTAGCAGGCAAAAACATGATTTCTAGAAGACATCTTAATATTTAACAAAATAACTTAAACTTATTCATGGCTCAGGTAAGCCTGGTGACTTATCTAAATTTTTCTTAAAATGTCCATTCGCCAGTCATCTGATCCAACTCGTAGGAGGAAGAAGTTGCTTTCAGACAATGACCTCAGGGAGAAAAGAGGAAATGACCAGCTTTGGAAAGTCAGAAATGTTGTCCAAACACCCTTCAAACATTAGAGGTTGATAGGGAGTGTGGGTGAACCGATGCCCTCTTCCAGCCACGTCACAGCTGAGGGGCTGCAGCGCTGCGCTGTGCGCCGGTGGATGCGGCGGAGTCGCAGCAAGTACAGCATAATGGACAACAACACAATAAAGAAACAAGCCAGAAACAAGTAGTGGTTGTTGACGAAAGAGAAGCTGTGCCGCCAGTGAGAGTGCAGTCCTTTCAGACTTTCCTGCTGGATGTCCCTAGAAGAGGTAAGAGGAAATACAAACACAGCTTAAAGAGGCTTTAAGCACAGAGATAAACAGAAATCCTGTTCAGCACCTGTTCATTATACTTAAGATGTAAGGAAGCTTGATTAGATTGATGATCTAACAAGGGTCCTGAGTTAAACCGACCAAACTGAAGGCTTATACAAAGTAAGCTGATCAGGAGCAATTCCTCTTTTTCTCAAGATTAGCACCACATGTGAGTTTATAATCTGATATGAATAGATTTTTTTAAAGATTAGTTCACAAATGAATCTGAAAGAGCATGACATTGAAAGATACTGGTTCAGCCTAACAGTTAGACCAGTAAGTCCCACTTCTAATGTTTACGATTTGTCGTGAGTTAAGACTCCACAAGTTAAGAAACCTGTGAGACTACTGAAATTCCTTCACTTTTATTGACCTCCTGCTGCTAAACACAGTCGAAAACTGAACTCTGCAGACCTCAGCGTAGACTCTTAACTATAACTTCAAGTGTGCTGTTATTAAAGGCAATCAAACGCTGATCATTCCAAAAACAGTCGCTGGTTAAGAAGGTTTAACCACATAGGGTTTAAGAGAATAATCTTTGCCGGCAAACAACTTAAGGCCTGATTAGGAGAAAGAACACATGGGGAGAAAATCGCTCCTACCTTAAAGGCAGAAAGCGTGTTCTGTAAAGAATAGCTCCAAGAGTCCACTGGACCTCCTTATCGTAGACCAGCAGAGCGGTCTTCAGGTTTTTATAGTTGGCCGGGAAAGAGAAGCCCAAGTGTAATACTTCATACATCCACGCCGATTTAAAACACTGGTACCTGCAGGCAGAGAAAGCATCGGGCCACTGGTAAACATTCTTGTCCTGACTAGCAGACATCTTTTTCTGGGGTGTGGCTAACTGGTCGGTTGACATTTGGAAATAGTACGATAATCCTACGAGACTTACTTCAGTCTGTGAAGATCAGCATGTGAAGCATACAGGCCGGAGTCAAAGCGCTCCCTCAGAGTTTTCCACTGGGTTGCGCAGTAACTCTGTAAGACGTTGAATAAAAAAAAACACAAGAATTAAAAACCTAAGTAACCTCTGTTGATTGAAAATTATACTCAAGTCTACAGCAGGATTGTATTGTTTTAAAAAGTAGTTATTTTTTGTAAGAATTTATTTTTTTAACATTTATGATCATTTCTTTATGGAAATGCAATCAGACTGAGACGCTAAGGCAGAAGAACTACCGCGTCTGCAGTGCAAAATGATTAAAATGATGATTATTACTTCAAAGAATATTATGAATTAATGATCATAAATGTGTATTGCTATCATGCAGTCATTACTAAAGTTGGTATAACTAGAGAAGCAAGTGGTCGGCAACATTCATCTCTCGAGGGGTGTCTTAAGGTCGTTTCACTACAGGACCGTTTTTTTGTGCGATTATTTCAGACGTCAATATCTTTTTTTGAACCCGTATCCTGTCAATACAAGCGTTCACATCAGTGACGTTTTCCCTTCCTGCGAAATTGCGGCATTTATTTTTTCGGATCACGGTCGATTTTTCTAAAGTTTCGCATACTGTGTGTCCAGTTCTGACCAATCAGATTGCGTGTTGTTGCGATGTCTGATTCACCGGTATATCCATCATGGCCGACCGGCTGATTGTTTACGTGTCAGAGAACAGATTGCTTTTTGATAAAAAAACACAAACGTTACAAAGATAACGCCTGAAGGACAACATAGCATCAGATCTCTTATATGACGATGGTTTGTGTGCTTTAACAGTTCGCTAAACGCCTTTGTTTCAACTTTCATCTGTGCTAACGTAAGCTAACGGTTGTTACCATAGTTTCATGCAATTATCTTATCGCCTCTGATTGGCTTTAAGTGGTGACCGTTTGGCTTGAGCGTGTGATGACGTTACCAGCTTTTCTAGCCAATCAGAGGCGAAAGAGGCGGGACTTTCACCGGAAAAAGTCTTCCCCGGGATCATCTTTTGCCCCCTGGAAAGTCGCAAAATCGTATCGGGCTTGATGTGTATAGTCAGGCGCGTCAAAATTCATCTCCGAATATTTCGTAATTTCGCGTTCTATATTCGCGCCGGCCCCGGTGTGTAAGGACCTAAACTCTGTGTTATGGTAAATGAGTTTTTTACGCCGGAATATCCCTTTAATACTTGATAAAAATTGATTTGAATGCTCTAATGAAGAAGATATAATTTCTTTTATAGCAGCATTTACCTTAGCAGACTGGGCATACTTGGAAGCATTATAATCCCCACCCATGCGCAGCACGTCCTCTGTGCAGTAGTAGAACTCAGAGAAACCGTAGAACTGACTGTTGTTATAGTCTATTTCTGGCTGGTAGATCCCACTGAGGGAGGTTTGAGTCTCGTTGGTGCGGTTGAGAAATGGCTGGAGAATCTGCCGACACAGGTCAAAGTCCCCTGTTCCCCGCAGATGGAGCTTCTGTGTGGAGGGACCGATCTCATCCTGCAGATCTGTAGGGAGACACGGGTCCAGGAGGGGAGACTCTGCTGTCTCACCAGCATGCTGATCTAAGAGCCTGAAGGGAATTAGCAATAAGTTGTTAATAATGAGTGGCAGGAATCAGAAAAAAATGAACCATCCAGATCAGTGTCTTACTTGTTTTTGGTGGCAGTATTCCTGATTAGATTTTCTTCATATCTTTGGCGTGCTGCATTTCCTCCAAACCCCAGGAAAGTGGACACATAAACACGGTAAACATGCTCCGTTCGATGTGCGTCACAGCCCAGGTTGAACTCAGCCAGTAAATTCTTGGCAACTTCCTCCTGAGAGACAAACAAAAATCAGCCTGGCAATGATAGAACCTCACCAAATATTCATGCACATCCATTCTTATTTAAAATGAGACGAATGCTGACATGCAAGACGTTAGTTTATAAATCAAGTGTTGTAATGTCTTGACAAAAGTTTTTTAAGATTGATTATGTATGGTGTAAGGAGAAAACAATGACAGCAAAAAAGACAAGCAGTGTATGTCAAGCCCGTTACTGTTCAATTAAAGGTCTATTACACCTAAAAATACCTGACATGAACAACTTTGGTTGAATTTCACAGTCCCTACTTCAAATTCCTAATGTTCTCAGTTCAATAATCCTGCTATAGAGTCATGCAGCAGGCTTACAGTATGCCTTCAATAGTGGTGAATGGAGAGCAGATCATCTCCATGGGACAAAAATGGTGCATACAGGTTTAACCAGGGAATGACAGAAGTTGAAAGGAGGGAGAAAAACACAGGGTGAGTGACAAAAACACAAAGACAGCACAAAAACAGAATTGGTCGTGGATAATAACCTGCTGTGGAGAAGCAAAGCTTACAGTTTTGGGCACTTCATATGCGATCTGTGTGGAGACCCCGCCCATGTCCAAGACACCAGCAGTCCTTTTCCTCACCAGCGCCTCCTGCTGGTCGCTTCCCGGGACATGGACCTCCACTACAGCTTCCCCTTCTTTGAGGACACAGAGGTGACAGAGTTCGTCAGTCATGTTTGTTAACTGCACTTTGTAATATGACACTCTGTGGACATGAAACTTACCATTGTCTACATGGTTAAACCTTCCAAGGACAAAGTTTATTCCAATCCATGCATACACACCTGAGGACAAAGGTGACACCTTTTAAGACAGAATATTAACTTTAAACCACAAAGACAAACTTGCATGACTTAAAAATCAAGATCTACAGGACAGAAGAAAATCTCAAAGAATCCCAAATTACTTTCTTGCAGGAGGAATTTTTAAAAACATCAAAATGTGACTCAGAAGTATTTTGTTCAACTTGCTGAGAGATGAAAATCCATAAACGTTTACACAGAAACAAAAGTAGCTGAGCACAGTGAATTCTTTCCCTGAGTATCACTGTTTTTCCATTATTTACCTTCCTGTTTTCCTGAAATCACTTCCACATGAGAATCAGAGAAAAGGAAGTTGAAGTGGACCGGGATGTCTGTTCGGAGGTCCTCGAGAAGAGCTTCTTGTTGACTAGGTTAAAAAAACAAAATCACAGAAACACCAGTTAAAAAACAAGTGTGTGTGACATAATCATCAGGAACACTTTATTTACAGTAAAACATGATGCTTTTTAGATGTGAAATGTTTACTTTTTTATTTTACAACTACAAGTATATCTGGAGCTTCTGTAAATATTGTAAGTTAAATAGGATATAGAACAAAAAACCAGGTGGCCAATTAATCAGGCCAACATTTTGAAATGACTAGCGCTCACAAAGCTGCTGACACCATTATCTTTTCTGAATGCTATCCTTCCCAAATGACAGGATCTCAGAAACAGTTACAGGTGAGTGTTTATTATAAATTCTCATGTGATGTTGATGATAAATATTAGTCATGTCCTGAAATCTACAACATAACCCAATATACCAAAAAATAACCTAAAACATACTACTAGCTCAGAAAACTGTAAATAACAGATTGTAATGTGCCAAAAATAATTAAATGATAGATTGCACTTTGAGAAATAAAAATATTGATCTTGCATTTTTTTTTCCTATTTTGACAACTTTTAATGGGGGGAAAGAAATTAAAAAGTCCCTTAAGGACATATTTTTCACATATTTTTAAATCACTCCTTAAAACGCATCTTTTTAAATTGGCTTTTAACCTGTGAACTGTTCTTTTATTGTCTTCTTACATTGTGTCTTTTTTAACCTTTGACATCATTGATTTTATTGCTCAAATTTTTCTGTATTTTAAATTGTGTTTTTTAATTTAATTTTTTTCTTTTTCTTTGTAAGGCGTCTTTGAGCACCTGTAAAAGCATGCTATAAATAAAATGTATTATTATAATGCATTATTATATTTTTCTAAATACAATTTCTATGGCAAAGTTTATTCATGTTCAGCAATTTTGTTTCACATTCGTTCATTTTATCCAGTGGTTGTCTTTGATCAACTGCAAAAATACTACAACCTGCTTTCTTCAATATTTGGCATCAGCATTGGGAGTTGAGAAACCAACAGCAGTCCACCACTAGTTTAAATACAACACAGTTATCATTCAACCGTACCTTTCAGGGAGGATTCTCATTCCAGCTGTGCACAGGATGTACAGAGGTGTTTCTTGGTGCTTATTTTTGGGGATGTGTTGAGCTGCAAAGCTCAAGAGTGGATAAATGTAATCACTGGCTTTCTCTGGTGTTTTAGCCAATTCAGAAATACCTACAAGGGAAAAATGAGATCATAAACTTGGCTGGACAGCGATCTAACACTTGGGCTCAATCCTGTTTATCTTGCATAAAACTTTATATTTTCAAAAAAAAGTGCTTTTAAATTCTAGCTATGAGAAAAGGACTTTGTCATACCAGGTTTAATCTTCATAACCACTGGCTTGCGGTGCTGATCTCTCATTTGCTGAATGTCCAGCAATTCATGGGGATTACCGTTGTGCCGTGGCCAGCAGTACACAAATACTCTTGAACCACTGCTGCCACAGTCGACCACCAGGCCATAGTTTAGGTTAGGGTTACTTGTATCTGTCGCATCTATATCAGTCACCCTCGCCAAGTGCCTTTTAGACAAAAAAAGAAATCAAGGTCATATTTAAGGGTTTTTAATTGTAACATAAGCAGCCAAAGGACAACTAAAAATGCACCTGTGGATGTAAATCTCCTTTCTGGTCCAGCTGGCGACCCCCTGTCCAGAGACAAGCAGCAAATAGAGCAGACCGATCAGGCAGAGTACCAGGCCGATGAAGAGCAACTGTCTGAGGGAAGGGACCAGGAGCCGAGGAAGAACCTGGGATGGCAGACTGAAATGCCACGAGGCCGGGAAAAGGCACGAAAAGCTGATCCTATCAACAAACAAACAAAAATAAAGGAAGAATGAGCAACATGTGCCTATAATTTAAGAAGAGTGGAGGCAACCGCCTGCCACATTTCCACAGAAAACAGTAGACCTACCTCCCCATGATGCAGACTGTTCTCAACTTGCTGGATTACTTCTTAAAATCAGTCAACTGGAGGGGGATGCTTGGTTTGTTCAACGGCTCCATCTTACTGTCTGTACCTGTCATTATGACCTTTTGGGAAAAAAATGAAAAATATTACAGCTTTCTCAAACGTGGAAACACATTTCCAGACGGTGTGGTTTGATTTCAGAATGCCGACTATTGAAAAGCATACTGACCATGTTTTATATTGATATTGAGGGAAATTAACTTTTCGAAATACATCGTTATCGTTTTATCGCCCAACCCCGGTTGCATATAGCAAAACCTGTCCATGAACATTTAGAAACATTTCCATAGACAACCATGCACAGGAAAGATTTTTTTCTGTATTGGTAAATCTAAGTGTAAAGGGTGTTGAGTTTGACCCACAACAAATTGCAAAATGCTAAAAAACAGATTACTTATCATTTCAAATCTTAGTAAGACGTGTACAACTCACCTAAGGCTTTTTTTTATCTGCTGACAAATATTTGAGGCATCCTCCCGCCTGAGTTTACATAAGTTCAACATGAATGACAACACTTGGTACAGACTGTTGTAGGCTATCTTAGAGAAGAGTACCTCCAGGTGAATTCGGTGAGCTGCAGGATACAGTCTGTGCATTTGTATACATACAACATCGTGGTTTTGAGTATTTCAGTGAGACCGCTAAAACTGTGCCTTCACTTAAACAGCTTGGAGACATAGTATTGATACTTAAAGTTTCCAGAAGGTTGTGAATAAAGCAGTTTTAAGAGTGAACATTTGAGAGGCAAACTCTGATATCTTGTAAGATACAGGCCTAATGTATGCTCCGGCTAAACACTGTGTTCTCGCTTCATTTGGCCGCTGTTATGAGCAGTAAATTACACCATTACACGACAATGACTGTGGTTACATAACAGCTGGTAAAAATGTCAGATATTTCCAGCTGTTGTAAAAGTCTACAGAGTGTCCACCGTGGCTTTACGCGTTTGGCGGTGGCATTACAGGCGAGCTAAAACAACACAAATATGGCATATTATCACCAACAGTCACTGACAATGTAGCACAGTTTTAGGTTCGTGGTCTTTTAAATATTCGTTACTTACTACAAGTGGAGCGACAGTCCCCTCCGTTCAGGAAATAGTGACATTTCTGAGCAGCCAGATGCTAACCACTGGCTAATGTTTAGCGGTTTGGTATGTGGCAAGTCTCCGGTTAGTGACGTGTTGTTCCTAATGAGGTGTGTTTGATTTTATCACCGGGTTGCCCGCCGTACACGAAACAAACGCGTAAACCCCAGACCGCCCAACATTCTTCCTTGCCGCTTACAGACGGTTGGAACAGCTATGGTTGAAACAGCTATGCGGTGCATTACCGCCCCCTACTTGTTGAAGTGGAGAGAAATATTTGATAAATCACACTTTACACTTTCTAAATAAACCACTGGAAATTATTTTGCCCCCATTAAACTGGATGTCGATCAAGATTGGACTACAGTTAATAATAATAATAATAATAATAATAATAATAATAATAATAATAATAATAATAATAATAATAATAATAATAATAATAATAACAACTTGATTTTTTTATAGCACTTTTAAAAACAAAGTTTACAAAATGCTCAAAGGAAAAGAACTTGGACTTCAACGTGAACATTTTAATTACACTTGGAAAACATTTCATTCGCAGAATTAAGCACCTCAAGATAAAGCCCCACTTCAATTGATGGATAAACAAACTCAGAATATACAAAAAATCTCTGAACTACATGAAAAACAAAAATGCCCTAAAACAGTTTCTAAAGCTAAAACTTCTTTACTCATTCTATTTACTATCATAGAATAAGAACCTCATATTCTCTTTTCTTTTTTTCATGTTCTTTTGTTAATCTAACGTTTACAAAAAAAAGAGTAGATTTAGGTTTCCTCCTTTGTTTGTCAGTTCCTTCCATTATGTTCAAACAGAAGTTTTTACTCATTCAGCCACTTCAGGCTACAGAGGACAAGAGCTAAGCTTTGGTGCACAGGTGTTACCTGAAAAACTGAATCTTTAGTTTTTATCTTTGGGTAGGTGGGGACTCTGCAGACCTGATAGAGTTTGATAAATCATTCCACCACCAGGGGACAACAGAGGATAAGACCCTGGTCAGTGACTTGGGGTCCTTTATTGGGCCAAGTGTGGATTCGCTGTTCTGTTGAGGTTGTAGAGCGTGTCCAATGATGGGGATTCACTTATTACATAATGTTACAGTAATTGAGTAGCTTTTTGTGTATGTGGTCTTCTGAGTATTTTATGTAATAAGAATTTTTCTTTTACTAACTATATTTTGTTAAATTCTACAAAATATATTACTTGGGGGAAAAAAAAAGTATAAAAAACATACAAGCTTTCTATCAACTGCCTGATAGCCAGCTGATTGGATGTCTACACTGAAAAATCCACAAAGTACAATACTGATAAAAGATGCAGAAAGTACTTAAGTGGAGATACTCCTTCCACATTTGGTAGAATTGTGCAAACTGCTTGCCTTTTACTTTTTTATGTTTCAAAACGTGTTTGATGACTTATTCAAGACCAGATAACAGACAGAGCAATTATTTAGACAAAAACGAGCACAAATTTAAATGTTATATAAGATGCAGTTTTATTCTACCAGGTGTACTCTGACCACAATCATGTAATAATTTACAGATTTTGGTAAAACTCCCAGCTGACCCTCTTTAAAAGATGATCAATAAACAGTCAAAGTAATCACAATTTTCCACAGTTTTTAGAAAAAGATAAAAACATTGTTATATTTCTTAAATCACACTGAGTGGACTTGAATGTCTAGTTGATCATCACCTTAAAAAACACTGTAATACTACTGCATTTAAAACACTGTAGAGGATAAGTTTGTCATTCAAGGCACCTAGGATAAAGCCATGGCTTGAGACCAGTAAAGGACTTATTGTGATCTTTCAGTGCAAAAAACATTGTAGATAAATCTGTGCCTGTTTGAATTGTACACTATTGATATCTTTAGTGATTATTTGATATGAATTTAAACTCTAAAGCTTTTTTTCCTGTAAATGTGCACTGTTTTTCAGTGGAATGTGCATTGTTACTTCAGTAATGTAAGATGCTCATCTCTTCAACTAGGACCAGATGAGTTGGGCTTTGCTCTTTGAGGCACAGTTAAGACACTCTTTCCGACTGATTTTCCAGCAGTGACTCACATCTATACACTTCACTCTCTTGCTTTGTTGCATTAAACTGTCAATTGTTTCTATCTTGACATCCGTCCGCTGGAAGTTGATGTGCCGGAGCCGCCCAAGTGGCACGAGAGGTAGGTTTGCAGAGTCTGCATAGAGATTTGTGCGCAGTACATCCTGCACCACACAGTTTAGAGGACACGGCAGGGAGACGAGTGAGAGCTTTTCAAGTAAGGAAGAACCAGACAGGAGGCCCTTCAGCACCTTCTTCAGGGACATCCAGGACATGACGGGCTTCATTTGGCCGTGCTCGTAGGAGAAACTTTGAACAGACAAGACACAAAGGAGGCAGATAAAAATATCAGTTACATTTGAAGTCAAGATATTTGTGATAACTTGTATTTAAATATATATATATATATAATTATTTTGAAATGATTTTGTCGCTAGTTTTCCTAAACAACCTAAGATTCAAAACAAAAGCTTGTATTACAATGTTCACATTCAAAGTTGATATTTGTCTGCCCAGAGTTGACTGAAAGAGGTAAATGAGAGTTACTAATGTGAACTATGTGTTTAAATTCTACTTTTTTGTAACAATGTAAAAGTGAAAAGAAAAGAAATATTATTACAGGCAAAATTTATGAAGACTTAAGGGGAAAACAGTTTGGAAAAGCTTTGGATGAATGAATAATCTTGCTTTAGCTTACAAGATGGAAGACTGCAAGTCATGTGTTGGTCGCTAATAATGGTCCCTCCATCTATGCTGCATCAATTTTTATGCATAAATTAAAGGAAAATTAATTGATTGAAAAATGTAACTCATAATGATACTAATGCTGACTGCATTGTGTAGCACGAGGCTTTCTTCATGCATGTGAAGTATTGTGAACCGGACGGTAATTATTTCATCTCTATGTTGTCCTCGTGTTGTATTTAATTTTTCATGCTGTTCTGAAAACTATGACTGAATCTAAGAAATAAAGAGCATTTGAGTTTCTCAGGGTAGAAAATAAATCTACATTAATACTGTATCAAAAGCTGCCTTACTTGAGTGTTAGGGAGTGAAGGTTGGGCAGCCGTAGAAGATCCTGGTCATCCTGCTGTACCCCCACATCCTCTTCCTCTTCTTCTTCTTCTTGCTGTGGTGTGTTTGGAGGCTCAGCAGAGATGATCAGATCTCTAAGTTTGGGACAGGCCCCTATTATGTCCTGTAGAGGAGTGTGAGGGCTAGTCTTTACCCCCTCAAGGTTGAGAAACACCAAAGAGGAGCCTGATACTTGTAGTGCAGGAAGGAGATCTTGCACAGAGCCCTGGTAGTTGAGTGAGAGGCTCCTCAGCTGACCTGACCATTTTTGTAGGCTCAGTGCTAATGAAGAGCCCTGATTTACCCCTAATAGTCCATCATTATCGATATTCCCTGATATGGAGTGGATATCTGGACATAGTTGACTCACACTGTTCAGAGTGTCACATGACAACCCCTGGACGTCCTTGAGTCTCAGGACAAAATGATCATCACCTGATTGCAACAAATCTTGTGCTCTCTTTCCTTCATCTTCATTTAAATCCTCCTCACTCTCACTGGCAGATCCCTTCCACAATAGCCCATCCTCATCTTCATCTTTTTTTCCTCCTCTTTTGTCACTACACTTGTCTATGCCCAACCTTTTCCTCCACACTTCCTCCAGACAGGGCAGTCCTTTCCTGTCACTGAACTCATAGATGTGGCTGAACTCTCGTTGACGGATCAGATGGCAGGCCTGTGAAACACCTTCCATGGCGACTCTCTCCAGGTAGGGCAGTGAGAGGAGGAGGAAAGCCGCAGCAGCCGCAGAGTCTCCTTCTTCTTCTCCAAACGCAATATCAAGAGCGAGCAAACTGCTGAGTGGTGGAGGAGAAACATCTGCAGGTTTAGTAGGGGATTTGGATGTTGAGTTGGATCCACTAGATGGACAATCAGTGGAATATAGTAAAGCCCCGCCACCAAGTGGAACAAGTGCTGCAGGAGAGAGGGAATGACACCGGGATACATCCAGATGGCGCAGGAAATGACAGCGTTGGGCAATTGTCCTGATTACATGTCCATCACAGGGTGTTCCAGCGAGGCAGAGTGAGTGCAAAACAGGTAGACAGCTGAGGGTTTCTGACAAAGTCTTTGAAGGCAACTGAGCTCCAGAGAGGTCCAAGCTCCACAGGCTCTATGGAGAAACATTACAGATGTATGTAAAAAGATGGACAGCATGACAACCACTGAGGAGTAAAGACAAAAAAATTAAAGCTCTTCAAATTGACTGCCGGTGTAGGCCACAAAGCCATCCCGTTCACGTGAGCAGACAGAACACATTTAAGTGCTCATGTTTTTTTTCCCCCTTTTGCTATAAAATGATGTACAGCACACTATTTAACAGCGTAAGCTTTTCCATTTATAATCTCCTGAGCTGCAGCATTTTGTCAAAAGGTGGTAAACATTAACACACTTCAAACCAGTGTTGAAGAAACTACATAAAACTGGGATCTGCCTGACCTGACAACGTGCTGTAATGTGGAAACAAAGAGCAGAGGTGGCCAGACCAGGACACTTTTCCAGAGACAGAGCCCGGAGCTGAGGGACCAACAAAAGGTGGAGGGCGGCTCGAGACAACTGCTTCCTGTTACACAGCAGCAGTGTCAGCTCCTCCACTAACTCGCCAGCTAAAGAAACAAAGAGAGGCAGAACAAAAGGATAAGAGATTATCCTCAACCAGTCCTTTAATGTGAAGGGGATCACTGTCTGTTCATAAAACAGCACAAACTCACGCAGTAAGTTAAAAGGCCCCATGATGTGTCTGAAGGAGTATTGATCCAGGTAGTTGTCAGCATAGTCTTTGGCCCACACGTCCTTCATGTTGTCAGCCAGGCTCAGCAGACACAGATGTGTCAGTGATAACACAGAGCCTTCTTCATCTAACATACTACATGACTTCGTCCTGTATCTCCTCTTCTTGGACTGAGACTTTGTCTCCTGACGGTCCCCAGTTGCCCGAAACAGAGGCATTACAGGGCTTTGGTGGGTGGTTTCGGGTTTGAGAGGGATGATGAAAATTAGTAAAGTAAACAGAGGCATTATAAACAGAATAAAACATGAGAAAAAAAAGAATCCTCATGTTAAAGGTGTTAATGTTTTCAGCTCTCTTTGTGCATTTTGTGTGTCTTTTTTTTCTTGCAGTTGATCAAACATGAGCACCACAAAGGGGGTCACAACTGGCTATGATATGAAAGCTAGTTATTGTATTCAAATTGCTCAACCTAAAGAGATGCAAAAGCAAAAACCTGGAAAACAGTCATCTAGATTGAGATAATAGTTGAGTCAATTGAAACCTTTTTTCATTAAATCATTAATGATTTAAGGAAAAAGTGAATGATAACAAGATAATGTGTAAATCTTTACTCAAATGAACGACCTCCCTCATTCTTTCAGTTTTCAGCTATAATCATCCCGTTTAGGATTGACAATTTTTGTTGATTTTTCCTTCTTCAAGTGGGCCCTTTTGGTACTTCATAGTTTTCATTCTTACATCCTGAATATTACTATCAAGTTTTCATGAGGGTTTCGGGATATTTGAGGGAAAAGACTGTATCAACTCATTGATTTAACGCACTTAGCAACAAAGAAGAATTTCTCTACTACTCTTGGACCTACCTGACAAATAACTATAAAAGAATATTTAGTATATCCAGTAAAAAGACAACAGTGTTGGTGAAGTGAAGAAATACTGACAGTCATACCAACAACCTTCGTCCTAACGCCGACACTACAGCACTTCCTGGTTGTCAAGTTAGCCCCTATTTTTGTCTTAAAGGCACAGCGCTCTTGTGAACGATCCTGGATCTGACCGTGCTTTTGCGTCAATAATAACAATACTACTCCTCCTCCTCCTCCTACTACTACTACTACACAGACTTGCTGTAAAGTTTGACCAGTTTTTCAAAGTTAGATGATTTCTTCCAGAGGCAGGGCTACTATAGTTTGAAAATGTTTTTGATCAGGGTTTATGATTGTAGCAGATCCATCTTGTTTAAGGCACTGTTGAGGTGCCCATCCAGCTCTACTGCATCTTGTAAGGCCTGGCCTTCACTGAAGAGGAGAAATTCTAACATTAAGACAAGATGTTGTCTAGCTCTGTATTTGCCTCTTTGGATTAATTGTCTTAATCAATATGAACAATTCTTGTTTGTTGGGATGCCAGAAAATGACAATTACGACAATTACAAATCAAAGCAGTATGTGCATCATAAGACATAATCCTTTAAACTCTGACAAAGTATGCAATTCTAATTGGAAGTTTCCATCAGGATTTTCAAAGACTAATTACAGACGACACATTAGCACGAGAGAAAGTGCCCAGCTATTTCTGCAGACCATGTCAATGTTGAATTTTTTTTTAAAGCAAATGAAAGTCTGCTATTAGTCTCAGCTGTTTAAGTTAACCCACAGCTTTTCCCTGAATTATTTTTTACTCATTTAACTCTAATCAGTTGGGTTTCTTTCTCATCCAAATGTGACATCTTTTGAAATATTTTGCATTTCATTCTTAAGTTTTTGTCTGAGTACTTAGTCTACATTATTTATTTATTTATGTTGCCTATACATTTTCAACTCATATTTCTTATTTCTTTGACAAGACTAATCCCACAGCTTTCAGATATATTATATTGTTTAATTTTCTTTGTACTAATTAGGCAAAGATTTCACATGACTCTTGAAAAAATTGGTGCAATAGTTCACAGTACACAAATGAAGAAAAGACTGAAAAATAATCAAAGCATTGGATTGCAATGGACATAAAGCGTACTTGTCCATAACTCCCTGTAACTATATTGATGTGTGAAGTATTTGGTATGTGTGTAGGAGCTTTTCAATTTAAAGCACAGGTAAACATTAATAGTTATTTTGCACAGTGTCGCCACCCTGTGGCTGTGGCAGGTAATGTTGCTTTCTGTACTCAGTGCACATCCTATAAAGGTGTTTCTGAAGTACAGAAGAGGCTCTACTGTCAGTCGGACATGACAGACACTGTCCTCATGTCTGACTTCTGACATGTGATCCTTGTAGGTGTCAGACACAGATGGTGAAGACGGTCAAATAAAGAATAAAAACATAGACTGGTCAGTGAGCCTGAGAAAAAACCAAGACAGCCTTTTGCATTTGAAATCTGATGCCAAAGTGGGGTGTTAAAACAAAACTAGAGTCAGTGTATTTAATTTCCCTTTATTTCTTTTAGATTCAAAAGGGATCCATTCAATTTAAATATAGATTCATGATGAATACTTTGTGTGAAAAGCAGTATTGCACTCAAAAATAAAAAATAAACAACCTGATTTGAATAAAAAGGAACTAAGCCAGGGCAATTTCATTCATGTCTTAGTCCTAAACAGAAGGTGGATTTTTGAGTGGATCAGTCATGTATTAGCTGTACTCAAGGTTAAATAAAACAAATGTTATAAACTCACTTGGAACTTTAACAGAATCTGTAACTCTTTAAAATAATATCATGGGTCCTGCTGTCGCTGTCTTATGTTAATTGCACAAAAAAACCCCATCAAAAGTCAAAGTGAAACTAAAGAGATTAAAGCACAATCACATGCCTTTGTCATTTTAATCACCAGACTGGAATATGGAGTGCTAAAACCAAATGAGTCATGAGTAAAATATAAACCCTCTGATCATAAAACAATTGTATTCACACAAGCACGAAATTGAGATTATTGACCGCTTATGAGGTCAAGCATTGCAGTTTTACTGAGCAGCTTTATAGCTCCAGCACAAAGTCCTTTATGGATAGTTGTTCTGTTTCAGTTTCATTTGGTAACACAATTGTGATATCATTATAAATGGACAATAATGAGGGTCCTCTTTGCTTTCATTTTACCAGCATTTTCATATTTTGTAATCAGTTAGCTAAGAGAGAGGAAATCCAAGTAGATAAAACTACAAAAGTGCAAAGAGAACAATAAGATTTCTGTTTTTTTAGCCGTTCAAAGTTAGTAACAAGCTAACAGCAATAACTAACAGTTAAAATGAGAGGTTCGGCACACTTGATCAGTCCCTTGGGTTGAATCCTGTGAAAGATGACTTTGAGGACAGAGTTTGAACACAGCTGACCACAGTGTTGTCTGACCCTCCCTGAATGAGAAAAAGGTCCATTAGATAAAAAAAGGTAGGTTTCTGTGATAATGTCCTGTGTCCAGTCTCCTGATGATCATCTTCTGTATTTAGTTTGTCTGATCTTTGTCAAATGGCACCACCTTCCTCCCAGCAACAAACACCTCCGTTATGTTTCGATCATCACCTGCAAAGAGATAAAAAAGGAACTCAAGTCTGGGTAAAAATTGTGTTGGACTGAAGTATGGAACGAGAAATAAGGCAAAACTCACCCAAATTCAAGAACTTCTCCAAAAGAATCTGAAATCAAGAAACAAACAAGTGTTAAAGTGGAGCTTAATATATTGGAATACTAAGTCTTGATGTGTTGATATACTAGCAAGTTCCATTATTTACATCAAGACATTGTGATTTACAAACCTTTGGTTCATCAGTCTGGATCAGGTCTATGGGTCCACCTGGAGCAGCTACATTCACTCTCAGAGCGTCAAAGTCTTTCCCCACTTCAAAGTTCCCGGTCTGGTCGTCCATGGATAAGGCTGCAGTGAAAAAGAGGTCTTAAAGGAAGCTCTTGTGTTCTCCCCTGTGCTGTAAAATTGTAATTGGTCACCCCTAAAAATATCTTTCTGTAGCTCCTGGTGTAGTGAATCAGGCATTTTGCTGCAGTGCTCTCATGCAGACTCTATCTAAGTGTGATAAGTCCCTGAAAACAGACTCTCTCTGGTGTTTGAGACCAAAAACTTGAACGTTTTATTCTAACTTTGATGTTCAGGTCAGTTAATGGTGTTTTTGAGGATTCTACCTTGGCTTCCTCCCAGTGTGGCCAGCCTGAAAACCTCCTCAAAGGTGAGCGTGTCATACTCCGGGTCCTGGATGGTCAACACTTTAGACGAGTCCAGAGCTCTTCTCACAGCGTCCAGCATGGAGGCAGAATATCCCCCTGCCACATCTGAACCGAACCACATAAACACAAAAAAGTGTAAAAAAGATTGAGGCCTGAGTAAAATCTTCTTTAGTGAATAAACCACCAAAACCCTCGATCAGTGATCAGCTGATGGTCAGCTGCCCTGCATGCCAAATCTCTCTGTAGACTGCATCAATTAAAACAATAAAAAGACTGACTGCTGTGAAACCAGATTAATATGTAACAGTTTTCTTTTCACACCGTTTCACTAATGCAGTCGGCTCTTTTCTCCAAAATCACCAAGCACATTTTTACTCTTTAAAATGGTGTCAGAAACTTTGTTTAAAGTGGTCTGGCAATACTCATGAGTGGAATGCATGCCCACCTGTTCCCAGGCCCAGTTTCACTTTGTGTTTTAAGACTTTTCGGACATTTAAGATGCCGCTGCACAACCTAGGAAGATGGAAAGAGAAAAATATTACTTTTACATAGATTTGATTTCACTGTAACATATCTTGTATTATGTCTGCATGTAATTTCATCACATAATGAGTAATATTTCAGTCATTCCATTGCTCAAGATTCAAGGATTTACAGTAATATTTCATTTGTGCTGTAAAATCTGTCTGGTGCAGCTCCTCGTGGTATTTTCATTGCATGCGGTCACCATATAGTCTTTGGAAATGATGTGAAACTTACGAAATGTTGGAGTTGGGACAGTGTGACACAGAGGCTCCAGTTTCCCGAAACAGAGTCAATTCTTCGTCAGTGAGGTAGCAGCCATGAGCCATCACTGTCTGTAAATCACACCAGAATAAGTTAAACAAAGGTTACAGCTTTTGTAATGACTAACAGACATGAGAACGTCTCCCTTACCTTGTCGGTGAGCAGGTTGTATTTGTGGTAAACGTCTGTGTAAGACTCTGACTCAGGAAACAGCTCCTTTACAAGCTTCACCTCCTCTACATTTTCACTGACATGACTCTGGAAAGAAACACACACCACAGTAAATTACAGGTGAAATTGTTGCCCTGAGCAAATCTTGGCAAAGTGTTCATAAAAGCATTCAGGCAGAGCTGGATTTGTGCGGTAAGTGGATAACCAACTTCAACTTCGTTATGTAACAGGTGGTTTTTCATTCCCTCTGGACTTCATCTAACTGTACAAAATTGACTTGTTTCTTTGAACCACTGAGGTACAACTCTTTGTGGTCTCTATGGCAACAGTCCCCTGCAGACATAGCCCAGTTCGGTTGTCACAGCGACCTTACCTGAATGTGCAGGTTGTTATTCTTAGCAATGGCTCCCAGCTGTCCTAGCAAGGCTCCTGTGCAGGATGGAGCAAAGCGAGGAGTCACCACCGGCTTCACCCGAGGGTACTTGACCGAAAAAAAAAAAAGAGAATCAGATGATGAGAAACACGAGACAAAACATCAACTAATCTACTTTTATATTTGAATTATGATGTTTAACTATTTTTTTTACCTTTTTGTTCAAGAGCTCTGCAATGAACCTTGAGGAAACAAAGACTAGTTGTAATTTTTCCAGGTCAGGTACATTCTCACGTAAAATAAACTTGACTGTGCATGCAAAGTCTCTGTGATAAACTGATAAACTCAGCCCACAGTGCATCAATAAAAGCATAAACACAACACCAGGTTTAGTCCAAATTCAACAATAGTTTCACATATTTATTCAACAGTAACACACACACACACAAATCATTCTCATGCTGGCTTGTCTCAACTTTTAATCTTGCCGAATCTGTGTGATGTTAATATGTGTCTCTGTTTGGGGTTTTGAACTCTCATTAGATATGTAGCCAAATACATACTCTCTTTTAAGCAGGCAGTTACATTGTAATCTAGCAAAGCAATGGATCCTGTTTGAAGGGCTGAAGGTGGACATGAAGGTGTTGGAGATGTTGAGGGGAGGAAAAGGTTTCAGGAGCTCTTTTCTAGGACACCTGGTGCAGGATTAGTGTTGGGCTGAAAAGGTTAACACGTCTACTGTCATTCTTTGTGGTGATGCCCACAGAGATTGATTATCCTCATCTAGTCCTTCCTCTCAGTCTCCTGCTGGCTAACCAAGGAGTTTAATTCTTCCACTAAATGTCTGGTGTACACTGAAACAGTTAGAAAGATTGGGTGTTGATTCAGTGGAAGGTTTTGGAGGCAGGTTATTGTTATTGGTGACTTGGTCTGCACTACTTGTTAAAGAGGAAAGGCTGAAATTATGGATGCTGACACAGATTTTAGTGTTTGGAAACTGTTCTTAATTTTTGTCCGATCCTTGACTCATCACTTTTCCACTGTGGCAGATGTTCATGGCTATGTTGGGACAGGCGATGTCTACATCTTCACATACTGCACTATGTCTATATGCCTTACTGTCATTTTCTTGATGTGAGCAAACAAGTCAAACAATGCTGAGCGATGAGTAAAGTACAGGAAGTTGCATCTGCAGAAGAAGTCTGCAAATAATGGCTCTGGATTGTTGCTGAGGAGTTTCTTTCATTCATCTGAAGCCCTTCTCTCTGACTGACATACCATCTTCGGGATAATTAATTTTTATTGCCATTTTTGTCAGCAGTTGGAGGTACTTGTATCTGCTTGGGACAAGAGAAGACATGCAAAACGATCTGATTCATGCATCCTCTTTGTATCTTGATGGTAAAAATCCAAAACAAGCAACAACCCCTGGTCTTAAGAAATGAGGCTGATGCAGATATGCTAAAAACTGCAGTTACACGAATGTCCACTAGAGGCTGTCTTCAGGAACATCAGAAAACACATGCCGTAGGCTAAAAAAGCCAATTTTTGGAGCAACAACAAACATGTGTTCACTTTTAAATTTTAATTTGTTTATATTTTGTTTCCTATTCTTACACTTGTTGTTGATTTTACTTTGCTGATGCTTTTTATCTAAATCTTTTTATATAAGTCGAAGTCTTGTATTGTAGGTTTTCTGTCTGTGAATAAAAGTCTCTCATGTCTGTCAGATTTGATATCAAGCAAACACTCACCGACAGGTTTCCTCTTGAGATTCTTGGCAGGTTTCTTTGTAATGTTTAACCGCATTGTTCCTGTCCATACACACCTTCCCCACCAAGGCACGCTGTCCCAGCTCATCTGCCAGAAATAAACCAAGATAAGTGAGTAATGAGGATGATTGTGAAATTTTCTAGTGAAATTTCATGAAATTACTTCTCTCTTTAGAGTAAAAACAGTATTACTGTCTCTTTACAGCCTTTTGAACTATATCCTACTGAATCAGTTGGGTTTTAAACTCAGACTATTAGGCCCTTCCCATGCCAAAGTCAAAAGCTGATTAAAAAATCTGTCTTGTTGGGCATTACCACACAAAATATAAATGTGCATGTCAGACTGAGAAATAGAAAGTCATTTAGCTGTAGCTGTCCCTTCACAAATATACAGTAGATGCTCTTAACCACAGAACAGGTAAATGGTGCCTCAGGGTGTTTAGGGTAGTTTGTGTTATTTTTCAAACATGTTTTTGTCTCAAGGTTGGGGAAACATGGGTTAGGGTTAGGGTTAGGGTGTTTTCAGTTTCAGGTTGACTGTGGCTTTGCCCAGAAGTGAAAGTCATCTTTCTCTTAAGATGTAATTAAACAAACATAGAGTGACAAAGATTTCCATGGAGCGCCACGCCTTTATGTTTGAAAGCTATACTCAGAAAAAGTAAGTGAACTGCCTGAGTATCACAACAAAAGCCTCAATAATAGTAAGTATGTAGACTATTCATTTACCAGTTTTTATACTTCATGAACTGAAAATTAACACTGACTTAAATGTCCAGATTACTGATTTTTGACACATTATCCCTCTTGTAGGGGTAGTCTTGCTATAGTTTAGTGCTAGGATCAGATGTTTCAAGCATATCAGTCCTACCAAATGTTAAGAGATTACACTATAATGTCTTAAGTCAATATACAAGATGGAAAAAGTTCTTTCAAGAAAGCAATTTGTGATAGTTATTAAAAATATGCGATATGAATTGGTTACTTATCAAAATATCTACATGACTGATATCTCCAGCATTAAGTTGACAAAACTGGCAAGATGTGAGCTGATCTGATCTCTGTGCTTTAATACAACCCATGTACAAATTGAGGGAAAGAGATAGAGAAAGAGGAACACCATGCTTTCCTCTTGATGTATGAATTACCTAACAAACAACAGCTAACATAGCCATCAGGGAAACTATTGTTTCCGGTGTGGTCCAGTCTGAACTGAATTAATGAATTCCACGGCTGTTGACCTAATTCATAAAATCCTCCAACAGCCTAATGACCTTTTCTAATCTGAGATTTCAACACAAAAGAAGGATTCTTTACGTGATTTGATGTTTGATAAAAACAGTCAATTGAAAATTAGTTTTTAATTCTGACTTGTTGTTTCTGAGACAATTCACAAGACTGGAAATCACGACTTATAATGTCTGCAAGCTGTTTGCAACACTACAGCAAACCACACTGCAGAGTACGAGCTCTTGATTGTCTCTCTGTCTCTGTTTTATAGTGTATGACCTGTCTGGCTGTACCTTATGTGTACATTTGAGATTTTAATATCTATCTACTGAGATGATTTAGTATTTTTAAGGTGTAAATGAATAAATATGAACTGGAGACTCTGTAAACGGTTATTGATGAGAATAACAACGAAGGACTGTGATTCTTTTGACATCAATACTTGAATTGGTACTTGAATTACCATAGTCATTATCAATCTATCATATTTGTACACATTACTCATCAGAATTTGCTTTAACTTTCTTGCACAAAACCAGTGGTGTTTGGTCAAGCAAGGAAGAAATATAAGAGGTTATACGGACTATATCCAGTGGTAATCAGGTTCTGCTTCCTCGAGTGTAGAGTAACAGTGTACAAAGTGTGTCTCTCACAAAGTGTAAGAGAGCTTTGTGCCACCGTGACCAAACATCTTCCGTCAGATCAGGCAGAAAATGTGCTGAAGCTTCTCTGAGAGCTTCAGCGTCAGACTAAACATAATTTTGACATGAGGAAATATTCCTTAGTAGGGTTAGTTTGCAGGCATTTCTTTTTGTTTGTGAGACAGAAAAATCAGAATTAAGACATAAGTAAAACAAAAACATGACTTGAAATTAATTCAGTTGGAGTTCCTCATACATATGCACACCACACATACACTTGAGTTGAAAAACAACATTGCTCTTTAAAATGGGTCTGCTGCTCAGAACAGGACAAAGGTGAGAGTTCAACAGCCCTGATTACACAAAACGACTGCGTAAAGCTGCCAAAGCCACTGCTCGATGCAATGTGATTGAATTATTACACGTTTATGTGAGCGCTCGCCTGTGTGTTTTCAGGATTGCATAACAGGACATGCAGATAAGCCTTACAGGTGAAGTAAATAAGTGTGTTAGGACCTGGCTGACACTACCACGTGAGACAGGAGTAAGAGCACATGAGTAGGAGCAGTCTACCCCTGACTAAAGCACTTTCAGTTTAAAGTTTCACATTTCAATTTCTGGGCTTAATTCGAGGGGTCAAAGGCTCATGTTGTTCTGATACGGAAAAACAGGGCTTAAAGTTCCATTATCACGTAAACAACCACTGCCCTCCTGATAACACTGACTTCGTTTCTACATCCTGATTGTCACACAACTAACTATACGTAACATGCTGCTCTGATGTTAACCTTCAAGTCGGTATGCTTGATATCATATCACCCAGAATTAGGGTCTAGTCTCTTGAACCCTTAAGTTTTACTTAACATAAAAACTAAAAATAGTTAATGTATGACCTTAAAAAATATTCAGTTTAAAGTTGTGTAAGCATCTTACTTGTGATCTGTGCCAGCAGGAGAGAGGCATCTGTATGTATGGTGGCGTGGTAACATGCAGTAGTTGTCCCGTTTCTCAGGGTCCGTCTCTGTAAAGCAGAGGATCCTATTACAGACATTACATTCAAAAATGCAGTTGAGCTAGGTAGGATTATTCCTATGCCTCTTCAATTCACAGGCTGTGTGACAATAGAGGGGGCCTCACTGAATTTTCTGACAGGTGTCATCAACTTACAAAGGTACAACCTGAAACACACATTTTAAAGGACTGTTATTTCATAGTATCGGCAAACCCACCACCACTTGACTGTAGACTTTGTTGGCAAACTCCAGGTCCTTGAATTGTGACTCCACAGGAAAGGTGTAGGTATTAAGCCACTGCAGTAAGGGCATATCCAGGGCTGTGCCAGCATAGCTGTACTGTGATGCATGGATGTGAGTGTCCACAAGTCCTGGCATGAAGAACTCACTGCCATGGAGAGCGACAGAGAAAATGGTTCAAATACAGCCAGCATTAAAGCTCTGAAATACTGTAGTAAAATTCTTCGGATTCAGTACTTAAGTTTTACTATTTGCTTACTGTTGAGCCAGTTGAGTGATATTAGTCGCACTGAACCCAAAAGTTTGAGACAGTTTGTCTATCTCAGCACCTTTTCCAATGAAAGCAATCTGATGGAAAGCGACACAGAGTTCATTATGAAACACAATCAACAAGTTTAACAGTGTTTGATAAGGCTTAGAGAGCGAAGAAAATTATGCAAACCTCATATCTGAATTAAGGCTAGAATGAAGGCAAAAACTGTTCCCACAAAAGTATGTGAATATCTAGTTTATATTTGATCCTTTAAAAATCACTCAACTTTTATACAACAAAAGGTCTCCTCAGAAACTTTAGTGGTGCTAAAAGCAGAGATCATGGTATTTTTCTTAAATAGCCAGATTGCAGTTTTAAAAATGCCCACTTATTGTAATTTCTTATTAATAACAATATACTTTGACAGTATGGAAGCTTCTGTTGTTCTACTGATGTTGGGAGAATAATTCATGGATTTATATCCCATTTGAATCGAAAGAGTCCACTTCAGACTGTCATTCAGGTTCTTGAGTGTGACAGTACTTGAGAAAGTTGCTCAGCAACAGCTCACTGTAGGAGATGATTACTGTATTATGTAACGGATTTAATATATTTCAAATGAAAGCGTTTCATCTTTGTTCACTGTTCGCGTAAAGTTTGGGAATAGCCACAAGAGCGCATTATATTTCGTCAACTCGTGAATAGCACACACGTATGACCCGGCACTTTCGTTTACAAAATACAGACAGTAAATATAGAAAGTTCATTTTTAACGACTGTTCTACGTCTAAAAAAAGCACGTGACAAACCTTTCCATCTGTATCCACCCCGAGGAGCGCATCTTCTAAGACTTCCAAGGGTGTTTGCGGGGTCGAGTGGACAAATGTTCCCCTGAAGATGTGCGAAATTTCAATGTGGGTGCTGTTAGAGTTTGCCATACCTGTTATTGACCAGCGACAGTCGAGCACTGAGACATCAGTTGTCGCAGCGCACCGTTTTATTCCCCTGGGGAGCCCTTTATCGCCGAGACGTAGCAGTGCGCACTGCTCCACCTGACTGCAAACGCGATCAGCAGCCAATGAGAAGAAAGGGTGTGTGTCTGTCTGTGTGTATCTGTGTGTAAGGCTTTTCAAGAATATGTTTCCACTCATGCTTTTGATTTTACAGCTAAACATAACGTGCGGGAGAGTTTGTGATACATTTACGCAGGTTTATTTCTCAAAGTGATCAAATGCCAGAAATAACCAAGTGGTTGTTGGCGCCCCCACAACACCAAGAGACGCAAAGTTCAATCACACGTAGATGTCATTAAATTTAGTAAGTTATATTGACTGATTTTTACGGAGAATCATGATATATGCTTCTGTTAAATCCTTTCTATCCACCCATCTATCCACCCATCTATCTACCTATCTACCTACCTACCTACCTATCTACCTATCTATCTATCTATCCCACCCACCTACCTACCTACCTATCACCTCTTCAGTATTAAGGGATTATTTCTTTACATTGAATTTATTCACATATATACTCTTAATAAAAGCTCACCAAAAACTCAAATACCAAGAAATCTTAAAACTGCTTTTGAGCCACAAGTTGCCTTTTCAGAGGGCAATATGCTGACCAGATGCCATAGGAAAGACGTACTGGTAATACAACAGGAAATTAACCAAATTTTGGAACATTTCCCCTGAAAGTAAGATAAATTCTCAGGAAATTAAATTTGGCCCATCTTGTGTCCCATTCCTGTCAGCACCCAGCCTTGATGTGACCATCTGTTAGGTAATGGTTTGATTTATCTTCTCCAGGACAAAAACTTTAATTATTCTTAGAGTATTTATTGTCTGTCCAACGCAACCACCAGCAACAAAATTGTTTCTGACCATGTCCATCCCTTTATGTCCACAGTGTACCCATCCTCTGATGGCTTACTTCCAGCAGGATAAAGCACCATGTCACAAAGCTCAAATAATCTCAAACTGGTTTCTTGACAATGAGTTCACTGAACTCCAGAGGCCTCCACAGTCGCTAGATCTCAATCTAATGGAGCTCCTTTGAGATATGGCTGCATGATGCTATCATGTTAAGATGGACAAAGATATCTGAGGGTGATTTCCAAATGTTAGGGATAGGTAAGCTGAAGCATGACTATATGTCATAGTTTCTTTTTTTCATGAAAATTCACTGGATATCTCACATACCCAACAGTGAAGAGTATAATGAAGATGAACTCTAACTCTGACACCTGTTGTTCATACTGTGGCTGATTACAACAACTAGACAGAATGTGGATGAACGCAGCACTGTGTGTAAAGGCAGCATATGATCCAAAACTATAAAGATTACAGTGCATAATTAAGGTTAGACAAAATATCAGAAGGCTCCCTGATTGTACTGAAATGCAGTCCAAGGCTGAAGCAGCAAAAGGACTGAAAGACTTTAAGGGATTGTTACATCAGCCAAGTTCAATAGCAGTATTTCTTCCAGACAGATGGTTTACTGCGGATCATTGTGACCCAGTGGAATTACCCCGATGCTTTAGGAGACCTCTTAGCTGTAATAACAGCCAGGTTCAACATTGAGTTAGTACATTGACCCTAAGTCATGAGTGTTCAAGCAGAACAAAAAAACATGTGAGAGCCGCACCAAACCCAAAATAAACAGACATCCTATGAGCTCCATGACTAATCCATCCATATGTCATGATGTCACATACTCTGATGAGGAAGTGAGGCTGAATTTAAATTTATCAGCCCCTCATGATGAATGACCACTCTCTCTCTCTCTCAATAAAGCTTCTGGTTATTTAGCAGCATGAAGAGTAAAGGGATGTTGCACGAAAAAAAAAAAAGAAAAAAAGAGAACATGTGCAGAGTAAAAAAAGCTCTCAGCTGAAGAAATATGACAGAGAACAATACTGAATTATCACAGGTTGCAACATCCATTGAAAAAAAAATCACAGAACTGAGTTAAAGTTCATTTTGGCAGATTTTGGTTTCATTTGTAAAGTTGAGGGTTTTTAATAACTGTTAAAAGTCTAAATTTTAGAGACACCATCATAACACTGCCCCCCATGAACTCACTCAAAATCTTAATTAAATTGGGTGGAAAGCATTGCAACCTCAAAATCTAACTATACGTTTGTGTTACTCTACAACAGCATAATATGCTTTGGAAAAAATCTTTGGCTGAATGCACATATATGTGTTTTATTTTAGGGAGACAAGACAAATGTTGAAATGTCAGATTCAAAAATCAGTTTTTTAAAACACTGGGATACATGTTTAGTCATTTTTAAATGATGTAGACAGAATATTAAAATAATCACCCACTGCAACAAAATGCAGTCATTAACATTGTGATGTACTGCCTCTAAAATAGAACTGGCTTTTATAATTGCTGTGTTTCATACAATTGATACTGATGGATACCAATTTTATCTTAACTCAATATTTAATCAAAAATAGTGCAAACACAACATATGAAATGTCCTTACTGAAAAGTATGCACTCGTTTTAAACTTCATGCAAGTAATGCATTTCAAGAACACGTGAGACATGTTTGCCATTGTGTTCCATCACCTCTTCTAGTAATAACAATGACAACACCCGGGTGTGACAAACATTATTAGGGGAATGTCAGACTACAGGCAAACCAGGCAGCTCAGCAAATAGATTCTGCTACTACACAGCCTAATTTTAAATTTTAATTTATCAGATCACAACAAAATTTTCCACTTTACCTCAGTCCATTTAAAATAAGCTTCAGTTCAGGTAATTTTCAGCATTTCTGTGTCATGTTCATATATGGTTTCTTCTTTGCAGGCTACAGTTTGAACCGGTTTGTGTATGTAGCCACAGTGGTGTTGGAGGATGACTTTGAGCCCATGTAGGCATAGACACAGCAGAATCATGTCTTATTTTAATGCAGGTATGACTGAGGACTGCAGCACCACAACCATACAGTATCAGTCCACCTTTGTCTTTTCCAAGAGATAGTTTCTAGTTTTCTGATTCATTTAATGTTATGTATTGTGGATGATTTAACTCTTACACAGAGGTGCCTTATATCGTCACCCTATTAAAATAATGGCCATTATCTTAACAGGGTGAGGATATACTAAATGTGGTATACTCATTCATGTTATTAACCTGTTGAAAATTACTGTACTTAATGGCAGATGTTCAGTATTTGGTTGGCATTATTTGATTTACAGACCATCAGAAATATCTTTTTATCAGCATTTCACAGCATTTGGGGACTTACCTTTTAAACCTCTCAAAGTTTCTATAAATCAAACTCTGACATGATTGCTTTCATTGAGGTTTATTTAGGAGTTGTTGTACTATGTTTTAACATTTCAACCTGAGTGGACCAGTAAAAGTTGCAGCTTCGTGTGGTGACAGTGTCAACATGTCAGGGTCCTTCATGGATATCCAGTGCCTCAATTCTGCTTTAAGTGTTGTTTATACTCAAGGCTTGTTACATCAAGTACTGGGATAAACTATTTTGGATAAACATATTCAAAATATGTGGATAAACTTTACAGGTTTCATGACTCACATATGCATTTATGAATGGGATCAAAATGTACAGATCATTGTGTAGTGCTTGTGTTTGACATTAAATGCTTTAGACTTTTTTATGAACACTAAATGTGCAAATGATTGAAATATTCCTGAATCCTCTGGCATTCCTCTAATTTATATAAGCCTTTTAAATTGAGTTGATCTAGATGGATGATCACATCACAAACTGCCCACTGCTGTATACTGATCTCACACTTCTGTATTTCATCAAAAAGAGAGAAATAAAAACGCACCAAAAATCTCCATGTCTTCAGTCACTGACTTTGACTCGAGAAACATCTGGGAGGACATCAGACTTTTTCTGTGTTGTCTTTGGCTCTGGATCTTCATCATCTCTAAAGTCACTTAAGTCATCATCATCATCATCATCAAAGTCATCATCACTGTCCAAGTCTTTTTTCCGTTCTCCACGTTTTTTCTTTTTCTGCTCCCCATCCTCTTCTTTCTCCGGCTTGTCCTCTTGTGAGTTTATCCTGCACAGTCAAGAAAACAGTAAATTTGCAGTTATTAGTTTAGCTTTTACTCTTCCAAGGGCAGAAGAAAAATTTCATTAGGCCTTATTTGAATATCTATGTCCATGAGTGAATGGATAAAGTCTTAAATATGAATAAATACATGTCAATTTTCATGTGTAAATAAAGGTGGTGTATGATCATAAAATTCTACTGATTTTAAGAACCAGTTGTAATATCCCTCAGTGACCACAGGATGTCAGACTCGCAGAAGAAGTAACTGTGCTTTGAGAGGGTTTGCAAAAATTAGATTTCGTGCAAAAAGATCAAAAATCTTTTGATTAAATATAATTTTATACAAAATTATACAAATACACAAACTATTAAACCATTAAGCCTCTGATGACAAACGAGGCAAAAAAATCCCCTTGACTGAGAAGTTATAAAATCATTTGACAATTTAGTAACCTTTTCATACAATAATCTAATAACACAAGTAAACAAAATACTCTTTTATTGATAAACAGCCACTCACGGAATAACAATATCCTCTTTCTTTCCGCACTTGCAGCAGATCTCAAGCTGAAGGGAACAGGGCTTACAAATGATGTGATAGGCATCCTTCACAGTCTTTTGAGAACATTTAACGCTGAAAGGAGAAAACATACATGCACATATCAATCAATCAGTCAGACTTTAAATGTAAAGCACTTTTCATACAACAATAACCCAATTAAAGTGTTGCACATAAAAAGAAAAGAAAATTAATACAGAGACTCCCTCACACACACATCCCAAAGCATACATGAAGCTAAACGAGCTATAAAAGAAAGTTTAATAATAATAACAATCATAAAAATATTGATAACATATCATAATTTGTGCTGCAAACAGTTTGACTTTATACTCAAGAGCTTCAATTGTAAAAAATACAGACAGAGCTCAGCAAAAAGAGAATTTGTTTGGTATTTCATTTGGAAGAAAACAAACTTTGTCGTGGGTACATACCATTTTCGGGGCTGTGTAAGGGACTTGTATTTGTTGTACTTCACTTTCCACTCAAGAACACCTTTACAGTGTTGACAGAGTCCATCATGAATCTTTGAGTTTGCCTTCTACAAATTAGACCACAGACACATGTGGAAAAGTCACACAAATAAAGGACATGTCGTGGAATAAGATCAATTTGAAGCACAGTTTTAGGACATCGCAAACCTGGTGTTTCTGGGTGTCCACTGAACAATCTTTGACCAAAGATAAACATATACAAAAACGTAAATATGACACATTACTACTTCAAAGTTGACGCACCTTTACTTGTGTGGTTGCTCCGTACTTGTCGTTTCTGTATGCAGCTGCGTTTTGATGCTTCTGGCCGCGCGACCGAGACACATTACCTTTCTGGGAACTCATTTTTTAAAAATAAAAATGTATTTACACACGAGTTACAGGCTTTAAAACCCTATTTACACGTGAGGTAACAGGCTTTCAAACCCTAAACCACGCTGTAGAAAGTGGAAGCCGTGTCCCGGAAGTGGTATGTGAGATATGTGACGTAGTGTTGTTTCGTTCGCAAACGATTCGTCGAAAAGAACAGAATCTCTTAAGTGAACGTACTGATTCGAATCACTTCCTCGAGTGATTCGTTCGTTTCTCACTTCAGTCGAGCTGAAGTGAGGAACAGCATTGCCAGGGCAGCAGCCAGCGAATTTGGGACCACAGGCACCGAAACTTGAATCACTTGGTGAACGAATCACGCATTGAACTACACTCTCTGGAATCATTTTTGTCAGACAAAAATAACCTTTTTTTCACTGCTTAATTGCCACCACAACAACTTGCATACAACAGGACACAGCATGTAACAAGTAGTGCATTAAACCCGCAGCATCCTATCATTGCAGCGGTTTGCGAGGGAACGGTGCATATTCAGTTTGAATTCTTCTAAACGTTCAGTGAACGAATCACTCCCTGACCCAAATTTACCGAGCAGACCTGATAAATAGCATACAACAGGACAACACACTTAAAACATCATGATTTATAAACAAGTTCATTTTTACAATTCTGTTTGTCAAAGCAACACAGTCAAACACTCTTGTCTCCTGGTCCCAGAAACTATGAATTGAACTAAATCCTGAAACGTTCAGCTGTGTATCGGTTCAGGAGGACAGAATCGCAGGCTTTTCCCACTACATGATTCGGTGGCGTGGTAAACGAATCTTTTGAACGAATCTTTTGAGTGAACTGATTCTAGTAATTCAGTACATCTAAAAGAAGTGCCGTGCCCATCACTAATGTGACGTAATTAAAGCAACGAGGAGTGCCTTTGCAATTGTCACAAAATACGTTTAAATTGAACTCACTACAGAGGGTTTTCTTTAAATAGGAATAATAAAACATAGCTTTTCTAATTTAGAGGAGGCGTAATAAAATTGCTGCGGGGCGATATTTTCTTTCATAGGATGGTAGGGGAAGGTCCCGCCTCCTTCGCCTCTGATTGGCTGTGAAACGGCATCATACGCTCAAACCGAGCGCGGGCTGTCGGCTCTGTACATCGAACAGAACATTACAGAATATTATCGCAATTCTGAATCCCATAATCCTAACCCTAACTCTAAACCTAACCCTAATCCTAACCCTAACTCAACAGACCATGACGTTTTACAGCCATAAGGAATAACCATCGGAGCCCAGCACAGGCAGGTCCTTCCCCTACCATCCTCCTCGCCTGTGGGGCGATAACGTCACTAGATTGAATGTTAGAAAACCGCAGTCGCTGCGGATTGGACTGTTCACCTCAATAGTAATCACTGGTTGGCTGTCGTAAACGTCAATCATAATAACAGATCCCCACCCTAAAGCGTCGCCAAGGACCGCCCAGATATTTCCAATCTCACCGCGATTGGTGGAAACGTTTTATAAACATACTCCCCATTGGTCAATAAAGCTGTCAGTCACACCCCGTGCTTCCTTACGAACTGAGATAACAAGCAGAGTGAATTTCGATGATGTTTCGATGGGAAGTGATACAGCCGTGCACTGCCTGACATACCGACACGGACGAGTGACAAGAAGTTGCTTTGTCGTAGACATTTACCAAATCTACCCATGACGCCGGAGAGCTGTATCGACTTGGACGTATTGAATGAATCGACCTCGTTATCATTCAGGACCATATGTTGTTAAAACCCAGCGGAGGAACAAGAAGACGACAGTTTCGGAGGCTGTCTGGACCCGAGAGGACGAAGCTGCTAGCTTATAGTAACTCACAGCTGTGGTGCCAGGAGGGATATTCACAGTCAAAGAGACAACGCGCTAAACAGAGGATAATCTGTCCAAGGATAACCTTGTCAATCTCCCCGCGTTCAAAAGAAGATAAATTAGTTAGCCTGGTGCGAAGAAAACACCTTGTCACGGCGACGTTGGCCAATACTGACACCTCAAAATAGAAAGAAAAACCAAACAAGTCTCCGTCCAGGTAATGTTACAATAACATCTCTGTTTGAGCAGGAACAGACGCGTATTAATACACTGTGTCCAGCTAATTTACTCCGGGATAATTTGGGTCCAATCACTGGGTATTAAACCTCCTAAAACCAGCCAGGAACCTCTTAATCTCTGTGAACATATTTGTGCCTCCACCACCATTTTCTAATCAATCGCTGCGAGGCTCCATTCTGTCTCCACGGCTGGAGATTTTGGTCTATTTTGCGGAATATGATAAGCAAATAGTCACTACAATGTATTTATGCTGCATGCTGCTTATTAATGTGCCAGACGATCTTGCAGAAGAAGCTTGAATATATGACATGTTGGTATAGACATGTTGGTCAGCTAATTAAATAAAACTGAAGTCACCTGTGTTTTTTTAATATGCCACAAGTGATGGTGAGCGTTAGTTTTTCTGAGAGCTTCAACAGCTTTTTGGGATATTTTCCTCCAGATCTTCAGCTTCATAGCCTTAGTCAGAGATGGATCGATTAATCAGCAGATATTTCTGTATAATGCATGCACTCACAAGGTCAAAAAATAAAGGAACATCTGCAAACCCTTCAGGTTTCTCAGAGTGGCTGCCTTTGATAAATCTCTACATCACCCTGTGTTGTTGTTGTAATATGTTTTTGCACATCCTTAATGACTAATTATCAAATCTAAAGCAGCTACCAGCTGATATCTAATGTAAAATCTGTTATGGTGTATGAAGTAACTCAGTGTAGAGTTTCTTCTACCAGATAGTGATGGGCACAGCAGTTCTTTTAGACGTACTGAATCACTAGAATCAGTTCACTAAAATGATTAGTTTAAAAGATTCGTTCACTAAATCACCAAATCATGTAGCGCCTGTCGGGGGAAATCTGCGACTCCGACCTCCTGAACTGATACACAGCTGAACGGTTCAGGATTCAGTTCAATTAGCTTCTGGGACCGGGAGACAAGAGTGTTTGTCTGTGTTGTTTTGGTAAACAGGTTTGTAAAAATGCACTTGTTTATAAGTCATGATGTTTAAAGTGTACTGTCCTATGGTGTGCTTTTTATCAGGTCTGCTCAGTAAATTGGGCTCAATGAGTGATTCGTTCACTGAACGTTTGGAAGAGTTCAAACTGAACATGCACCGTTCCCTAGCAAACCGCTGCAATGATAGGATGCTGCGGGTTAATGCGCTATTTGTTACATGCTTTGTCCTGTTGTATGCAAGTTGTTGTGTTTGCAATTTAGCAGTAAATAAAAGGTAGGTTTGTACAAAAAAAAAGATTCCAGAGAGTGTAGTTCAATGCGTGATTCGTTCACTAAGTGATTCAGGTGTCGGTGCCTGCGGTCCCTTGTTCACCGGCTGCTCCACTGGCAATGCAGTTTCTCACCTCAGCACAACTGAAGTGAGAAACAAACAAATCACCTGAGGAAGCGATTCGGTCCAGTACGTTCACTTAAAAGATTCTGTTCATTTGAACAAATCGTTCGCAAAAGACACAACACTACTGCCAGATGTCAGTCATTTTCTGAAATCTAAAACCAATGTTTTTTTTATTATAAGAAGAATTAAACTTCCATTTAAAACATGTTACTAGCTAATATTACCATCTATAGTAGATTGTTTCATACATGGAATAATAGATGCTGCAAAACTGTTTTCATGGTATGCAAAAATCAAAAGACAAACCTTGCATAGTTAATCTGGTGTGATGCTTTGATGCTGCAAAATCTGCAGAATTTGTAGAGGCGGCAAAAACTTGCAGGTGTATCCTGGAGAGGAAAAAAAGCTGTCACAGACTGTAATAGTCAAATTATATGTAGGTGTCATTTAATTTTAAAGTCATAAAGAATACAAAGATAATAATAACTTTAACATCACATGATTTACATCAAAAATACAGTGTTGACAGTGCAGCAGCAGTATGTAGTTGTGTATTCATTGAGACAGCAGACTACATTGTATATATGTATAATTTAAAGGATGTAATTGCACAGATGTGAAAGCAACTTTATTACAAATGATCCAAGTTACACTGCCTGATATCAGTTACCACCAGCCTATTCAAAAGAGGTTTCGCAGCTATGTGGAGTCAAATTGCAAATCCCCCCCATCCTTAGAGCCGGGCAGTGCAACTCAAAAGCACCTGGGATATATAAAAGGTTGCCTTAGGTGGGGGTCCAGGTGCAGAGTGAAACAAGAAAGCCTTTTCAGTCAATACTGCCTGGGTGGTTGTGCCAAACCGGGTCAGAGATATGCCTTTTTTTTTTCTTATAATACAGGCTGTACCAAGCCATACTCTGGAGAGAGGAATAAATGTGTTTTGAAAAGAGGAAAAGAGGACAGCAGCCTGGCTTTCAGCCCCAGTCCCAGAACCCTCCTGCTCCTTTACTTATAAAAGACAAGTATTCACATTCATGGAGAGGATGTCATTCAAGAGTTCTTTGGCATGAATGTGCTCTTGTGGTGTTTTCCTTGTGATCAGTCTACAGGGGTCCTAGTGGCAGATTGGTGTTTCAGTTGTGCGAGAGATCCAAGACACTCGTGTATCAAGAGGTTGTTATATCTGTTCTCTCTGTTCTCACTCTCCTCTGTCTCTCTCTCTCTCTCTCTCTCTCTTTCCCTATCTGTCAAGAGCAGTTCTAACATTTTCATCCTGAGGTGTTTTCCGGATTTAATTCTCCTCATTTTCCCTTTCCCAGGCTTTTTAGGATGAATCACTTGTCCTTAAGCGAGCTATGTTGCCTGTTCTGCTGTCCACCGTGCCCCAGCAAGATTGCCTCCAAACTGGCCTTCCTGCCTCCAGAGCCCACCTATAGCCTCATGTGTGACGATAGTGGCAGCCGGTGGACGCTGCACCTCTCTGAGCGTGCAGACTGGCAGTACTCGTCACGCGAGAAGGACGCCATCGAGTGCTTCATGACTCGCACTTCAAGAGGGAACCGCATCGCCTGCATGTTTGTCCGCTGCTCTCCCAGCGCCCGCTACACACTGTTATTCTCCCATGGCAACGCAGTGGACTTAGGCCAAATGAGCAGTTTCTACATCGGCCTAGGATCACGGATCAACTGCAATGTCTTCTCTTACGACTACTCAGGCTATGGGGCCAGTTCTGGAAAACCCTCAGAGAAGAACCTGTATGCTGATGTGGATGCTGCCTGGCAGGCGCTCCGCTCACGGTAAGGAGGCGTGATGATGGTGATGATGATAAGAAAGAACCTGTACAGAAATGTAGGCGCAGCCTGTAGAGAAACGATTCAGTCATGGGTGTGAGGCGATGAATACACTGACAGCACCACTAACAGCATGTATAAACAACAGCAGCAAATTTAAACCAAAACTGAAACATAGATTAGGCCTGACAAACACATTAAGAACAATCATTTAAACCCCTAAACTTTTAAGGTAAGGAGAAATACTCAAAATGTTTTGCACGGCTCGCTTGGAATGTAGAAAATGCTCACAAATCCCAGATCTGAGGAGTAAAGGAAGTGACATAACAGATTGTGGAAACAGTTGGAGCCCGAGTGACTCTTGTAAATTTTCCTCCACATGCTTCAAGTCGCAAACAAAACTACCAGCTGTGTTAACTGGAGAGAAGAAGACAGCAGCATAAATCGTAACTCTTGGTTCGCCGTCATTTGTGATGACGGCTCTGAACTCGAAGATAGAAAATGTTGCGAATAACAACAATTTCACCGTTCTCGGTTCTCTTGCTCTGTAAGCGACTCCAGTCATTGGCAAGTTTGACAAAGTGAGTAGAGTACTGAAGTGAAAGCTGCTGTGAAGTAAAATATGAGGAAACCAGGCTGGTATTGATTGATATAAAAGTGGAGCTGATGTGAGAGAGCTTGAAGTCACGCTTTTTAGATGTAAAAAGCGTCCTGAAGAAGCTGGCTGTAGAGATGATGAGATTGGATCTGATAATGTCACGGGTGGAGATCATAAGAAACTGTTCTGTAGGGATGACACGGTGTTCCTGTGGGCGATAATAAGAAACGTGTTTTCTGCCGTCCAGCCACCACATGTAGGTGTGAGTGGGTGTGCTGCAGCATCTTTTGCTCTGCGGGCTATGAATAGAATCATTCTTATTGGCCAAAATTCAAGCCCATACACTTTTCAAGCAGTTATACTTAGTTATGTAGTGCTTATAGTTGCTCTGGGATGTTAATAGAACAAGTAAGGAGCCCTGACTGTCTCATGTTTCACTCTCACTTCTGCTCCATCTCTGCAATTAATAATTCTGCGTTAACCGTGTGAACAGATATCCACCTGTTTGTGTAATTACATGAATAATGAGTCTTTTTCTCCAAGATAAGACCATCTGTTTGACTCCATGTCCCTCATTTCCTTCCACCCATTTTTAACCCCCTCATCATCTCCCTCCTTTGTGCCTTTGTAACACCATAGCTATTGTCACTTTGGGGGAGGGGGGAACATCTGCACTGGGTCTTATAAGTGTCAGATAAAGGCACTTTTTAACCATGGTTTCTTGCTTCTCCTCTCTCTGCTAATGATAATCACTTAACGTGGTGACACTGACAGAGGATGGCTGTTACGTCCATTGACTAAGTTCAGGGCTGGAGAAACAAGCGGATTTGACTTTAAAACGTCTCAATTTTCACTCGAAACTTGAGTACGGTGCAGCTACTCTGCTTCTGCTGTTTGTGTTAGTATTACATCTTCCAAATGTAAAGTCAATATCTTGATGGGTGCATGCTGTCATGGTTATCTTAACCCTTAGACACAGTCATTTGAAAATGTCACTGTAGATTTTTGATAATTTTAGGACAGTTTTTGTGTCATTTTTTTCTTGATAGATGGCACAAAATTAACTTAGGGTCAAACACACAGTAACACCGAGTTAGACACCCCCTCGAGAGATGAATGTTGCAGACCGCTTGCTTCTCTAGTTAAACCAACTTTAGTAACGACCGCACGACAGCAATACACAGCGGTCTGAGGAGCCATAAACAAACCTCAACCAAAACGCTGCTCTATAGCCACAAATAATGCTCAGAACAGCACCTAACTTCATCAGCAGTACATATAGGGTCCCAGCCATGGCACTAACCACCAAGAATCTTTTTAACTTTGCTTAATTCAGCAAAGAGACTAAACTCAACTCACCTACTCTCTTCCAGCAGCTGCTTCTTTGAAGCGAGACCTCAGGCCAGTCCATTAAAGACTGGTGTGGAGTGACGCAGCTCAAGGAAGAACATTTATGATCATTTCTTTATCATTTTTTTGAAGTAATAATCATCATATAAATCATTTTGCATTGCAGACGTGGTAGTGCTTCTCCCTTAGTGATTGCGTTTCAATGAAGAAATGATCATAAATCCCTTTAACAGATAGAGTCTTGTGAACTTTTAGTGCTTTACACATGTGTACAAGATAAACTACTTAACCTGGTCCAGTGGACAACAAGATGTGGAGGAGGAGTGTACAACATGTTAAGCTGAAAATAACATGTCCATCATATCTGTGCGTTTCTGTTTATGTGGATGAGGGGAAAAATAGAAGTTCATCCAGTAGGCCCTGGTTGTGTATACTTCCTGCTGGAAGACAAACAAATGACTCAGAGGGAGGAGAGGAGAGGGGACGCTGGCTCAGGAAAAATGTACAGGCTGAAGAGAGGGACCAATGTGGTTTAAATCAGCCACGAAGATTAAAAACTGGGCTTGTAGCGCGGCGAACTCCTCCTGTGTCATTGCTGATGTGAGTGGGTGTATGCGCTCCTCTGTGGTAAATGAAGGTGTTAGCACTGCAGAGATTTAAAAGTGCTGATGGTTTACACGAGTGGAGCCACTCACATGAAATATCACTGTGTCCTAGCTACTGACTTTCCCCGCTGATCTCTCTCTCTGCACTTATTTAACACTCAACTCCCCAAAAGGAATACACTGAGTTGTCATCTGTGAATAAAGGCCCTATAAATAAGGAAGCTGGCAAGTTAAACAGGAAACTCCTGATCATAAATGTTGTGCATACAGGAAATAGGCTGTTGTAAGGAAGAACCTGCTTTTCTAGTGTTTAGGCAAGTTGAAACCTTTTCTGCCACATGCTATGAGGGCAAGCCTCCTTGCCAAAGCTTTAGTTACAATGTTGGATGTGATTGAGAGAAATGTAAGCCAAAGAAGTGGCCAGAGCAGAAAGAGATCACTTTTTCTTACCAAACTCAGAGTTTGACTTCTTGAGAGACACAAATAAATTAGTGATTGTGGTTTAATTCATTTTTTTTCCATTCTACTTGCTCATTTTGTTCACATAGATAGCGTGTGCTTCCACACACAGTCGTGACCAGCAAAGAAAATTAGCTCTGAAATTGATCTGATTTAAGCAGAAAAGTCCCTCCAAGTCAAATCAAATAAGGCTTGGCGATTTGCGTCAGGGACAGGAGGTGTAAACAACCTTTTTTTACGTAAATGGAAACGCCTCTCTGTACTCTTTATGGAGGCACAGTAATATGGGTTAGATAAAAATTTGCATGTCCTTGCTTATCTTACTCGTCTGCTCACTGCATGGCCCCACCTCTTTCCTCACTGTCTCCATGATTCACTTTGAATCATTTCAATTGTCTATCTGTTTTATTGTTGTACAACACACCTACATGTTGAAGTGGAGTGGAGTTATTGGAGCGTAGTGACTCCCAAGGAAACTGGAATGACCCCTTCTACCTAAATATTGCCAGATCATGTGAATAAGCTTCATCTGTTCTTAGATGACATCGTTGTTCAAATACATCCCATCGTCAATGTTTAATTTCCCTACAGGCCAAATAACTTTTTACTGCTCGTTTGTACTGGTTGGCATTCCGCCTGCCGGTGTAACTAAAGCCCTCGGGGTTGTTAAAGCTGTGTCGAGCAAACGGTTTCCACGTGTGGTGTTAATAAGCAGTTTGTGAGAGCAGGTATTGACCCTTTATTGGATAACAAAGGGGCTGTATCACATGGCTTTTCAGGTTAATTAAGCACAATACCTCTTAAAGATCAGAGGAGAGGCCTACGGGAACAAGAGCGTAACTAGATAATCGAAGAAGACTCGACTTGTCTACTGTATGTCTCGTGTCATTCAGTCACATGGTTGATAGTCACTCTACACACATTAACTCAATTTCATCTGATTTTCATTCATTGTGACCACAGTTGAATTTACATTAAAAAGCTCTTTACGGGTTTCAAGTTCGGTTTTCCTTTACAGTCTTATATCTGTGGTCAGTTTTTCCTTTATGGTTGATTGTGATTGTTTTAACCATACTTTAAAATGTTTCCTATCAATTGTGTTGTCTGTATTTTCAATTAAGAAGTCTTTGCAAGACTAAGTCATCACACATTGTGACTTTCTTTAAAGCCAAGTTGAAAGTCAAGGAAACACTATAAAAAACTTTGGGCATTTCGGTGTTGCCAGCGGTTAGCAGTGGACGACTCCAGGTCAAGACCGTTCTTTTGCATCTTTTCTGTTTACAATCCAGCTGGCATTTAAAAAAGCCAGATGTGTGAAGATCAGAATTTGCCTCTCCGCATTTGTCTGCTAAATAATCGCAAACATCCTTCAGTTTATTTTATCACCTTGGAGGAGTAGTTGTTGATCTTTCTCTAGTTGGTCTCAGTTTAGTCTGTCTGGCTTTCTGTCGCACTGTGACCCCTGAAAAAGAACCAGTTTTCTTGTGACCAGATTGTAGTTAAAAGGTCACGAGTTTGCAGGAAGAAAAACATCATGACGTAGGTACAGAGGAGTAAAAATAAAAACTCTGCCAGGTCTGTCCTGAGGAGGAGAAGACGACAACAACACATGAATGGTATTTTTAATGAATGAACGTCTGATAGTCGTTCCAGGAACTCAGATTATCTAATTGCTGCTTGATGTCTGACACAGTTGAAAGCAGGTTTGTTGCTTTTTAAAAAATTGGTTCATCAGGTTTGAAATGCAGAGCTCAAACACAAACTGTCAAAGAGTAGATTCGGTCCACCTGCTTTTGTTCTCTGACTGTTATGTATACAGAAGCCTGCTTACTTGTGATTGGTTAATTCTGCCTGGCCTGTTTGTGATCATTCAGTCATACCTGGACTCTACAATTCAAGCTCGACAGATTCAACAGTTTCTTGTAGAATCTGTAAACAGAGATGAATGTTGTAATGCATAACTCTCACAAACAGAATAGACTCAAAGTAAGTAGATCTTTCACAGTTATTCAGCTCTACTTACTTTGAGTCTTATTAATGGGAAAATAATCAGATGTTGAGAGGGGTTTAAAAACAGCTAATGAGGTGCAAGTCTTGCGCCGAATATTTATGATTATAAATGAACATCATCTCTTTGTTGTGGAGTCTTAAAAGCTTAGAGAGCTTCATTATCACTTCTTTCTAGATCAGCTGTCTGTGTCGTGACTGTTTTGGGGGAGCCTCTGATTTATAATTGACTTTGTGTGTGACAGAAAGAGGGTACATCCCAGCCTTTTGACCCTGCTGAACATGAATCAAATAGCTTGTGTTTATCACATCAAAAGGCGCCTCTCAGATGTCTCACTCGAGTCTGCTGCGTACATTCCCTGGTGTGTGTCTCTCATGTTCGATCAGACGCACAGCCTGAGGACGAGAGCGGCTGTAGTGTCTCCCTTTTTTTTTCTCAGTGCTTGTTGAATTTTTCTCTCTTCTTTTTTTTTAACTCTGACATTTTGAACACAGCCGATCCAGCCTCTTTCTGCCTGTTTTGTTTTCTGTGTCATCTGCTTTCCATCCTGCAGTCGGCAAATTCCCTTTCTCTGGAGTGTTGACACACTTGAGTAGGCCGCCTCTGCTCCTGCTCCGCAGTCATATGACAGAGGGCAGCCACCTGTCACTCACTTCAATAACTGCAGAACCGCAACTGTAAATCCAGGCGCACTGCATAGACACGCACAGCTCTTGTGTTATTTTGTTTATCCACAGTTGCCGAGCCACTCCCTTTACCTGAGCAGAAAATGAGCCAGCTGATTTAGTAGTTATGAGTCACCAGGTTGACACACTCGACCTCCTTTATCACACAGCAGATTACAGAATAATGTGTGCGATGGCTGTGTGTTATCCACTTCACAATAAGGAAGAAAGGCTCAGTTTGACTGACCAGGCCATCAGCCCATTTCCTTTGTGAGTGTGTGTGTGTCTTTGTGTGTGTGTTTTTCACTCCAGAATGCCACTGTATCATTTTCTTTCCCCTCAGAGATGGAGGCGGGCCAGCAGTCAATCCTGCTACCCTTATATTGAGCAGTAGCCTAGCAACTGATATCCAATAAGCTTTCAGACCAAGGTCTTCCCACACCACGGCCAATAAAAACAAACGGGGGGAAAACTCACTTCCTGGTCAATAGGCATTATTGATCAATATGAAAATGCCATCTGTCTCCTCAGATGTTCGTTAATGATGAGGGATTCTCACAAACACACACTCACTCAGAGACGGACAAGCGTATCTACAAATCATTTTCTCTTCTTCAGTTGAAATATCTGTGGTGGGTGAGCTGTGGAGGCCTGTAGACAGAAGCTGCCATGTGTTTATTAAGATTGTTTTTTGCTCACCTGACTGTCTTAGAAACAGCCTTTAATGACTGAACCAATTCACTGTTTCTTACTTTCAAACTGTGCTGAGCCTTGAACAGAAATCTCAGTCTCTGCTGATCTTCAGTAAACAAGTAAACAATTCAGGAATCCAAGTATGAATCTGCCGTGCATAATATGAGATCATTGGAGCTCTTGAGTGAAGGATCCCCCCTGCTGTACTGCAGATGGTGCACTAATCTGTTAAAAATGCCTGCACATATGCTCAGGATGTCCTAAAATATCCATTAGTCATTGTGAGTAATACGGGATGAGAATATTTTTGCTCCTCGGAGAGAGCAAAAGGTGGGCAGCCGAGAGGGGAGCAGGAGAGGATGTGATGCATAATAGATTGAATTTGTGTCAGGAGGCTAAATTGATGAAGGTTTTGGGGGGAGGGCTGTAACCATGGAGCGTGGCCAGCTATGGGTGGGTGAGGTCTACTTGAGCAGAAATGAGATGGAGTAAATTGTAGGTTTGTGCTGACCAGTCCAGGGGGTCAGATCGGGGTTGTTCTTGGATTGTTGTAATGCTGTTTGAACATGAGCACAGCTGCAGACGCACAATGTGTTTTACCTTCTTGTTGCATGTTTTTCCTGAACGCGTGAGCAAAATAAAACCACCTAACCGAGCTGACACAGAAGGCTGGGGGAGCAGCTAGAGTGACCTTGCTGTGAGTGGAGGGTCATGGGTTCAAGCTTTGCATTATTCATTGTGTTCATATGTGTACGTATCCTTGAGTGAAACTCTCCAAGCTTTCACAGTGTGTGTGTGCACAGATGAACTGGGCAGAGCGTGTTGTACGAGGTTTAGGGAACGCCTCGCAATGTTTACTGTCCTTTATCCTCAAACTTGATGAGTAAGCTGTCAAAAGGTTTCAAATTACTTTCTGTATTGGCTCTGCTGCATAGGCTGTACATTGTGGAGAGATCCATGTGCTGAGTGTCTTGTGATTGGTCAGGATCTTGTGGTCTGATACGCTCAAGAACATTGACCAGATAAGTATAAACAACAGGAGATAAGTTAAGGGGAACAGCTGATAAGGAGACACTTAAGTCCAACATGGATAAAGTAGTTCACGGTGAACAAACACAGAGAGTTTTGACAATAAAGCTATTTCTTTTTTACTTTTAAACTGATCTTATCAAACTTGCAGGTAGAGTTAACCAAACTTCATCTCATTCAGACTTTCTTATAACCCACTTCTGCCCGTGATCAGTCATGAGTAAGTGAAGTAAGCAACCGAACAACCCCCTCCTGCCGTCTGATTTATTTTCATCTCTCCTGGGAGGGGTTAGTGTTATAAATCCGCAGTGGCAGTCATCTCTCATTTTGCTCGACATCTTATTTTCCTAATCTGCCTTCCTTTTCAAGATGGATTTTTTTACCGGATGGCTCTCGCTGGTTGCTGATCTTAAGCGTGGCAACATAATACCTGAATTTATGAAATCCTCGTCTGACATAGAACGGTTTATCAGTTTTTCCTCCCCGTCAGTTTCGTAACATGAATAGAATCATTGGGGGAGTATCACACGCATTCTTATCATTTTTAGGATTGATTGATTTAATATTTTACTGTTTGATTTTTCTCTTATTTTTTACTGTAAGTCTCTTGCTGTTTGCTGATCGAAGGCATGGCGACAAAACGAACCAATTCCTCTGAACCAATCTAGCTAGTGTCCTCTTGGGGTGTTCGCATCATCGTTTGCTCGCATTTTTAAGACATTGTGTGAAGTAGTAAGCGGCATTTAGCTGAACAGACTTGACACAAATGAAATATAATATTCATAGCATGTTTCACTAAGTGTGTAATTGCCCGGACAGTCACTTCACTGATGAGAGGGGTGAGCAGAGGAGCATTTCAACCAAGAATCTAACCTCTGAATATCACCAAGTCTTTCCATCTCCACACACTGTACCTGTATGTGATGCCTCTTTGTGATTTAACCGTCAAAACCCCTGAGGTCTTTAAAGTTCTGAGAAACAGACTTCCCCAAAAAACTCGCCTAATCCAAAATGGATTTTCAGTCCCCAAGCAGTGAAAAAGGCTTTTTTTAGTCTGACTACAAAATGTTAAGATTAAACTGGAAAAGTAGAAAGGTCAAAGACAAGCCATTTAGTTGCAAATACTAAAACAAAGCTTTTTGTCTCTGATTTGCTGAAGCTCATAGTTGTTTTTTTTGTTTATCAGACACTTCAGAAAGGTCAGTCCACTTTGACACAGTTTGTGAAATGACAGTAGCTATTTCTCCTGCTCTCTCTGCCAGTATTTCCACTCCTATTTTTACTCTGTGAAGTCCAGCTGACAGAAACTGTAAACAGGTCCTATATTTCTGCTAATGACTGTGGCTGTATATATTTCCAGCCTCTGTTCGCTCTTCATTGAAGTCTTTTGAAACAGTAGAACCTCATAAAGATTGTTATACTTGTATTTTCAGACCGTTCATCACAGCAGTGCAGACTGTCATCATCAGACTTTGTTGTTTGTGGACTGAGCATTATCGAAGTGCAGTGGCAGAGGATGTGGAGTTAAGTAGAGCCTGAAATGTTAGTGCTCCCAGTTTTCATAACCGAGTTGTACCGCTGTGCTTTTTCCAGCAGCGCAGACAGTGATGCAGTGTTCTGGACTTGGTTTCAGGTTGTCAGCTGACTGCTCGCTCGCTAGACTGGGTCACGTTCTACATAATAAGCTGAGGAATGTCTTCTCTTTCATTTCCCTGTTTCTCCCCCCACCCTTGATCCAGTATCAGTGTCTCTTTAGCTTTCTTTTTGCTTGACTTGCTCCAAGTTGCCCTCTTGAGCTCTGAATCACAGGGCTACTGTGGTGGTCCTCGGTGTTCAGCTGCTTTGAAGGGCTGCAGAGAGCCGCTGAACCTTCGCTGCTTCCCATCCTTGTGTGCTTGTTTTAGGAGGCCTTATAATCACTGAGTCACTGTGGCGTGACGTTTCAGCTGATAATAGAGTGTGAGTAAGTCTGTGTTTGCTCACAGGTGTGTGTTTGCTCATGGAGCAGCATGTTGGGGGAATGAAGAGACGATTGGCGAGTAATTGGCTGTGTGCAAGCTTTACTGAGTGATGACTAAACACAGACTTGACTTAGAGAACCAGGATGACATCAAGCTTTCTTTCTTTTGACTTTGGGAAAGTAAATTTTTTACACTAATTGGAGTATTCAAAATACACAACATTTGCTTTTTCTCTTTTTGCCAAGAGCCAAGCTGCTCTTTCTAATTAACAGAAGGCCTAGTTGGATGTCTGCCAGTGAAAATTTACCAGAATGTGTCTGACTGCTAGTAGTGTAAGATTTCTGAAAACATGATATTCATATATCCCGTGCTCATCTCACAGGTACGGCATCCGGCCCGAGAATGTCATCGTCTACGGTCAGAGCATTGGCACTGTGCCCTCTGTGGATCTGGCCTCGCGTTATGAGAGCGCTGCCGTCATTCTCCACTCCCCGCTCACCTCTGGCATGAGGGTGGCCTTCCCCGACACCAAGAAGACCTACTGCTTTGACGCCTTCCCTAAGTGAGTCCCCTCTTTGAACAGATGGCGTGTGAAAACCGGGCTTAATATAGTATATAAACATCCACAGAAAGGCACGCACACACACACACGCCCTTCACAGTTTTGTTAAATAACAAGTATTCATCTATTCAAATACAGAGCCGTGCATGAATGGGTTTAAATCAGGAAAACACACAAGCTTACAAGAATGGGTTTATAAATATAGATGTGTCATAACAATTCAGAAAAAGGGTTTTCTTCTTAATGAATCACAATCTTTGGCTACATTTTACCTTGCTCCCTCTGGTGGTCAGTTTGTGAATCTTATTATTTTTCTTCTTCCTTTTATTTACAAACCTCTACTAATCTCGCCTTTCTTTTTCACTCAATAGCATCGACAAGATTTCTAAGGTTACGTCTCCAGTGCTGGTGATTCACGGTACAGAGGACGAGGTCATCGACTTCTCCCACGGCCTGGCCCTGTACGAACGCTGTCAGCGCCCAGTGGAGCCGCTCTGGGTGGAGGGGGCCGGACACAACGACGTGGAGCTCTACGGACAATACCTGGAGAGACTCAAACAGTTTGTTGCACACGAGCTGGTCAACTTGTAGAGATGGAGCTGCGAGAACAAAGGGTGGAGAGGGGGGAAGGAGGAGGACGGGATTGTTGTTCAGGAGAGGTTTGCTGAGGGGAAAGCAGGTGCAATTTTCTACTTTTTTTGTGAAGTGGTGCAGGTAAAGGTAATGTTTGTCTGTTTTACGCTGAAGTTTCGATGGCGGTCTTTCCTCTGTATCAGACACCTCTCCCCCTAAAGACTGTCTGCTCTCCACACGATGCAGCTGTGAACTCACAAGTACCCATCATTTTATTTCTCTTTGATTCTTTTGATTTATCATGTCAAATATTGCACATCTTGAAAGTGTGTGAGTGAAAGAAGAGGTAGGAATGTGCGTAGAAAACAAACCATGTCTCCACGCAGTATAAGACCATGTGTGTGAGTGTGTGTATGTGTGTGTCACATTTTTGCTGCCTTGTGAGAAGAACTTGGTCCATGTTTTTTTTTTTTCTTGTCGAGTCCTTTGGTCAGATCTTGAGGTGTTTATGGTTCTAAGGAGAAGGACTGAACCAGAAGTGGACCAGACTCTCTCTAACCCAACTGAACACCATCTGATTTAGACCTCAGGTTTGGTCCTACACACTGCAGACATGGATTTCTTTTTTTTTTTTTGGAGTACTGTTTCTTATATTTTTTTATATTATACATGATATTTGCACGTTTCAGCTGTCACTGAAGAACTGTACAAGACAAACTGACATGTTATCTAGCTGTGCCAGTGTTGCCAAATGTTTAGTATGAGACTGCAGAGACTTAGACACACAAAGGACTTTGGACCTTTGTGGAAACATCCTCTAGATTCTTCTCCGTAGCTCTGTTTACTGTTTTATAGTCTTGACTTCTGAGTTTGGTCTTGAAATGGTACAATGTGATGTTAAAAGCTGCAAGAACACAATGCAACATGGAGCTCAAAAAAGGCTGAGTTAGCATCGATCAATTAAGTACAGATAATGAACACCATTTTAAAAACCTACTGCAGAAATATCAATTATCCTTATGAATATTTTGACTCATTTAAGCCCATTATTGACGCTGTATTTTCCGTCTTTGGTTCTGACAATATCATGTCTGATTATATGTGCAGTTATTTTTTAAGGATCTCACTCATGGACCTAAACCAGATGTTTCTATTGTGTCTTTATATGATAGAAATCGAACTACTGTGACAGAAGCTGATGCTCTGTTTTTTTGATCAAGACTTCAACCACCAATGCCAATTAGGACTGAATGGTTAATGTAGGTAACACAGCAGGTGTCGATATCCATTTTCAGTTCAAAAAGTAAAAGAAAAAACAATCTAGGAGCAGAAGCGGCTCAGCACTCGAGGCAAAAGTCATTAACAGAACGTTTTTCTTTTATTGTCTTAACTTTATTTTTTTTGTCTGCATGGTATTTCTGGATACATCGCTGTCCGTTGGTTTGACCTTTACTGCTGGGTCATGAAAACAAACACACAAAAAACACAGCATATGACTTCATTAAAGCGCTGACAGAGGCCTTAGAAGCAAATGTCAAAGAGCTACTGCATGTCGCTTCAGACTTCTCTATGGCCCATGTAACAAACCCATAAAAACACAAGAAATCTTAATGAATCATTTTCTTCCAGGTATATCTGATACCTGCATTTTTTTTTTTAACTCTAAAGCCTGATTTAACAAAAGGGGTCAAATGCCGTTGGTAATGAACCAATAAGCCAACAGGTGCTATTGTAAACCTTCAGGTCTGATTACTCATAGGTTGGAAGAAGCAAAAATTCTGATCAGGGCTGGTAACTGTTGTTTGTCAGCTAATGAAAACTGTTTTTTGTTTTTTTCACAACTCATGTCTTACCAAGTTTTTTTTTTCACTTTGTAAATAATATTTGTACTGGACATATTGTCATTTTTATTTCTCTTTTGTCATAATCTGTCAGCTGTAGTTCTTTTTGACTTCTCTAACTCTTGATAAATACCATCAGACAACCTTTAAGCCATCATGACGGCTTTACAGATGGACTTTGTACCAGTCACTTTGACTAATGTCATCTCTGATTTGACTAGATTAATTTTGTATAGCATATTTCAGTAAAAAAAAGAAACATAAATGTAATAACAATATTATTATAGTAATTCTAACATGGATAGAGAAAATAAAACTGTACTTGAAATGCAACAAAACTGGAAGCTGAACTGTTGATTTCTGGAGGAAATTTCTCTTCATTTGAGATGATCCTTTGTCATGATAATGTTTTTCATGCTCAGTTTGTGTGTAAAATTTAGTTGAATACAGTCTTGACCAAGGAGTGATGGTAATGTAATTCTTTTAGACCTGAAATGATTTGATTATCTTTACATTTTCAAAACAAGAGTTCTATTCAAGGGTTAGTCCAATCTAGTCCCTCTTTAAAACTACTCATAGTAGTTCTCCTTCTTACCAGCAGGTGGCAATGACACGCAGGGTTAAGCCCCTCCCCTGAGATCATGCCGCTTTACTGCTCCCTTTGATACATTCAGAAACTCCTCGGAAATCTGAGATTCATATCCCAGATGTAGAACTGTAGTAGAACTGCTTAAATCAAGAAGTAAAAACTACTTACTTTTGCTTTTTTAATATATGTTGATATAAAACTGATGGATTTTTTTGCAAAGTCTTAATTAGTTTTTAGTAACATTATCCAAATACATTGTGAAATACTGTAATTTTTTGTTTCCTGGCAGGATATTTTAAGACAGACTACTTTAATAATTTTAAACTCCTTAGTATTTCCACAAATCTGTGCAAGTGCAAGATCTTGGAACTTCCACAACCAGTTTTATTTAGATCCACTTTGTCAGCTAAGTGTGTAAACAAATGCGGGGTATTTAAGTCAAGTTTTTAGTGTGTTGCCTACAGCATTTGCACATAATCGCAAGTTTTGTTACACTTTTTACAAGAAGATGGTCGAAACATACAGCCCACAACAGGAACAACAAATAAGCTCAGGAATTAAGGGGGAAAGTATTATACACATTTATTTATTTTTTTATTTCAAGCCAAACAAAATGATATCTTATATACAACATAACAAGAAAATCCACAAGACACCATACAGTGAACAGGCACAAACAAAAACAACAAACACTAATGACAACCAACACGGTCTGAAAAGGGGATGGAAGAAGCAAAGCTTATATATTTACAACCCCAGACAACACAAAAACCACATTAATACAACAAAAACACAAAGTCACTCTCTGAACCCCTCATCCCCCCAATCATCTCATCAGTTTACATCATTGCCCTCCTCCTTGTTATATGTATAACCTCAACATCTAGACTATTCCATACAATGACCCCTTTGACAGATATACAGATACTTTTGAGAGTCGATCTTACACTTTGTTGTTGCAATTTGAGTTTTCCATAATTTGTGCCGTTTTGAATTTTACCAAATCAAAAAAGAGCGTGTTATATTTATCATACAACATGCTCACAAACGAACAAAATGAAATAAATACAAAAAAATGTACGGTTTATGTAAGACATGAGCATTTAAATTATTATTACGACATTAGGAATCTCAGTCTGATTTTTTTTCCGACGGTACTTGAAAGCATCATCACTTCCTCTCTGTGTAGCCTCGCCTGCTTTCCCCTCGGTGGGACGGGGGGCCGACCGACGGATGGACGACAGCCCATCAGCAGAAAAAACACCATGTGGGGAAAAAGTACATAAAAAGGGGACACGGAGAGCAAAGTAGCGAGGGTGAGAACTTCTTCACTGGTCTCACTGCTACCGGGGTCTGCGGTGTTGAAAACGGCTCCTCGGCAGGGAGCGGATGGACAGAGCGGGAGAGGAGCAGGACTGCAGTCTCACCAACGGTAACGGCGCGAGCTCACCGTTCGTTTACACGACCGTTTACATTGTGTGTCTGTGCCTTTCTGTCTGTGTGTCAGCTGTGGGGGGTGATAAGGAAGATTTACAGGGGGAAAATGCGAATGTAGGGTCGTTTTTCTTGGTAGGAGACTTGGCTTACTCGTCACAGGGACGGATAAACCGAGCACAAGCGGTAAAAAAGTTAGTTCTGTGTGTTAAATCCTGTTTTAAAGTTGTAACTCAACGCTTTGTGTTGCAGAATTACGATCTAATGTAACATATATTCTCCTTTTGGTCCTTCTTCTGTGACTTTCAGTGCCTTTTAACGTAAACCGACCATAGTATGGACACCTGGGAAATCCAATTCAACCCATCAGCTTTACCATTAAGTTTACGTGTATGAGGCTTCTACATATTTACCTTTGTGCATATACTTAGACAGGTGATAATTGAGCGTTTAATTAATTGGATTACGTTGTATTGAAAGGTGTCCCTAATATGTTGCTCCCCCTATGTTTGTTAACCCTATAACAAACATACCGGCTGGTTTTTACCCGAAATAATATAACCAAGAAAAAGTACTTGTCATCAAAATATATAAAAATAGGACAATACATGACAAATTAAAGTTGTTTTCTTTTATTTTTAACCGTGCAATGTCCAAAGGGAGGGGTAAAAGTACCATAAGGGGACCATATGCAACAGAATAACTGAAATTTGGCATTCATGAACAAAAAAATCCTAATATATATATATTTATATAGAAACTGTAAAGTTAGTTTCTTTTCCACTCATTCCTGGGGCATGTTAGTCTTCCCTGGTGAAGACTCCGGGTCCTTGGCACAATATGGCATATTTTGAGTGAGTAAAAATGACCAGCTGGCTAAAACATTTCTTATCCCCATATGAATTCCCTTTTAAAATCTCAACTTTGTGATAGTTATTCATAACCACTGCGCTAAATAAAGATAGCACGCAAATTCCAGGACCACTCTTACTGAACTTATTCCCTACATGCAGCTATCAAATCCACCCAAACCTACTTTACCCTCTATGTCAAAGGTGTCAAAGGCTATGCTGAAGCTACCCGGGGACCCATGATACTCAGACAAATGCAACACAATGAAAATCACGTACACATGTTTGGTCGGGTGAAAATCACAATAGCGTTCTAGGGTTAAATGACTCTAACAAAATATAAGGAACATCTTCCAATATAGTACACCACCGCCCACTACTTCCTCAATAATGCATGTAAAGAGCATTTATCAACTGTGTGATCACCTCCATAAAAACCGAGCTGCAGTGTGCTTCCTCAAAGTTGAGTTTATGGTAGAGCTGGTGGGTGCATATTTGATCACTAAGTGTTTTTGCAGGATGGAGTCAAAACAAGTCTATAAATCAAAATTAATCAAATCCTTATGCTGAACACATTGTCTTTAACCCTAACACCGCTCAGAGTAGGCCATCTCACACACTACACCTACTGTCAGTCTGCTAACCTGGTATTAAGAGATGTGACAGTGCTGTTATTGCTTCAGTCCTTGTTAAAATAAGAAACACGTGGTCTACTGTTTGCTTTATTGCCAATACTGATTTCCAAAGTAAAGGATGATTTTACAGTTGAGGAATGTGTAATGGTGTGTCCCTCTTTGACTTCAGTGTTTCTTCAACACATCTGTTTGATATTCAGTAGCTCTAAAATCAGGAAAATGTGAGCATGGGTGATGAAGGGGATAGGTTATTGGGAAATGTAGGGGGTCCAAATGAAGCAAAGCAGCTCTTTGATTATTATGAAAGCATTTTCCAGAAGAGCCCTAAGGTGAGTAAAGTCCACAAGTCTTTATGCTTTTACAGGTCAGTTGATTGCAGGGGAGCAGTAGCAGCTTGGCCCTTTTATGGCGAGGAATGTGGATAAAAACATTACTTGAGATGAGGTTATAAAGACTAGTGCCTGGGGAGTCATCAGGCGCCCGAGGAATCATCCCAGCACAGAGCTCCTGCTGAGACGATCTAATGCAGGGTACTGACCCTGAAAAGATGAACATTATCCAGTACAAAGTGTTACCAGTGATTCTTCCACCCTGATTTTACAGTTTGGGTTTAGTTCGAGAAAAATATAGACGTCATCATCACTCATGTTCAAGTAGGTGTCGGATCAAGCTTAGAGAAATCACAGAGCTCTTATTGAGGGGTCCTTCATTGTACATTGTTTTGTTTATAAGTTGAAGAGGATTGTTGTACTCCAGGCTAAATGATGACAATGGACAGTTGTGTTTGCCTCTGGCTTGGCACATGAGCATGTGTGTCTGACTGTATTTGTGTGTGGTTTTGAGCAATGATACTGGGATGATGTAAAGTCTGAAAGTGATAGCTGTGGTTGTACTTAACAAGCTCTGAAAAAGACTCGCTTGTTGACGGTGTCATGTGGAAAGGATCTGTTGTGCAAACTTGCTGATGTTGTGTTTTTGAAGACCTAAAGTACCAAGCTCTGGTGTCATTACAGACGTAGTGTTTGTGTTGGACAGAAGTGCTTATGAAGCCTTTTTTTCTGCACTGCCATTTCCTTTACTCCTGTGTGTTTGTGTGCGCAGGTGTGACCCTCAAATGTGCGTGTGTACGTGTGTTCCTCTCCCGCTAACTCCTGTATTTGCTTGAAATAAAGTTAGCTTAAGCTCAAGCAGGAGCACCCTCCTGCTTCCTTACTGTAATTGGTGCCATCTGTTTTGGCTGTGTTAACACGCTCTCAGGAATGTTGCGATCTATTATTCACAACCTCCTGCGTTACTTTGCGGACGAGAGCAGCCAATGTCACTCCATGTGAGCCAAACTAGCCCGGGGATAAGCTGTTTTTGAGTAATGGATTTTCAAGGCTGTCTCTGGATTGTTACCTCAGGGTCTGGGAGCGAGATGCTTATTGCCTGTCTCCTAAGAATCGGCCTTTTATCTTTCTTGACATCCCACTGCTTTTACTCACACTTTATGTGCTCTTTTAGTGTCCTCTTCCTCCTCCCTGAACTCTTCCGTTTGACCTCATTTTCATTCGTTCCTTTCTTGACTTATCCCCTTGACACTTCACTCAGCAGTTTACAAGAAAGTAAAATCTTCTTGAACTTTGAAACTAAATAGAAATGACTGCGCTTCATAGACTCTCTTTTTCTTTTGCTTTCCTGTTTCATTACCTGGTTGAATTTGACAATGGAAGGTATAACTAGAGGTGTCCGGATGCGATATTGATATCAGATATCGGTCCAATATCAGCAAGCAATCAGAATACCGGATACAAGCAGTCCATTCCAGACTCCGCTCCAACACCTCTATCTAGCAGCTCCCTGATCCAGCAAGCCGAGCTGACATAATCACAACAGCAGTGTATACTAAGGTACTAACAAAGGAGCAAGGAGTAAGAGTGATGTCGGCCTTGTAGCAGTATTTTTTGTGTAAGTCCGGAAAAGGCATTGCAGCTGAGTGCAAAACTTGTCATGCACAGTTTTGTGTCAATAACAGATCAATATCGGTATCAGTCAACGTTGAAGGCTACAATATCGGTATCGGATCGGAAGTAAAAAAGTTGTATCTGGACACTCCTAGGTATATCTGTACAAAAATAATCACGACTTGGCTTATTCCTCCCTGAATCCACAGTGAAAGTGTTTTGATTTATTTTCCTCTCAGGTAGAAGACACTTGTACCATGCCGACGAATGATGGCCCAGGCCGCTATCCAGGCTTTGTGGCTCCACCTCACGGCAACCCCCAGAGATCCCCAGGTTACGTCCCCGGGCGGGTGGTTCCGGTCCGTTCACCACCACCCGCCAAAGCTCCTCCGCCTCCACCAATAAAACCTCATGGCCTTCGGCTGGAGCGCCAAGCAACTTTCAGCGTGTCAGAGGAGAACCAGCGTCGAGAGCGTGCCAAGAGCCTCAAGCAAAGAAAGAACACATTTATTTGCTTTGGTGTATCCATAGGGGCTTTCTTCCTCACCCTCATCCTCGCTCTCAGTCTCTCCAGTGGAGATGTCTTAGACGGTCAGTTTTTACGATTACCTATCGTTAATTTGACTTTTGCTGCTCATGTTTTTTTTCCCTGATTCCAAACAAACTGGTTGTGTTTGCAGAAAACTGTCCAGATCATGACCTAACTCTAAGCAGCTGGAACCCAGGCCACCAACCAGAGAAGGCTGTTGTCGTCAGGAGAGGACATTTATATCGATTAGATGCTTCTGCAACCTTTTATTCACTGACCATCCAGTCAGGAGGTAAGCACACTGAGGCACAGTCTTAAAGTTGTTGCATAAGGGTTTTATTGTTTATAAGATATGCAGAGGTGAGGTTATTCTGGACTAAGTTCAATTTTCTGGACACTTGAGTGTTAGATATGATGCAACATGACTGAGGTTTCTCATTGCTTCTTCGCAGGTCGGGTCGTTTTCGCTGACAGTAAAGACGGCTCCAAAAACATCACCTTGAGAACACGTCACATCCTTATTGAAGCTGGTGGAGCCCTTCACATCGGTGCTCCAAAATGTCGCTACCGTTCCTATGCAACCATCGCCCTTCTCGGCCGCTCGGACGACAAAGGAATCCCTGAAGTTCCCGGTCTGGGACGCAAATTCATCGGCGTCAAGAGCGGTGGGACTCTGGAGCTTCACGGCAATGAGAGCGTTTCCTGGACCCTGCTGACTAAAAGTATCCCAGCCTCTGGTCTGGCCACAGGGGGTTACGCCTTCCAGAAGAACTTCAGCAGAGGCATCAACTTGCGTGTTGTTGACCAGGACACAGCCGCTGTGTTGTTGACTGAGCGCTACGACACGCACGAGTCTCGTAACGATAGCCGACAGCTCACACAGCTGCTGCGGTCCTTGCCTGACGGTCGTATCGTCACGCTGGCTGTTGGTGACTCAGCTGTTAAAAGTCTTCTGGATGAAACTAAGAAGGCGATTGAAGAGAGGCTGGGCAGCAGTTTTGTTTACGATCTCAAATACAGGTAAGTTGATTGAACAGATGAGTGGATTTTGTTTGTCTAATCAAATAAAAATGCTAATCCATGTTAGTTGTAACTTGATGTAGCTGTGGAGGGCGATCTTGTTGTCAACCTGTATGATAATACAGTCTGTGAGTGTATTTGTGTGTCAGCTGTGTTGCAAAACAAGTGCCAACTCTTCGAGTGTTTGTAGCGGTTCTCCATGGTTTGTTGTCTTTGGGAGTGTTTTGTTTAGTCTTGGTCTCTTGGGGCTGATAAAGAGAGTTAATGTGTTCTTGTGGACTGAAGTATACCCCTTCACCTTAAAAGCCTCAATACTCAGACCCGCAACAACAACAATTTTGTTCCATATCCATCCCCTTGAGGAAAGTTATCTTCTGTCGTGTTTCATTATTTTCATTTAGGATGTTCCCTTGAATGGCATTAGCTCTTCCTGTATCCTCTGCATGCCAGCTTTGTCATGCTCTGCAAGAAAAAGGAAGCACGTACAGGATACCGGGGTTATGGCAGGAGAGTTTCCAGGATTTGTGCAAAACGCAGTGATTCAGGAGATTATAGTTCCATCATACCCCCCTCAGACTGACAGTTATATGAGAGGTTTTGCCCTGTTCATGTGGGTTTACATTTTGCAGTAAGTTCATAAAGTGAAAAACTTAGAATTACACGACATTAGATCTTGTGTTACTGTCAGTCAAACATATGTGCGCACACACGTTTCTCTCAAAGGAAACTCTTAGTGCAGCGTTTCACTCTGAGTTATTTGTAGCTCGACCCGATTTGGTCCTCGGTTGGCTGAAAAGCCAAGTGCTGCGCCAGATTCTCCAGTGTCACATTTCACTCTCTGGGGGTGGATGCCAAGGCAGCACACAGTTTTCAAACAAATCCACTGAAATCCACAGCACAGTAGTCTAAGTGGATCAGAGATTGAGCCCTCGGTATGTTTGAAAGCGTGTGTCGTAAGTGTGCCAGTAAGTTATCAGTGTGTATTCCCTTCATTTACTCTCACCATTTATCGGAGCGGGGATTTTTGTCTTAGCTGTCTGTGGATTTGCGTTAGGTAGGAGGAAACACGTAGGACACATTTATGAGAGAACATGCAGTTTAATGTCCCATTAAAGTCACACTATGTTAGGTTGAGTGATTTAGGTTGAAAGTTGGGTGGTAAAGGCATATGACCTTTAGGACTGAGAGTAATGGTGAAGCGTAGATCTGTTAATGACATGTAGTTGCAGCATACATATATATTAACCAGGTTGATTCCATTGAGATTAAAATGCTAATGCAAAAATTTAAAATATATAAAAATATACAAAATAATCGTAGTCGTGTCGATTATCAGATAAATCGTTCATGGCAGCCCTACTTGACTGTAAGATAAACAGCTGTAAATCATCCAAATGCCTTAGATTTTCCACTGCTGGATCTTAAGTGTTGTCATCCACCTTCCTGACACAGATAACATAAATGCATACGTTCCTGCTTAATGTCTGTCAGCCCCTCTTACTTAAGTGTGTGTCCTAAGTCCTTTGTCTCTCAGCATATCCAAACAAGTGTCCAAGCAGGTTGGCTGTGAATTCACCTCAGGCCCCCACACATGTGCAATTTCCGGTCAAACAATGAGGTTGTTAATGTACTGCCACTGATCATCAGTTGAAGGACATGGAAAGGGAAACAGTGAGAGTACCCCCGATTCGCTCATTGTTGTTTGATTTATGAAACGTACACACTTAAGAAGGCTGCATGTTAACAGCCTCAGGACAGAGAAGAGGCCTTCTTTGATTTTTTTTTTTTTCCCCAGCGGGATATGCCACACTTCGAGCCCGCTGGGACAGAACAGAGCCGATCCCCAGATGGCTTCAGTTTGTGTGTCAGTGGGGTACACAGTGACATAGTAGAGGGTCTTTTTCATCTATGTGAGGATGTGTTTAGGTTGTGATTATGCCACTGGGAGCAATTATTATGAACAGAGACAGATTTACACACAGGCACGTGGAGATAAAAGCGCTACAAACTGCTGCTAATAATTACAAAGACTAAGTCAGTAAACATTGGAATTTTTAACTCATGGTTTTTCATGGTTAAGGATGTTGAAGATGAAAAGGGTAGATAGTGCATTTGACCGCTTTTGTTTGACATGTATGTGCTGTGAGTTGCATTTATCATGGATTCATTACCAGACACGAAAAAGTTGAGTGAAATCGGTTCGTTCAAAGGTGAATTAAGAGTAAAAGTATGTAAAACTGCTGAGCTACCTCACAGTCTAATTCAAATAGTCACCCAGCTGTGACTCCACTGGCCTCTGAATGGTTGCCATTTTGGTTAAGGGCCAGCTTGTCTTCATAAAGTTTTTAAAGGTCATGCAATAGTTTGAAACAATGGTTTTCCAAAAAAGAATAGAAAAGGGCTTTAAGCTTGTTTGAACTCATTCAGCTCATACTTAACAAAAAAGCAAGAAGTCGTTGAAGCTGGGCTTGTGTTATTTGAAAAAAGAAAAATGAGACTGCAATTTGTAGTCCGCTGTCCTTTTTAAGGTCATACGCCCCTCGAAAGCACGCCAAATCCCTTTCACCATCCACACCCTGAAGTTCCCAAACTCAAATGTTTTCAGGCTCTCCTTTGAATCGAATTGTGTTTAAAATCATTCTTGCTTTATGGGATGGTGTCCTAAGGAGTGAGTAAGCAGTGAGAACAGAATTCAGAGCAGTAGTGAGAAGCTGGATTTACAAATCACCCCTCCTCAAATCCCCTGTCCATATTTTGATAATCCCTCAATCTCTTATTGTCCTTTTATCACTACATGACATCCTTTCTGATATTTAGCATCTAATTCCTCTGTAATTGCTCTGCCTTCAGAGTATTTAAACAGTTCAGTCTCTAAACCAGATATCTGGTCAGGATATCAAATGTCCGTTACAAAATGTAATATCGCAAGTCTCAGGAAATGAGGTTTTGTGCATTGTTGACACATTCCTGCTGATGCATGACTCGGAAAGACACTGAAACACGGAGAACTGTTGCTGTGCGGTTAAGGTTACGCCTTTTCAGACAACGATTTGGCGTCATTAAGATATTATACATAAATCCCGTTATACAACATCAGCTGGCTCTGATTGAGAAATCATGGTTTCCTGAAATTTGTACGTTTGTCACTGCTTCTAGCTTTTCGGCAACAACTGTTACTTTTCAGAGGCTTGTTATTTAAGGATTCCTTTCACAGATTATGGGTTGTTTCTTGCAAGGTAGCATTGTCATTATCAGCTCTTGACAAAAAGTGAAACAAGCCGTTGAGTCAAGTTTTGGTTCTGAGCATTCACTGACAATGTTTCAGTCATTTCAAGCAAAACCATTTCCTTCATCCTGAGAGAGCCTATGAGAATCTACAGTCGATCCTCTGTTGTACTTCAATATAGATGTGTTAGATCTGTTGTGCATCAAAAAATCTTGCTTCCTCTTTTCCTCATGGTTCACTTCAACCCCCTGGTCCCTACAGACAGGCGTGGGCTTTGGTCTCAGTGGTGGGCGGCGGTAACGCGTCATGCTCGGAGGATGTCAGGGAACACGAAAACCACGACACCGGAGGACGAGCCCTGGCTAAACAAAACTTCATCACTGTGGACGGAGTGGGCTTCTCGGTCACCGCCTACAGCGAGTGGAAAAATGGTGAGAAAGAGTTAATAATGGAATCAAACATACATTACAAAACTGAAACTATTGACTATTCTGTTTGTTTTAGTACCTGGATTGTGCGTCATGTCAGTCCATGCAGGTCCAGGCTTGATTTAGTCAACACAATGACAAACTCTCAGGTTTCTTTACCTTTAAAGGAGTTATTAGTTCAGTCATGGCGAGCTGTAAGGTTTCTGACGTTCCACCTGTTTCACAGATCAATCATCTGGACATGAAAGACATTCTTGTGACTGAGTGGCTTTAAGTTTATTTGTGACTGCTCCTTTGCCAAGTGTGTGAGGTGGTAGGTGTCTCTGTGTGAATGTAGTTTAGGTGTGGCACCTTCACAACCTTATCTGTCTTCAATAAAACTGAATGCCCACACCTTGTGATAAACATTTTTACAGTCAATTAATCAGTATCTCTATGAAACATGAAGTGCAAACTTCAGAGTTCTGGTTGGTTGCCCTTAACTGAACAGCACTAATAGCTGTCGTGACAAACTCTTATTTTAAGGTATATAGTCAGCCTTTACATCCCACTATCATCATGGTTAATGAGCCTTTGCAGCAGGAAGAATTTTGTTTGTTTACTCAAAGTGAGGGGATGTAAGATTCTTTATGTCTTACACTTAAAACGCCCATAAAAATGAAAAGGGATTGCTTTTTCCTCCCGCAGGTTTCCCCATCTCAGGCTTCCAGGTAGATGCTGTGGACCAGGTGGTGTTGAACCTGCAGGATGAAGTGAAGCCCAGCTGGAAGGAAGGGCACCAGATTGTGGTTGCCAGCACTGATTACTCCATGCATCAGGCTGAAGAGTTCACCTTGTTGCCCTGCTCACACTGCACCAGCAGGCAGGTCAGGATACAAGGTGAGAGAGGGAAACCTGCTTAATATTTGTTCGCCCTGCCTTTACTAAATTGTTTCTGCCTTAGTCTGCGGTAGAGTGTGGCTTGTTATCTGGCCCAAGGTCTATTAGGAAAGTAAAATCATGAAAGAAAACATAGTACAGATATTTTTTCATAATGGAAAATTTACGAGATGACTCATTATACTAAAGTCATTCCAGCAGCAGAAGCAGACATAGAAGATCCCCCGCTGATACATCGGTTGAGTCAATGAATATGATCAGCAGATGTGGTGCTTCTCATCTTAAGGTCCATGGGAATTTAATTTCCTTTTCAGCTGTTACGTGGATGTAAGTTTGTGGAAGAAACTCAAAAAGATTATCAGCCTAAATTTTGATGTTACCATAGAAACAACCACAGTGGTTCAACGGTCTTCTACCTTGTTTTGCTCCTGTTAGCTCCTACGATGCACTCTGCTCTGTTACTGTTATCCATTTATCGGTCTCGGATATCTTTCCGGATTTCATTCCTCTGTTGCTAACAAATGACAACACCCTTTCCTTGAAGGGTGTGTTATTTTGTGTAGTTTTTGTGTTTCTGCCATGAGGAAGGGTGAGCAGCTGGAGCACTGCTGTGCTTTATCACTGGCAGCTGTGACATGGGCAGGGGTACTTTCCACATTGTTGAAGAGCGGATTATTTTGCATTAGAAATCGGTTGTTTCTTATTTTTGGACTACGTTTTTTATCTTTTTTTTTAGTGTGAGCCATCTGTGTTTTAGGAAGTGTGTTGGGCAACTTCCTCTGGTCTATAGTTTGATACACTTCATCATTTTCAATAATGAAATATCTTAGTTTAGCTTGAATAACATCACTTGTGAGTTTTGGTGTTGTAATAAAAGCATTTTACCTACACTCAGTAAAAATGTTTTATTCTCAGTATGATTTATGAATCATAGGGCGGGGCGATATGGGCTCAAATCAATATCACGATATATTGAGCAGTTCGCCTCAATAACGATAAATGGACGATAACTACTCCACAAGCTGCTCATCCCCTCCCACATAAACTTTGTCTACTTCAGCTGCCACTCCCGCCGCTCCAACTTTTGAACCGTCCTCCATCTCCTCACCTTTCTTTGTTACAGACTGGATGGGGTGGAATCACGTCTCTGAAATAGGACAGCGTCTTAAAGGGACAAGAGACCATAGCCTACCTACACACATCCAAAACCAAGTTTTATTTATTTTTTTAACACAGAGTATACTGACATAGGCAAAATTACGTTGGTTATTATCGTAAATTTCGGTATCAGTAAATTTTCGGTTTATCGCCCAGCCCTATGTATGAACGCCTTAAAAGTCCTTTTAAGTAATGTTGTGTTTTCCTGTGAAATTACATAATTACCTCAAGTACTTTTTCCTTTTCTGATTTCCTCAGATTAGATGTGATGCAGTGATAGACATGTGCATTCCCGTCTAGAATTGACTTCCTCTGAATCTCTTTGTCTGCTCTGCTCAGGGAAACCTCAGTACAATCATGTCGGAGAGATCTTAGACGGGGTGGACATGCGCGCTGAAGTGGCTCTTCTCTCCAGGAACATTTTGATCTATGGAGAAATGGAAAACTCGTGCTACGGAAACAACAAGTGCCAGTTCTACAACCATGACACCTTTGGAGGCCACATCAAGGTGTGTATTTTGCGTGGCTGTGTATGTGTGTGTGTGTGTGTGTGTGTGTGTGTGTGTGTGTTTTGAGTGGCTTTTTCTGTCTGTATTTACAGGTTGTATAACTCTGCATTAGATGTCACACTGTCTGACATCTGTCTGACAGTTTCCATACAGCAAAGCTTCGGTGTTCATTAAACTTGAACCATGTTCTTTTCCAGTCTTCAGCTCACCTTATTTTGACCTGTTACTTCTCCCGCTCTCAGCCTCCCTCTGTTTTTCCTCACTCTGTCTTCACTTGTCAAGTTTTAATTTTTGTGGCTGACATTTCATCTGTAACTCTGACCAAAGGGTGACAACATAAGTTAGAGTAAGGTCAAAAAAGAGCAGAATCATGTCCTCTTTGACCTACATGGACCTCTTTGTAGTCCAGGCAGAGAGTTTATTTTGATTTGTTAAATGATGATTCGATTATTTTCTCTTTCGTGGAAAAAACACAGTAACATTCTTAAGGCTGTGTGTAATCCGCCTAAGTTTAACAAACAGCCTTTGTTTTACCACATTTACTGTCCCCACTAAAAAAGCATTTTATCATATTACACAAAGTTACGCTGAAAACTATCAACTTGCTCCTCCCCAAACTAACCAGCTGAAAGAACAGAGCTTTCACAAACACACAGTATTTGCAACCATCACATATTTTCTCTGTCCATTCTTTGTGCTACTTTCAAACCCTCCTAAAGATCAAACCCGATTTGGGTATTTGAAAAAACCTCAGTAATACCATATTGGTCTTGCTCTACTTGTCGATATGCAGCGTGTGTGTTTGTGTGAGCGTATGTGGTTAAGTTACAGTTAGCTGGAGGGATTGGCCAATACCTCCATAACAGGAACCAGACTGTTTTGATTAAGTTATACCCACAAGAAAAACTCCTAAGCAGCATTTTCCATCATATTTGAATTGGATTATTTGTTGGCGTTGACGTTAAACTTATATCTCCCCCTCTTGTCTGTTTATGTTTTGCGTGTGAGCATCCTTATTGTAAGTTTGGCCATAACTCTGTGCTTCAGTAACTCACTTTTATTACTCAAGGAGGGGCACATCAGTGGTTTTGGAGCAGGATGCCAACAAAGCTATAGTTCATGTTTCAGTGGGATTATAGACCAACACATAAAATCATCATGTAAACCAAAAACCTTTAATTAGGTATTTTACCCACCTACTTTTGTGGCATGATGTGAACTTTGTGTCACCCTACACAAAGCCAGGAGGGTTACTTAAGCTCAGGCTGGTTTCTGTTCTCGCTTGATAGATTTTTAAATTTACTCTTTGTTTTCAGACGTTTTCTTTCCACAATGACCTTTTTGCTCTCTCTCCCACGCGAGCAGATCTTTGGCAACTTCTCATCGGTGCATCTTTCCTATGTGGAGCTGAAAAACATGGGTCAGCAGGCTGAGATGAGCCGCTACCCCCTCCATTTTCACATGTGCGGGGACGTGGACAAGAAGGGAGGCTACTGGGAGCCCACCTATGTGGACGGACTCTCCATACACCACTCCTTCTCCCGCTGCCTCACCATACACGCCACCAACGGTTTGCTGGTAAGGAAAGCACGAAATCTATGAGTACAAAGAAAGACAGCTGTTGGTGTTTAAAATCTGTTTGTTTTTAGGGATGTGTGAGAAAACTCTTGCTAATAAGTAACATGTGATGTCACTTGTTGAATACTCATCAGTCACAGTCACAGTGACTGGATTACAGTAATGGCCCATTTCCTCCTTAATTGTCTCTCCCCCCTCTCCTTCTCTTCCTTAAGCTTCCTCTTGAAACCCTCCTGTACTGTACCTTTCTGTTTGATTTAACACTCCTTTCATACGTCTCTTTGGAATAAGATATTACAGGTACAATTACTCTCCTGTTATTATGAGTCTCTCATTTTGCACAAATGTAAACACGCTTTCTTTCCTATCTGGAAAAGTGGACTCAGAAGACCTGTTTACAGAGGTATATCTATCAGCTGCACAATCAGAGTGTCTTTGTTTGTGTGACAGTTCTGCTCCCTCTTGACGTCAATTTGGTGATAGGTTAAAACCTTTGTCCTTGAGGCTGTAGAATTCACGGCATTCTTCCTATCTGTGTTGAGGAAATGGGATTTGCAAAGTTTCAGATGACATTGTTTGGCTCTGCTGTTTTTCCTGTGTAGCCTCTGGTACAACGAGCATGTGAATATTCTGTTATTGTGTTATCTCCTTAAGACCATCATCATCATTTTCTACATACCTTTAGGTAGATTTAATAAGGAACGGTCTTGGTAGGAAATACTTGGAGGAATTTGAAGTATTGAGGGAAGCAGGCACATCTCCTAGTTGGAACGTACAGTATTTTCCTGTGGGTTGGTGATGATTCCAAGACGTACTAAAATGTTGTCTCAGCCCTCGTGTTTACCGAGGTTTCCTGCATATTTCCAACAAGTGTAAACTACCTTTGCCTTGTAAAAGGGGGGAATACCATATATGAGAAACAGTGCTGTTTTCATTTTGCTCTCCTTGCTAAATCTCTGAACTCTTAAAGTCCAGATTTTTTTCGCTCTTATCTCTTACCTCTTTTTTTTTTCCCTTTGACTCAGGTGAAGAACACTGTAGGCTACGACACCCTGGGTCACTGTTTCTTCCTGGAGGATGGGATCGAGCAGCGTAACACTCTGTACCACAACCTTGGTCTGCTGACTCGACCTGGGACTCTACTGCCAACTGACCGCAATGACACACTCTGCACCAGCATTAAGGATAAAGTGTACCCGGGTTACACTCCTTCACCCAGCACAGAGTGCAAGTAAGAGACTAAAGACAATGTATGTCTTTGGTTGTAAATATGACATGTCATCATGCACCATCTTCAAAAATGGGCTGTGAATAGTTACACTACACTGCTTTCAAACATGTCAGGTTTATATTGTTTATCATTTAGGGGCAGGAGAAAAAACCGATACAGCATAGTATCGTGATATTTTGTCTGGTGATATATCCTACCGTCTTATGTAACAAGTATCGATTTTTCAAATTGCTAGTATGAAGTCAAACCTATGATAATAAAAAATAAATTCAACAGTTTGACAAGTGAGGTTGGCAGAGGTGACATCATGGAGCAGCAGAAAGTTAGTACAACAAATATATATATGAAGGCTTGCAAGATGTGCTACATGAAAATAAAATACAAATGTAAATAAGACAAACCTAAAGGAAAGGAAAATGCTAAATTAGCTAAAAAGTTGCAAAATGCCAAAAAATCGCAATAATATCGTATCGTGGCTCAAGTATCGTGATAATATCGTATCGTGGAGCCACTAGTGATTCCCACCCCTTGTATTATTGAAGCATGTATGTTAAAGTTAGTGATTTACTATATAAGTTCACACACTCATCACAGTAAATCTAGTTTACTGACAGTTTTAATCGAACTAAACCCAAAATATGCTGTTTTTTTAACACACACAGAGTTAAATCTGTTCACGTCAGAAACATTTGCACATAACATTGTTTCTTATTTTTACTTTGACACGAGTTCCCATTTCACTGTTGTGATCAAAATAGTACACCGGCACAGAGGTCCATTTTCATGGAATTTCCCTGCATACTCAGAAAATATGAAGTCTTGTCCATCAGCCAGAAACAGCTTCAGAGATGCTTAGGTCCTCTGAGGCACTGGATTGAGTAAAGTTGTAACGACAGATAATAGAAGGAACACTGTGAGCACGCTCCCAGTCCCTGATATTTTTCCAAACAGCTTGATCTGAAAGAAAGTTTACATTGAAGGATGAAAATAAAGTTGACAAGGGAAACCAAGTTATCACTGAAACAGCCTGTGTAGAATCTGTCCCTCAGTCAAGTGTCTGTGCGGAAACCTGATAAGATAGAGCTGAGGTACTTTGAGAAAAGACAGAGGGGTTCAAGTCCGTGTGAAAGAGATACTGTAGAGAGCCGCAGTGTGTGCGAGGGATATTGGCAGAGAGGTTTTACTCATTCAATCACAACAAGCTCTATCCACGGGATGTTTTTATGTCGTAGTAGGAACAAGAAAAGTGCCTCTTTCAGAGAAGCAGTGCGGCCTGTTTCCATGAGTTTCAGTCTGTGTGTGTTGGCAGAGTTGTCCCTGTCTGGGGTTTATGTTGGAGAGGTGGATTATTGAGGGAATTTCGAGGGATCACAGGTTTCTTTGATCTCCGTCTACTTATTAGTCACAGTCTCTGTCATGCTCTGCCTTTTTAATGTCTTTCTCTGCATGCATGATTGTGATTTGATATGTCTGTGTCTTTGTCTGTGTGCGTCGTTGGGGTGTTTTCCAGGGCAGTTTCGACCTTCTGGATTGCCAACCCCAACAACAATCTCATCAGCAATTCAGCTGCTGGCTCGCAGGTAATAACACCAGATTTAAGAAAGAAAACAGCGCCAAATTGACCTTTTGAAAAAAGACAGCTACAGATAGTTATGACTCGTGAATGACCGACATGAGCTGCCCCTTATTGAAATATGATCCATACTTTATCATCTGAGGCTGCACGGGCTTTTGTGTTCCTCTAACTTAGCAGAACAAAATTGAGAGGCTTATAATGAGGTTATCCGACAATAAAATGGGATTTAAACGGCTTAAGTGTCTGATAAAACAGTGAGACCTATGATATACGAAGTTTAAAGAAGTGGATCCTTCATCTGGTCTTTTTCATTTTGGCACAAAGAGTGTGGGGATCCACTGGGATGGCTGTGTAACCCAGTATGTACTGGTAGGGGGTATGTGTGTTATTGATTTGGTTTTGTGTCTCAATCTATTGAACCATAAAATTTAATGAGCTCTCCAGCTCATATCAACTCCAGGTTTCTTCTGTCTTTGGGACCTGACCAACTTGTAATATGAAATTCTGCCCAGTTCTGCGTATCCCCCTTCAGGGTTACTTCAGCTTTCCTCCCTATAGATAATGTGTTTATGAGCCCAGAAGACATTTCTGCTCTTGACCAGCTGGACTCATAATGTGATTTATCTTGTTTACCCCCTCATTTGTCTCCTCTTGCTTCCTGTCCCAGGATGCCGGCATATGGTTTGTGTTCCACAGCTCTTCTACCGGAGACTCTCATGGGCTGGTACCAGAGACCAAGGCAGAGCTCACCCCCTTGGGGACTTTTTACAACAACCGTGTACACTCCAACTTTAAGGTATTATCAGTGTGGATTATTTTAAAGCCCTTTCCTCATTGGTTTAAGCTAAAGTAAGCATGCGCTCTCTATCCTCCATAAACATCATGGTATGAAGTGTAGCTCACAATGGTGTCTTTTTTCTGCCTTCGTTTTATGGAGACAAAAAAAATACAATGTTTATTACTCGTAAAAGGTATCGCACATAACTCCAAGGCTTACTCACTCGGGTCTTGCAAAGAAAGAGCATAGACACACACTCTCACACACACTTGCACAGGCTCTATAATAGTGCTCTGTGGTGTAATGACAGAAGTCAGGCAGGTGAACTGTAAGTTCTTTGTTCAGGCTGACCACTGCAGCCTCTCTTATAGAGGAAGCAGCCCTGAGGTTTTTGACTATACCTCGCTTATACCGCAAGACTCACTCGAGCCCAGGTTTCCATAAACAGAAGACACACACACTCACACACACACTCAAACACACACACACTCAAACACAGACATGACATTTTACCTCTCATTTATTTTACAATTCATTTTTGTAAACATATAGAGTTAATCCATGTGTTACGGTGTGTGCAAATATACATTGCACATTCATATATGTTGGAAATTACACGCAGGAATTCTGTTTACCTTTTTCCCTCTTCCAGCAGTACTCTCTGCTGCGCCACATAGATTCCATAACTCGGTTAGCCCAGGATTTAAATTTAGTGCATTTATGATTGCTTCAGGTCCCACAGTGTAAATATACTGTACTAGTAGTCTTGTTAATGTCAGTCTGCCAAAAATAAACCTGCGGCTGATCTTGAGATTTTAAATGTAGATAAAGAGGAAATTTAGCGTTTAAGTGTCATTATATTTCTTAACAGGCAGGGCTGTTCATCGACAAAGGAGTAAAGACCACCAATGCAAGTGCTGCGGACCCTCGGGAGTACCTGTGTCTAGATAACAGCGCCAGGTATGTATCTGCAGGGAAGCATAAGCGTGTGTATGTTTACTCTTTTAAAACTATAAAGTCCAAAAAAATGTGCTAGTCATCCTCAGCACTTTTGTTCTCAATGCTGGTGAATTGATATTAACTTAAAGCTAATCCATGTGCTGCACGTGCTTTCACACAAAGCCTGTAATTGTGCACTAATAGAAGGTCTATGGTCGGTGTTCAGTTACACTATGTAAATATCAAGGTATTTGTGGTTTACTAATTTATTTGTTTAATACCGCCGTCAATACCTGTCTGTGAATTAAGGTATTTGTGGCTATATCTACCAGGATACGGCCATTGACTGGGATAGATAGATGGCCTGTACTCTGTTGCTGGATTTTTAGTGGAAGGTCTGTCAGGTTTGTGTTGACAGAGAAAATAAGGCTTCACAGATAGAGTTTCCTCTCTGCGGCTCCCTACCCAAATACAGCCCTCAACTAAACGGAAAAAATCTTACCCGTCCACAGAGACTGTGTGAAATGCTGTGTGTGCGTGTCAGTGCGTGCAAGTGTGTGTGTGTGTGGGGGGTGTGTGTGTGTTTGCAGGCAGAAGTGTGAGGGGGAGGATTTTGAATGTCAGAATGTGCATTAATCTTACATAAGGGAGAAGGGGGTATTTGTGATGTGTGGATGTAAGGGACTGGCAACACTCTTACTCATAGTGCATAAGATAGAAAATGACTCCATCTGACTGATGTGATCTTGGGGCGTTTTTCATGCAACAGTCAGATAATGACAGCTAACAGTGAGATCTTCTTTAAATCTGAGCATCCAAATTGATCACGATCATTGGGCTATGAGCTTTTTCTTGCAATTAAAGACTGAAGTCATCCTTTTTTGGTTAATGCACAAGATATTTCCTCATCTAATGAGGAGATGGCCATCAATTTTCTTGACATGCTCATGCTCTGAAGGCAGATAAATCTTTCTGCATTTTGTGACATCATGTATCTTTCTGTAATGTCACCCGTTATGTGCGTGCAATAAGTTTTATGGTTTGATGATGTTATGACTTCCAGGTCCATAAGTTGTTCATCATTCTCTAAAGCACTGAGTGGTCAAAGTATGTGAATAATGAAGTTAACATAGATATTAATGAGGAAAACATTACTGGAAAACTTTAAAGAGAGTATTCACTGAGTTAAGATTGAAAGATTTATCAGAGTGTAAATGAAAGGAATGTTTTTAAGATAATAGAAACGTGTTTTCACATGGGTGGTTTTATTATTTTTATATAGATTTCGACCACATCAGAATGCTGACCCCAGCCTACCTCGAGTGGCGGCAGTCATCGACACTCTGATCTCCTTCAAGAACAATGACTTGGGAGCGTGGATACGAGGAGGAGACATCGTCATCGAGAACTCTGGGTGGGGCACCGTTATTGGCTATGATGTGATTAATGTAACACATTCAAAACATCCAAGAACTGACAATCTCACAGTGTAAAAGGGGTGGCTAAAAATGGAAAATGTCAGTTTGTTCTAGTCGTATGATTTTGGTTAATCCCTCCAAAGCTGAAACTCATTTGATCATTTGGCTCAATCCTCTCTCACACTTTATTGAATTCCATCATTTTTGAGAGATGACACTAAACTGGCAAAAGCTGTTTTTCTCTTTAGTGCCAGAGAACAATATCAGATGGTTCCATTTAACTTGATCAGGACATTGATTTCTGCTCTTCCTCTTTAATCACTTACTCGAAGTAATTGCGTGCTTGAAGTAATAGAAATATACTCTTAAATTACTAAATATAAACTGACGTTTAGTTGGACTGACCAATGCCTCTTTGTCTTTCACCAAACAGCTTCGCAGACAATGGAGTAGGATTGTCATTTGCCAGGTGTGTACTCAATTAAATCTGCTTATGTCGTCTCATTTTATGAAGCCTTCTCTGCCTTTTCATCTGCAGTCCAGATGAACCTGCCAAGAAAGTCTCATGATTGATAGCAACAGTTAAGCTCCATTGACTCACAAGCATCTCTTTTGAGCTTTGCTCCACACATTTTTTCCTCTTTCATCTCAAGAAATCCATCAATCATTGTAAACATATTGATAGGATGTGATTATTCTCAACTACCGTGTGCACTTTTCTCCTTCTTCTCCCGCAGCGATGGCAGCTACCCAAAGGATGAGGGTTCCAGTCAGGAGGTGACGCAGTCTCTGTTTGTGGGGGAAAGTCGAAACAGAGGGACGAATGGAGGTCAGAACAAATACTGGGGCCCAGGAGGGGCTGATGCAAAGATGAGGACGCTACCTAGAAACAGGTGAGGAGGAGTTGGTTAAGGATGTGATTAACAGAAGTAAGATTTTAAATAAGACTGGGGATCACACGAGTAGTAAGTGATTGCAGGAAATAAAAAATCAAGGAAAAGGGAGAGAGAAAACCAGGGAGGTAAACAGGTAGTTGGACAGATGGACAGATGAGGCTCCTGCAGCTGGTTCAAGCAGCGAGTGAAAGGACATTCTATTTTGGCCAACCTTCCTTCCGTGATATTTTAAGCAGTTTAAAAAAACATGGTGGCAACACTTACATCATTTCACAGGAAATAATTTCTCGATGTGGCATGTCAGAGGTACTTATTTTTTCTGCTATTTAGATCTTGGCTATTTTTGACACAAAACTTTTTCCCACCTTATTTACCCTTTCTTTGATTTTTGATCTTATTTGGAAGAGAATATACTAGGGTGACAAAAAAGTGCAGACAAACTAGGCAGATCTGTTCTTGTTTCTTTATTTTTATTTTAGTTCTTGTTAAACTGCAACTGACAGCATCTTAAAAAAACATGAAGTTGTTACAATCACTCCAGACTATCACACCATTTCTTGCTGTCAATTCTAGTGAGAGAAGAGTTATACGTCCCCTCAGTGTTTCTTTACAGTTTTATTACACAAGAGGAGCGCAACATAAACATAGACTGGTTAGAATAGCTGCCAATTTTGGCTTTAAGAACATGGGTTTATATCAGTTTGTGACGACTGTCAGCCCTGAGCACAGTTTTACAGGCACTTTACAGACTTCCTGACCACATAGTGACATTTGATTCAGTCAGTTCGTCTGTCGTCATTGTGGTCACGGTCAAAACTGCAGACACCCTTATCCTTGTTATTGGGATTATAATTCCACTTAAATGGATATATATTGTTATCCTTCCAAAGGAACAGAAATTTGAAGTTCGGTGTAACAAAGCTGCCAGTTCTGATTGACAACCAAAGTATTCAAGTTAATAAAATCAGCTGTTCTAGACTCTTATTTAACAGAAAGTAAAGAATGTAAACCTTGATGGGAGCAAAGCACGAATAAAAACATGGACTGGTTTATTTTTTATTGAAGAACAGGTACTTTTCATTTGGCTTGTGTTTGTGAATCAAACCATCTGCACAGTAAATCAAACCATCTGCACAGGACAACAACACAAGTCACAAGATATACCAAAGTCTTATCCTGTCCATAATTACTTCATCACAACACAAGGATATAAGACGTCTGGACAAACTGGTGAAAAAAGGTGGCTCTGTGGTTAGAATCAAGTTGGACTGACTGGAGGATGTGTTAGAGAAATGAGCACTGAGGAAGGTGTAGGCCATTCTAAAGAACAGGGATTGTTTACCTCGTAACACCTTGATGGACCAAAGGGCCGATGGTTTTGGACGGCTCCTCTCACTTTGCTACAGGACAGAAACATTCAGATGATCTTTTGTACCCACGGCCATCAGACTGTTTAAATAGTAGATGACATGAGACTCCAGACAAATGAATTTCCCTTTGGGGATCAATAAAGTTCTTGTATTGTGTTGTATCAACATCGTTAAGGTCAATTTCAAGGAAGCTTTAGATTTGTACAATTGACTTGAGGCCTGTATGACAAGAACTACGGATTTGGTGTCCTACTTCCCAGAGATCTCATCACCAAGCTGAGACTTTTGGAATTTTTTAATCACATTTTAATCTAAAATTCTAAAATATCCATGACTCTAAGCCTGTCTGCGTTTTAAACCTTTGCAAATTCATTTTCATGATCTCTTTCCTCTGCTCACTACATCCGTCTTCCCATCTATTTATCACCATTAATTGTCTTACTCAACCGTGAACTGTGTCTCGTCTGTCTAGGACGTTCCCTATTCGAGGTTTCCAGATCTATGACGGCCCAGTGCGGCTCACAGAGAGCACATTCCGTGGATACATCCCCACACCTGAGCGTTATACCAACGCAGTGGGGTTCAGCCTGAAGAACACCTGGCAGCTCACCCCACGTAACAATCTGTCCCAGCTCAGCTTTCTCTCCACCGTGAGTAAAGTCAGGAGAAATTTCCCATCAGAAACAAAAGCATGCTTCACTTTTACTCTTATGCCACTAACATTGCGTAGGCGAACTGAAATGCAATGAGATACCTGTAAATACTGTTACATTAGGTCAAAACAGAGACGTTTGAAAGACTTGTTTATGATAAATTCTACATGGCTCTTTTGAATCTGTTTCTCTCTAAGTATTTTGATCGCTTCCCTTTTGTTCTGTTTTCATTTATCTTCGACACTGTCACTTCCTACTTGGCTGTGTGTGTGTTCTTGTTCTCTTGTCACTTGAAGTCTGACAGCTTCCTTATTAGGAATTTGGATCTGTTTGGACACATTCAAATATGTAACAATCCTTTATTGTTGACTAGATGACAGCCAAGACTTAAGTGCCTAGAGATTTGCAGTTGTGCCACCTTTTAGACCGAAGAGAGGGGGATGAGTGGGGGCCCCGCTTAAAGTCAGGCTGGTTTAAGAGGCCTCTGTAAATCACTGGTTCCCTCTTGTGGCCAAATGTTACATTACAATACCTTTACTTGTACAATAAATTAGGGTTTTATCCTAGTCATACACTCAGAAATATTTAGGCCTCATTGCATACAAAGTTTCCATCCATTTGAATTATTTAGATTCAACATAAACAGGCCAATAAACTTTTTGTGCTGCATATTTTTCAATCAAATATAAATAAAACTATTAAGAATAAGATTTATGTAATGATACTAATAAACCCAATGTGTTTAAATAAATAATGAAGAGTTATCTATTTATTATTGATCACTCCAATTTGGAGTGATCAATAATAACGTTCTGTCTCATAAATTTTAAATAAATGAATCTTGGTTGATCCGCAGCTCATCATATTTAAACTACATTCATACACTTGAGCTGATTAAATTTAATTGTTTTATGAACAACAGATTTATGGTGATTTTGAAAAATTGAATAAAAAAATTCTAAAAAATTTAATAATTTTAATAAAATCAAAGAGACGTAAATACTTAAAGAAGAAATTATGCCATAATAAATTTTTCTGAGTGTATATTCTGCTCTCTCTTATATCAGCTCTTCAATCACACTATCTTTGCCATTCTTATGCTTGACACCTCCAGTCCTGTGGAAATATTCATAAAATTTTAGTTCCCTAAATTAGTAAAAATAAAAAAATTGTATTAGTGTTTGTAGTCAGATTGATCCTGACAGTTGATCCAGGAAAAGTTCATTTCAGAGATAGATAATATAAGTAGGTGAACGTTTGAAAGCAGCATTACTTTACTTTAAAACAGAAAACCCTGACAACTTCCTTTGCAAATAATATCTCCAGGTGGGTCTGCGAACCTTCTTTGGTCGTCCTGGGCAGTGGTTTGAAGAGAATGACCTGGACGGAGACAAAAACTCCATCTTTCATGACGTGGATGGATCAGTAACAGGCTACACAGACACCTATGTGGGCAGAGCAGACAATTATTTGATCCAACATCCAGGCTGTGTGAACATGTCTCAGTGGAGCGGAGTTATCTGCAGCGGCCGCTACTCTCAGGTAAAGCACGTCTGGGTCTGAGCTGCTGCTGTTTTAATTTAAAGCGTAACCTAATCTTGTAAATCTCCTAAACTGCACTTCACTACATCCTCCCTCAGGTTTTCATCCAGACCCAGGGAGCCCCCAGCCTCAGTTTGTCCATTAACAGAGATGAATATCCTTACGCTCCTCTGGTACTGAGGGGTATTAACAGCCAGGGGGCAACCTCTCAGCAGTACCAGCCAATTCTGATGATGAGCAAGAGCTACACTCTGCACTGGAGCGGACCTGCGGCAAGAGAGATCGTCCTCTCTCTCATCAACTTTGACAAGTAAGAAACAAGAGTCTGTGCTCTCAGTGGCTGCTGCGACTCCAGGGTACAAAGGATGAGTTTGACTCAGTTATGGTGGATTTTAGAGACAACTATTCTGAGCCAAAATCAATAGACGAATGGAAGGGTACATTTTATTACAAGGACAAAAACATCCATTTGGAGTATAAAACACTTTGATTTCACCCCCTCAGAGACGACTGGGTGCTAGTGGGACTCTGCTACCCATCAGACACCACATTTCAGATCATGGCCGACATCTACGATAGACAAAGCAACACCTTTGACGACATCACAGACTACGGCACCGTGCCATCCCTCGCAGAGCTGCAGAGGAGGCCAATGGAGAGGAAGTACTACTTTGATCGCACTGCCGGGTGAGAGGATGAATTATGTATCATCTTTTTTCAACTTTTAAACTCTTTAAGATTTCCTGGTTCATGAATATTTATGAAAGTCTGTTTTTTTTCCCCCATCCCATCTCATACAGCTTGTTGTGGCTTTACCTTCGAGCCCGGCATGGTCGTGAGGGTCACAGCTACTGTTCATTCAAAGGCTGTGAAAGAGTGAAAGTCATGGCCACCACATCCTCCAAACAGACATGCAACTGTACAGCAAAAGCCTATCCCAAGTATTCCAAGACTCCCTCAGCAGTGGTGCCCATGCCGCCTTTAAACACAGGGTCCTGCAAAGGCTGCGGTGCTCGACAGGTTTGTGTCACCACAGTTCTGATCATCTCCTGTGGTACACCTAAACTGTAAGCCAGCACTGATAACCCTTATTTGTTTGTTTTTTTCCACAGCTTGTGTTTTCTAGTGAACCATGGACCTCCTACCTCCAGACACAAATCAAGTCTCTCAGCAGCAAAGAGCAGCAAAAGGGAGATAAGAGCTCTTTTATCACTGTAAGCATGCCAAGAGTCATTTAAAAAAACAGAAGAGAAATCTTAACGTATTATTTTTATTTTCGGATGACTTGTGACTCATTTTATCCTTTTTGTCTTCCTGTAACCTTCAAGGTGAATGAGGTTACCATGCCCTTTTCCCAGCCTGGATTTTTCCTAGTCACAGTGGATGCCTGCTCCGGAAAAGTCATCAAAAAGACCTCATTTGCCAAAATGGATGCCAAGATGGAACAGTACTTAAAAACTGGAATACCAAAGAGGTTAGCAAGAGAAAAAATAAGAGGCCACCGCACACACACACACATACAGCAGAATTATCCTCACTCTCGTTTTCTCTCAAAGAGGGCAAATTTTACCAATTTTCAACCATGTTTAACAAACCTCTGTGTATGAAATGTTGGTGCAGTGCTTTGGCCAGAATATAATATGAGGTTTTGGATCATGTATGCACCAGCTCTTAACAGCCTTTCTGAGAATAACCAGTTTTGATGTGTGACTCTGTGGATTCAGTGTCTTCTCACTCTTCCATGGGGTGTGTCTGCTTTAAAGAAAGCAATAGTAGACCGCCCAAACGTTAAAGGGATATTCCGCTTTAAAGTTAAGTTAGGGTGAAACACACCCTAACATAGAGTCAGTAATGACCGCAGGATAGCAATACAGAGAGCCACGCACTCAACCAAAACGCCACTCTATAGCCACAAATAATGCTCAGAACAGCACCTAACTTCATCAACAGTACATCATAAATGTTCCTCCACCCCGCTGCAGTCGATGGACTCACCCTAAGGGTCTCCGTACAAAAAAAGCGGCTGTTGGAAGAAAGAAAGTGAGTTGTGTTTAGTCTCTTTGCTAAAGAAATCAGGCAAAGTTAAAAAGATGTTTGATGGCTAGTACTGTGGCTGGAACCCAATACGTACTGTTCATGAAGTTAGGTGCTGTTCTGAGCATTATTTGTGGCTATAGAGTGGCGTTTTGGTTGAGTGTGTGGCTCTCTGTATTGCTATCCTGCGGTCGTCACTAAAGTTGGTATAACTAGAGAAGCAAGCGGTCGGCAACATTCATCTGTCGAGGGGGTGTCTAACTCGGTGTTCCGGTGTGTTTGACCACTCACTTAATTTTACGCCGGAATATCCCTTTAAGCTCTGAGGCTGTGGCATTTAAGGTCAGAGTGGAGATGCCAGAGAGGAATATTTCAGTGAGTCCTCCTGTTTGTTTAGATTCATAGCAGGCCATGTGTGTTTTCAGACATAGGCAGACCACCAACAAAAGACTGGTTTGGCATGTTGCACATTTTGTGTGTCAGTAGATACTCTTGATTCCAAGTATTTGTACAAGTACTCAGAAAAATGTGTTATTTCATAACAGGTCTATGGTGCTGATGGCAACAAGAGGTCAGCCGGAGGGCCTGGTTGGTGTGGCCCCGCATCTGGTTTCCTTTGGTTTGGCCAAAGCTGCTGATCTGCGGAGTAAGGGTAAGTGACAACTGCATTTCTGTCTTTCTTCATTTGTAATCTGGGCACTCTTTATCACACACTCTTATTTCACCCTCTCACCACAGAGAGTCTGGCACTTTGGGGGTTCCAGGGTGGTTCTCCAACCAAGGGTGGTTCTTCAACCCCTCCGTGGGTCTCTCTACTTGCCGGGCAGGGGGATGAGATCCTTGGGCTGCAAGAACGGTACTTGCCCCTGGGCTTGGAGGCGTATGGCTGTACACCTACAGCTCAAAAGCGAAAAGATCTGGAGCTACTCAAAAAAGCCACAGGACTACAATGACCAATGTGAACTAAACAACTTAACTACCCAAAACACTCTTGCACAGAGACACACAAACACAGAACCAGCTGATGAATGTGAACTGCTGAACCTTTAATTTATTAACAATGGCAATGATGTTTACCAGTTTCAAGTGGAAAGAAGGTATTTTATTTTGAATGGGGTGAGTATTTGTGTTATCCTTGCACGTTTGTGTGTGTGTGTGTATGCAGAGGCATGCCTTTGGGCTGTTGAGTCAATGCACTTTTCTTTTTTTAAGACACAACTTGCCTTATCAGCCAAAGCGATCAAACAGAGCTGTACAATAACAACAGAGGAAAACAAAAATCAAACAAACCCAAAGTGATCTTGAGCATCTTCCATCCTGTTTTGTAATTACAGGGAAGATGAAAACAGACGGGATTGAGTCGGATAATAGACCATAAGGCTTTGGATTCACACAGAACAGGAGGACTTTAGGAGAATTGGTTGCGTTGTCCGTGAAATGAGAGCTATTGGAGTGGGACAAAAAAATGAAGCAAAGTGGATTAGTTGTGCTCAAATCAAAGGGAAATGATTAAATGAAGGCCATTGCATCTGATACGTAAATATCAATGTTAAACCAAAAGCTAGTGTGTAGTTTGAATACAAGTCAGTGGGTATTTTTCTAAAATGGTCATAATAAGCCATATCCATGATATTTAGATTATGTTATATTGCTATAGACAGTATCAGAAACATTCAGTTAAGTATCTACTTATGCTGCTTTTAAACACAGAAATGCAGTTTTTGAAAAGTTATCACTATAAAGGATATTACTCTCTACACCAAAGCTCACTTAAATCTTTCTGATTTTTAGTTGATGTCTGTAACAACTGAATCTTTGACTGTAAAAACCTCCTCTGATCATCGTGCAGCTGCTCAACCACAGATTGAAGCACCTTTTTATGGATTCCTACGTGGACTTACTGGACCTTTTAATCTCATATTTATATCTGTCTTTTCCCACTGATGATGTCTCCGGTGATGCCGACACGTGCAGCACTGGGAATACATGTTTCTTACTTTTTGTTTTGTTTCGTTTCCACAAACAGAATTGAATGTTCTCTTCTTTTATCTGCCTCATTTAAGATCTTTTCATGTGCATTATTTGCCAAAAACCATCTGGATGCCTATTTCAGAGCTGTACACCCTGTCTGCACAGTAGTGAGCTGCAAAATGCATACAACAGATCATAAACCAGCTGAAGGCTTTATGTGCAGTCTTAGAATATGTCTTCTTTTCAGGAGTGTTTGGTTGTGAGCAGGGCTCCCCCACTGCGCAATAATAAGTACCTATTTGTGACTTTGTGTGTGTGTGTGCGTGTGTGTGCGTGCGTGTGTGTGTGTGTGTGTGTGTGTGTGTGTGTGTGTGTGTGTGTGTGTGTGTGTGTGTGTGTGTGCGTGCGTGCGTGTGTGTGTGTGTGTGTGTATGAGTGACCACGTGAGACACGAAAGAGAGATCCTCTGGAGGACAGTGACCTTGTTGCCTTTTAACCACTCTACTGTTAAAAAGAGCAAAAAAAGAGAACCATGTTTCCAGTCTTTGCTTTTCTTTATGCGTCTGATGCACAACCAGAGTTCGTTTTTGTTTTTGTTTTATTTGGAGTGAGCTCTGTGAGTATAGTGTTTTATGTAATTACTCAAACACTATTTGTATTGGAAATGTCAAACTGGTTGTCTTTGGTGTGCTTTTGTTGTCAGTTGACAAAGAAGCTGACTTTTAAAATACAGACACTTGGCATTGATATAAATATGATTACCAGTTAATAAAAGTTATATGCTTTGTGATAAAAATATACTTGAACATTTACTTACTTAATGCTGTGTTCAGAGGAAAATTGCTTCTCTTGAGTTATCGGTCTAATAAACCGTCAGTAAGTCTTTTCACTGCATTAGTAACACACACTAACCACTTGGGGGCAGCCTAGTACTTGTGGAAATTCCCACCTTTGACTTTGATAGGACAAATTCACATTTCTTTACATTCTTGAGTGAAATCATGTAATTGAAATGTAACTGGGGAATGAGGGCAAAGACTTAAAATGCTTTTTTTTATGATTTCTAGAAAAACATCAGGATTGATGACTATCAAACTGGGGAAGCCCACAGAGTATATCCACTAAGTTACCATCCAATTGCAGCCTGTATAAAACCATGTCTTTGTTTTAATATGCTGTGAGTTCTGACAAGGTGTTGGAGCTTAAATGACCTAAAATTAAACAGTAGTTCCTTCATGAAACATTACAAGATAGAAAGCAGCATTTACTTTTAAGGTTAAAATTATAGATGAAGGATGAGTTACAGTGAGGAAATGATCGGTAAAGCATCCAATAAGGTACCTGTTCAAAAGACAAAAGTAGTGGGGTCAAAACAAACAAGGTAGACCGATAGTAATGGGTTTACAGACAAGAGGGTCTGCTTCATTAAGCAGGGACTTAACAGCACACTTAGACTGCTGATACCCCAGCGAAACTGAAACTGTGTGCCAGAGTGTGAAGATCCTTGACATAAAAGGACATAAAAACTGTCACTGCCTAAAGAAATATGCTCCAGTCCTAACAGACCACATCCCACCATATGGCCCTCAGAGAGAATTTACTTGTCCATAAAATGCTCTGACCACAAAGACTGAGCGCACCCACACATTTCACACCGTTCTAGAAAGAGGACAGATTGTGTGTGGCAGAGTCTGCCGGCAAAACGATGCTCATGAGGACAGCATCTCTTCTCTGACACCCAGGCATCTGCCATTAAGAGGGAAAAATAAAACACTATGTCGGAATCGCATCTTTTAGCGCTCTCCCACCAACTGTCTTTCTATGCCTGTGTTAAAGGTAGGCTGGGGCGTATTCAAACCCTAGAGTAGAGTAGAGTAAGAGGAAAAACAGGAAGAACATTTACACCAGATCTGCACAGCCAACACATTTTCAAAAAGCTTTCTATAGATTGATATTTACTTTTTTCATAATCATATCACGCTATGGTTTCCATGTTGACTTTTAATGGTGTAACACTCTGGGATTTGAACTGTGTAAATACAATTACAGAAATGCAAATGCTACAAATATGATGCTGTAGAGGCTCCTGAGCGTGCATGAGTGTGGGCGGTAGCCTTAAGCGATATACTGTTCATTGTTTTTATGAGAGGGTATAGTCATAGCAACAAGCGCTCAACATTGTGACATGTTATAGTGGTGACTCTATCTTTTCTCTTTTATGTTTTGTTAGTATTGAACACTACCTGTTACTTCTCATGGGGTTTTTTTTCCAGCTTTTACTTGTCTTGTACAGGTTAAATGAGGTGATATAAAAGGAAACTGCAGAAATAGAGGCACTAACGGAGACAAATCTTTGCTTTTGAGGCAGTATGAGGACAGAGAGACTGAATAATAGTTTAAACCCTCCAATCAAGTAAACCTTGTTAACACATAAGCAAGATATCCAGGTGACTCTTACATGAACCCCCCTCTTAGAATGCATTATTAGCACATCTATAAGTGCATCTGTAAGGCTTTATAACAACCCTTATGATTAATAATAGGAACTTTAACAGCTTATGATAATCATGGTGTCCGTAGGGTCTTAAAAAGACATAACATCCATCCAATTATTTCAAAATTTTTAAAATTCTCTGAAAATTTCATAAAATCTCATAAAAATGCCAAAGGAATACAGATTGATTTGAAGTAATGTAAAATTTTCCAATTTCCCTTCATGTCTTTTGTACTTTTTTCCCGGTATGGGTGTTCAATGGGTCTTCATTACTGTCTATAAAAAGTCTTAAATTTGACTTGTTGAACAGAGACCCCAGACAATGTTGATTAAGTGTTTTAAGCAGTAAATATAATACCTTAGTAAGATATTGTTTGACACTTATTTCATATACTCATTTCACATTTGATTAATTCAATTGGACTTTCATTTATATATTATTTTGGAGCCAATCTGCACTGACTGGTTTCTATCATAACCAGACACTACCTCATGTACGAGAGACGAGAAATAATCCAACAGCAGCTTACTTTATCATCTTTGAGTTTTGGTTTGTGTGCTTTTGGAGTGAAACAAATTTAGTACAAGCCTTGGATAATGATTGCTTTCTTACCAGTGATCCCCGCTTATATTCCTGGAGTCAGTCAATAACACCATCAGGACCTGTCAACGATTTTTTTGTGCTCTCAGAGATGTTATTTTTCTTTGGATGATATTCAAAAGTGTTAAATTACAATCAAACTGTATGTCAGACATTTAACCTATTATTTTGCAATTTGATACTCCTTGAAAGCTCTTATTTTTAATCTCTACCAGTGTTAGTAAATATAGAAACAGAGAATGAACTCTTCAACATTTGGCCACAGGGTTGGCCAGCTAACTGTGCGTCTGATCTGATGAGTGCAAAGCTGTGTGTGGATGCCAGTAAAATCATTTTTTATTTAACATTTCATATTTTTATTTACTGAATATATCAAGTTGATTTGCACATTTATGATTTTTTATGAGAGAACCCGTGGCTGTTCAGTGCAGGAACATCTTGATCACATATCTCTACATGTTTCATTTTCAAAACACGAATGATCTTTTTTTAATAACATACTCCACACTCAGAGCACATCTTGTCATGAACGCCGGCATACGTGAGAGGCTTCTCGTCTACTTCAGACGAATGTATTACCTGGGTGAGCACATTCATGCTTGCATAGAAATGAAGTGTGTGTGCAGAGCGTCAAAACTCATTAGCTGAGTCCACCCAGGAGCCTTATGGCGCAACAGTTTAGTATATTCAAGGCAAGTTTATCTGAATTCCCTCAACTTGCTACATGGCATAATTTTTTAATCTCACCATTCAATCGGTTCAGCGGCTCCGGTTGATTCCCCGCTGATGCTCAGTGATGGTGGTCTTGAATAATTAAACAATTCTGACAGCCTTGTGGGGGTCTGTTTCCATGACAACCCCTTTCCTGGTGTCCCTTGAGTAATGTAAATCTCCTGTCTGCTTAATGTCACAGTAGCGACAGAAAAGTGACACATAGAGAGACACACGGGTTAGGGTCAGGTGGACATTTTTGAAGACAATTTCTTCTATGCTCAGTCAACTTAATACCATTGAATGAGGCTATATATACTTTTAGTTTGTTCTGCATCATGACTTTTATAGCAACGCCAGCTGTATAAAGTTACAACAATCCTTTCCACTCGTACTGATGAGTCACAGCAGAGCTCAGAGGGATCACAGAGGAAATATTTGAATGGTTTTGGTAATCTTTTCAGACTGTTTGTTGTCACATCTTTTGCTCCTGAGTGATACTCCAACCACAGCGGCACACATACACACTGTCTCCTCACGCACAACATCACAGAGACAGGTTACAGTCCATTACCCTTCATCATCAAATGCTTCATCAGTCCCCCAACCCATCAGACAGTGAATTAACCTTATCCACCAACAGATAAAGAAGTATGTGTACGGCGTTTACCGCCTGGTCCCAGTCAGAGCTTTTACAAGAAAATATGTCCTGACTTTGCACACAGCATGATACCGGCTAATCATGTCCCCAGAAATGCAATAAAGAAAGGATTATGATGCAGTTTTTTATTGTCAAAAGTGCTTATTCTGTGTTTTAATCATTCACTCTATTAACATGTGGCTGCGTGTTGTGTTTGGGGACTTGAAGGGGCTGTGAGATGTTGAAATGCTTAAACCCAGCATGGGATTTTTGAAGGCAAACTTCCAGGTCTCAACTGATTTTCGTGGTATATTTCATGAGTCAGTGGATTCGGAGAAAATTAAATTCCCCCCTTGTGTGTAACATTAACAGATGCTTTAATTTGGTTGTAATGTAATGTTTATTTTGTCGAGTTGTAAAGAGAGCCTGTTGGAAGAAAGCTGTTAGGAATCGAACGTGATACTTCAAACAGAATGAGTTTCGTGTAAGAGATAAGGAAGCGCTGAAGTTTTTTTGTGGCTTGTGTTTATGAGTTTGAATAAAATCTTTACTTATGAGGCGACCAAATGTTCATGGCAATCTGAGGACATTAGTGTTTGGCAATCACGATGATGATTACCGCCGTGAAAACGAGGACAATGATGGCAGCAAATGCGCCTGATGCTGCCAACCGCAATCTCTAAACTAAACTAATTCTAGCTGTGAAACCAATTGCCTGTTGAGACAAATCAAGTTGAGACATGTAGTGTGCTCAGTAAACCGAGATAATCATTATTCCCTGGAGGGAACAGCGGAGGGTTTGTGTGTGCTGTGACTGACCAAACACAAATGCTTACTGCTCTCAGCTGTCACCGATGCATTTGATGCTGCAACTGAGCTAAAGCCAACTTTTGTCACCGCCAAGGGGCCTGCGCTCAATCGTAGACAAATCACAGGCTAAAGACTGGGAGAGCGTCTCAGAGGATTCACCCTGTTGGCCTGAAGACAGTGAAAAGACATACAGTTAGCAACCAGAAACCTACTCACACTGAGGACCTTTTGAACCGACTGGCTCAATATGTATGTGTCCATTAATGACGTGACTGCCTGGTCTTTGAATTTCAGACAGAGAGAGAGCGAGAGAGCTGTTCCAGCGGCCACCCCAACAAACATCACTACACTGTATGATTGAATATGGATTTTCTGTCTCTGATAAGCAAAAGTCCTTTTATATTTTCTGCTTTTTAGTTTTGATTGAGAGTCTTTACCGTCCCTGCCCTGCAATCATATACAGTAGGCAACCCTGAACAATAAAAACATCTTTCAAAACTATATTGCTACAAAATCAGTCAGTGGCTGAATGTTACATCAACCAACTCGCAAGACAGAATACAGAATGATACATGATAAATATGGTGCAATACAACAGGATACAACATGATATGGTAAAATATAACATGATACAAGATCATAAAATACAATATTTTATGGTACAATGTTCAATATGATACAGTAAGACATAATACAACACGACCATAGACTGTATCCAGAATAGACAGCATCTGCCTCCCCGAGAAGAGCACCCTCTGGTGACGGGCTGCAGTATAGGTCATAAATCCTGCCTCCTCCAGCAATCCCTATGGAGTTGTGGACAAACTTAAGAAATTTATTATACAGAACATAATTTTTTCTCCCCCCTGCTTGCGATGTTGACATGTAGTTACTGTAAGACTGGTTTGTGCTCAAGTCCTCTTTTTTCTGTACAGCTCTGTTTTTGAAAGTTATTAGGGGGTTCATGTTTTCTGTGATTGACACTTGATACAGCCTATTGGCGTACGAAGATTGCGTAGCTCACCTGGGGGATACGCTGTATGAGCCGAGAGTCATCACAGCGATTCTCTGTGACTCTCCTGTCGAATGCGCACAATGCTACTGCGCAATGTTTGTTTCAGTAAGTGGGGAAAAAATGCAGAATTACAGAAAGCTTTTTGGTTCAAATCCGTATACTGGCGGAAGGCGGAGCTAAGTTGTCCGTAGTATGTACAGTATATGAACATGATACCATGTGTTACAATACAGTTGATATGGTATGATACAATATGATACGGTACAATATGATACAATATCATCACATCTGCTGTTTACCTACAAGTTCCCTTTTGTTACCTGCCTCATGTTTTATGTCTTGTGCTTCCTGTTTATTGTGGAATTCGCCCTTGTCTCTTGTTTCCGGTCTCTTTACATCTTGCCCTCGTGTTTCTCCTCTTACTTGATTTCCCTACTTGCTCCATCTATGTCCCATACACCCCCACCCCTCATATATATTTAAACTTTGTTTTCCATCTCTGTGTCAATGTTTCAGCTAACCCCTGTGTTTTTAGTAAGTATTTTGACAAGTTTTTGGTAGTTAGACTGCCTTCTGCATGCCGTTTAGGAAACCTCTGCCTGCTTTGGCTGCTCTACTGCATACCGGATAAGTGCGTTTTTGGAACTTTGATTCTGCCTGTCAAGCAGTAGCTCAGGAGATAGAGCGGGCATCCAATAACTGGAAGGTTGGTGGTTCGATTTCCCCCTATCCTGAGTCAGTCCCTTGTGTCCTCGGTGTATGATTGTGAGTGTTGTGTGGTCGGAGAGGCTGTAGGCATGAACTGGCAGCCACATTTCCGTCAGTTTGCCCCAGGCTAGCTGTGACTGCTAAGGTAGATTACCACCACCAGGTTGTGACTGTGTGAGCGAATGAATTATGTATCCAATGTAAAGCACTTTGAGGATCTCTGATAAAGCACTATATGAAATCTGATGCATTATTATTATTATTATTGAATCCTACATTCGAGTCCTTTACTGATTCAGTCTGACAGATATGATTCCAAATGTCACAACACAATACAACACGATTTTATTCCTGGTGTTAGTTACACCTCTGTATGACCCAGGACTTGTTTCTGTAAAACAAACACAGATCATGTGTACACATCATGTTTCCGATCCTGCTCGGATTCTTCCCTTTTCTCTGTTGCAGTTCCTGTCTCTTAGCAGTGTAAGTAGGTGGCCATTATCTGCACACCTAACAATTACAAGAAGATGAAAGTGGCTTTTGTCCCTGCTGGCAGTTTAGTGACATTGTTTTTAATTGGAGTAAAAAGCCCGCTGTAGCTGTCACCTCATGTGGAACGGTCAGTGCTCAGTTTTAAAAGTTAAGGTCAAAAAAATGTTAAAGAGTCATTTTATGGTTTTTCACTTTGCTCTCCACATCAATCTTCATCCTCCTCCTCAACCTCCTCCTCTTCCCGCAGCTCCTTTTTACACAATTATTCTCTCTTTTTATTTGTGCTTTACCTCGGGCATGTGTAATGATGAGTTTGTTGAAGTAAACGCCCACTCACAGTTACTCACAGTCAAGTAATTGATTACTAATTGCTAAGCTGTTGTGTGGACCTATTGTGTAAGGTGCTGCGCCTCTCCAAATTACTTATCTGGTTTTCTTCGCTCTTTTCTTGGACCTGTCTCTCCTCACTAATTTCAAGCTTGATTATTATTAAGAATTTAAAGCTTAAGGGGGGATTTTATATGTTTTTGGTGTGTGTGTGTTTGTGCAGCAGGTGGGCGCAGTCGCATGATGGAGTGGTGTGGAAATGAACGAGGCCCTGATCAGCACCGGTTTGTACCTGATGTGACAGACCACAAACAGATGAGCCGTTTTACGATCTTACTGCTGCATAAGAACCGACAGGCCATGACGGGTAAAAGGAAAGAATGAGGAGAAAGATGGATGGATGACAAACCGATGCATGAAGAAAAGAAGAAAAAGGTGGGGGAAATGAGAGAAATAGATTTTTTTTTTTTAAGTGAAAGCAGGAAGAAAATTGATCTGCATTACATCATGCTCATGTTTCCAGACAACAGAGAGGCATCTAAGGGCCCTAAAACAAACAGCTGCTTTACAGGGGCCCCTCACGAGGTGACTCCTCCTCTCTGTTGCTGTGGCATCCGAGCGATCTGTTCATTTATTCATAGCAGAGCGCTGATCTAAATTAGCACTCGTTAGCCTCCCACTGTTTACTTTTCTGTATTTGCTGTCATTAACCCTCCTCCCTCCAAACTCTGCGGCCCCAGTGTGCGTGTGTGTGTGGTCAAATATGAGTATATGATGGGGTGGGGGAGGTTGAGGGATTTGGGGTGGGCATCATTACAGCCTCACCTAGCAACCTGCCCCCAGTGAGATGCTCAAAGGGTCCGGATCACGAAGGGGGGGCACGCACACTGAGCCTCCCGCCCTGCAGCCCCTCTGAGAAACTGTGACTCAGGTGCTTTTGTTGATGACGTTTCAGCTGCCAGATGCTCATCAGGGCCCCGGCAGCAGACGGATCTGCAGGAACAAGTCCTCCTCAACACCCTGGTTGTCACTCAGCTTTGGACAGCAGCTGAAACACAAGGCCTCATGACAGCATATGAGAGGACACACTGCGCAGGCTGATCAGCCAATGAGGAGAGGAAAGGGACATCAGTGCTTCAGCTTCATCATCTTGGACATTTATTACATTATGGCTGCCAGATGAGAGATGATTTGCATGAAGGTGCAACACAAGAAGAAGAGGAATCCCTTTTTTAATTCTTATTTTTGTAACATATTAAGCGCAAACAAGGGAATCCACTACAAGTCTTTAAACTGTTACTAAATATGGAACATTTTGAGAGATGTTTGGCTTGATTTGAAACCAGTAACAAGATGAAAACCCTGAACCCGGATCTTTGTCCTCCGCCCGTCATTCCTCCTGGACCTACAGATGTGTTTTAATCGTGACTGACAGTGTCACACGCACAAACACACACACACACACTAACACACAGGCTGCGTCATGCCCTGTCCTCCAACACGCCTCCACTAGCAGAGGGACGACTTGCCCACCTGTGGCTTCTGACTCCTGGAGCCAGCCATCTTCTCTCAGAGCCCCATTTCTCTCTCCTCCCAATCATCTGGATTTTCCTCTCGTTCCTGACTGGGGCGTTGAAATAACCAGTTTATATACCTCCTTGTTTTAAGATTTTTTTAAGGACAGAGGAATCTTGAGGATCCAGCACCTGAAGACACAAGGAAGGCGGTTCGCAGACCTTTGGTAAGACATCGGCCATTTTGAATTCGATTGCTCTCTTGGGGATAAATCTGGGGAGAAGTGCGGTAAAGACGAACAAAGAGGCCAAACGTCTCACTTATTCTACACTTCCTGTATAAATCATGGGGGAAAGTACTGACAACAAGGACACAGTGATGTGGAGTTATGTCTTTTTTTGGAGTTGGGTCACGTGTTAAATTTTCATTAGGTGATGATAAAAAATACATTATATGAGCCATAGTACTAGATCAATGCTGAAAAGTGGTTGCTGTTAAATAAATGATAGTTGTCTCCCCTTATTCCCTCTCTTCCTAGCTTTGCGTCTCCATCTGTTGGCTGTTGGACACTGAAACAACCATATGCTCTCTATGTATAAATCATACACAATAGCCTGCTGCCTGCTAGACTGATAAAACATGGATTTAGCACATTGCTGCAGAGCAAGCCTTTGAGGGCTTCTCTGTCGGCCTAAAAGAGGGATCATCCCTTGAATTTGTCTTTTCTCATACGTTTGTGTTTGCTTGTTTTGGGATTTGGAGATCAAATTTATGGAGCAACATGCGATGTTTGGTCTGTCCCTTATAATTTTAGAGCATTTTCTGCACAAACAAAGACTTATTGTCCATATTTTTAAATTCAAAATGAATAAATAGCTGAATTTTGGTATTTTTTTATAGCCTTGGCAGTTCTCTTTGAGCAGAGCAGTGTCATAAGAGTGTCAAGTTGTGTTTTGATGTATATGAGTGCAATACTCAGGCCATTTCTTCTCATTCAGTATATCCTGCCTCTTATGGTGTACTTTGCGCGGATCTGTTGTTCACATCCATAAGCTCGCTCTAATTACTGTACCTGTAGCTTAGACAGAGAGCCGGTGACTCATTAAAACCCACACACACACTCGCAAAAACTACAAATGCACCGTTTCGTGAGCATATTGTGTATATCGTGTGTTTGCTGGCTGTCATTTTGACTGTTGTCAAACAGTTCGTGAGATGCGTGGGAGTTTCAGCAGCATTCTGGACAGTTTTGGTAACACTTCTCCACAGGAGGCTGCGTTTGCTTTTGGCTCATCTCTCCAAGCTTTGACAGCTTGTAGAGATTTTCCCAGCTGAAACACATGCAGATGCAGAAGAGCTGACAGAACAGAGGAGGAGAGAATGAATCTAATCTTGTCTTGTGTTTCTTTTTTTTTTGTTTTTGATAGATTTTTGTTATGTCCCGCTGTTGGAAGCTGGTCACAAACAACAAGCACAATGCACAATGTGGCAGCAGTGTTGTGTTTTCCCTGTTTCCATGATTCGGAGAGCTGTCGGTAAATATGTACCGATGCATAAACTTAAGAGAACTTCACAAATTCTGGCAAACACAAACGCACATATTGTTTGTGGATGCTGTTGGTGAATTATTGATGGCATCAGCCTGCTTAAAAATGCATCCCCAACCTTTCTGTCGCACAGAGAGAGGAAGCGGTAATTAGCGCTCAGATATGAGAGGAGAGGGAGGCTAATTATCAGCAAGGTAAACACAGCAAACCCTGCCTGGTTGAAGGGATAAACTGTGTTTTATTTTCACCTCAATCTGCACAAATATGATGCCTGCAAGCAACACTGATTCATTTTCCCCTTTGTTTTATTTTATGAGCCTTCTGTTTTGCTTTCAATACAAGTGGGAAAGGCTGTGAGAGTTATAAAAGATGGAAAAGGGAAGATATATATTTTTCCGTCTGCATAAATGTAGAGAACAGAGGGGAAAAGAGGATGCGGTGATGTGTGATTACGAAAGATAAGTGGCGAGGGAGAGGAAAGCCACTTATCAAAGATCATTCCATGTTCAAGGACCACACCATCCTGAATTCATTACAACAATTTCCTACATTGATTTGTTTGATTTCAGCGAGGTGGCACCATGCCAGACACTCAGCATGGCGCTGGAGGCTGAATGAATAAAAATACGAAGGAAGGGATGAATGGCGGAAGGAAACAGTTGCAGATGAGAGGAAATGAGGAAAGGGTGAATGAAGATCTTGACAATGTTTACGTGACAGTAAGGAAACGTCAAAATTTGAGAGCAAAACGGAATTAAAAGGTGCAAGCTGAAACTGGATCAGCTTCTGTCTTGTTTCATTTGACTAAGTGAGTATTTGGTCTAAGTATGGAGCCCCTGCTGGATCCCAGGGTTTAGTCAGTTTTAATAATTTATGACAAAACCCAATAAATATCTGCAAATAAGCATTAGTCTAACCCAGTCTTTCACGATTCTTTACCTTTTATCCTGTTTATTGAACGATTACAAATTGATAGTAGTTATAAATCAAGATATTATCCCCAGTGTAGACAGTGTGGTCACAGACAGATGACAGAGCAGCAGTAATCAGATCACCAGCCTCACAGATATGAATAAAAATCACCATTTGAATCGAATTAGGAATGATAAATCAAATAAGGAGTGAGTTATCTTGCATTATCTGTTCACCGCTGTGGTTCTTCTCTGCTGTTTATTTACAATATTTGCATCTTTGTGGACCAATCTGACCATTAGCTGCAAAATTTAAGTGGTTGTTTCTTGAAAAGACTCTTAATTAACTGTGGTTGAAAAAGTGTGACGGTACCTGAACCAAATATGACAAGTATTATTTTGCTTTTGTACTCCTAAACCTTTGGGAATGTTTCTCCTCTCTATTCTTATTCTTTGAATGCTTCAGAAAGAGATTTAAAAAAAATAGCTCTTTCAAGTTAAGAAACTTTCCATCAGTATCAGACCTTGTAGCCCTTGTCTTTTTTTCTGTCAGTAGTGTGAATTATTTTTGAGTTATTTTGGGGCCTTTTAAGCCTCTATCTGATAGAACAGCAAAGAAAGACAGGTCATGCATGGAGCAGAGAGTGGGGGGAGTTATGCTGCAAAAGGTTGTGACATGACACTGACCGCAACCTCAAACATGGGGCACACACCTGAGACTGCAAAGCTAACAGGATGAGAGAGTCAGGATTTCTAAAAGCACATCTCATTCTGCTGTCTTTTGACCGTCAAATATACCAATTTTGGTGGATCTTTGGAGTGGAAAGTGCAAAAAGAAAAAAAAAACAAAACAAAAAAAGGCTTTAACAGTAACTTGTTGTAACCATAGATTGTATATAGAATGGACGTCGTCTGCCTCCTTGCTGGGTGAAGCCACTCCAAGAACAGCACCCTCTGGTGACGGGCTGCAGTGTAGGTCATAAATCCCGCCTCCTCCAGCAATCCCTATGGAGCTGTGGACAAACTTTTGAAATATATTACACAGAATATACATTTTTCTCCCCCCTGCTTGTGATGTTGACATGTAGTTATTTTAAGACTGGTTTGTGCTCGAGTCCTCTTTTTTTTCTGTACAGCTCCTTTTTTAAAAGTTATTAGGGTTATTTCACGTTTTCTATGATTGACACTTGATACAGCCTATGGGCGTACGAAGATTGCATAGCTCACCCGGGGGATACGCTGTTTGAGCCGAGCGTCACCACAGCGACTCTCTGGGACTCCCCGCCCGAATGCGTACAATGCTACTGTGCAATGTTAGTTTCAGGAAATGGAGAAAATCGTGGAAATTCCGAGAGCTTTTCGGCTTCAAATCCGCATACTGGCGAAAGGTGGAACCAGGTTGTCTTTTGTATATACAGTCTATGGTTGTAACCCAATTTCACACATCCAATGTTTTTGGCTGTTTGAGAAACCTGATCTTCATGCTGATAGTAGTTCAGAAAGATTTGGTTTTCTTCAAAACCAGTGAAAAACTCATTAGGAGCTTTATGTTGGTCTGTCTAGAGGGGTTAGTTATGACTTATAACTTGTTGTTCTCTGATGCTTTTTATGTAGGGTTTATTTTTGTCTATTGGTGGGTCTATATGAAAGAAGTTTGTCCTCGCTCACTTAGAAGCCTGCTGACAAGTTCACAAAAACACATCATTAAGTTAATAGATAAATATAGATAAAGTACCACTGACATGTAATAGGTGATACATTCTTTATAATTGGGGAAACATGTCAGCGCCATATAGATAAAGTACAAAGATAAGTCTTAACAACACACTGCATCATGTTTATGATATAAAATGTAAAAAAGTAGAAGTAACGATAAATCACATCTACTGAAGAACATCAACAATCGTCTAACTTGACTTTTGTCTTTCTCTCTGTCTTTTTTGTTCAGGAGAAAATGACGAGGAAATCTCACACCAGAAGAGTTCTGGCCCCGCTTTGCACAGAGATTAAGGTAGGACAAACTTTCTTTATCTCCAGGATCTGGAACAAACTTGACAGTGAAAAAGTGTGAGAAGAAAGTTTGTGTTTTTGTGTCA